AACTAAAGCGTAATACAAGGCATTTTGAAATTTATGAAAGTACGATTTTATGTGTTCAAATGTATTGTTTTCATGAAAAAATGCAATATTGTAATTAATTCTGAAGCATTTCGACGTATTTTCAACCGAATTTTCAAATATAAAAAATTGACGAAAATTAGGATTTTTCTTTTGGTCCCCCGTTGCCGATTTGGGTTGCAAAAAATTGACAAAAATTAGGATTTTTCCGCTGGTCCCCCGTTGCCGATTTGCCTGAAATTTTGAGATTTATCAAAGTAGGATTTTATGTGTTCAAATGTATTGTTTTCATGAAAAAATGCAATTCTGATTAATTCTGAACCATTTTCCACGCACTTTCAACCGAACTTTAAAATTGCAAAAATGTCCCCCGTTATACCGATTTCGTTGAAATTTTGAAATTTATCAAAGTATGATTTTATGTGTTCAAATGTATTGTTTTCAGGAAAAAATGCAATTCTGATTAATTCTGAACGATTTCCACGTACTTTCAACCGAACTTTAAAATTTCAAAAAATTGACGAAAATTAGGATTTTTCCTTTTGTCCCCCGTTGCCGACTTGCCTGAAATTTATCAAAGTAAGATTTTATGTGTTCAAATGTATTGTTTTGGTGAAACAATACAATTCTGATTAATTCTAAAACATTTCCACGTACTTTCGAACGAACTTTAAAATTGCAAAAAATTGACAAAAATTAGGATTTTTCCTTATGTCCCCCGTTACCGATTTCGCTGAAATTTATCAAAGTATAATTTTATGTGTTCAAATGTATTGTTTTCATGAAAAAATGCAATTCTGTATAATTCTGAACGATTTCCACGTACTTTCAACCGAACTTTGAAATTTCAAAAAATTGACGAAAATTTTCCCTTTGGTCTCTCCCGTTGCCGATGTGACTGAAATTTTGAAATTCATCCAAGTTTGATTTTATGTGTGTTCAAATGTATTGTTTTCATAAAAAAATGCAATTCTAAATAATTCTGAAGCATTGCGACGTATTTTCAGCCGAATTTTGAAATTTCAAAAAATTGACGAAAATTAGGATTCTTCCTTTGGTCCCCCGGCCGATTTGCCTGAAATTTTTAAATCTATCAAAGTATGATTTTATGTGTTCAAATGTATTGTTTTCGTGAAAAAATGCCATTCTGATTAATTCTGAACGATTTCCACGTACTTTCAACTTTTGAAATTTCAAAAAATTGACGAAAATTAGGATTTTTCCTTTGGTCCCCGTTGCCGATTCGGCTGAAATTTTAAAAATTTATCTTGGGAAGTAATAATCCCACAATCGCCACATTGAGCAATGTCATATAATTATACTGAACCTTCGAATCTTTGCGTTTTTTGCAACCTTAAACTGGGCGCTGTGGGTGTTTATATAATAATATATATGTAAAGATTTAACACACGATCCAGTGGCCTAGTTGTTAAGGATACGACCTAGCATGTTGTAAGCGTAGGTTCAAATCCTGCATGGGAAAGATTCGATTTTTCCCACCGAAATTACTGTTTAATTTGAAATTATTCAAAAAGGATTTAGTCAAATAAAGAACAATAGCTTTCGACAAATGATGTGGTGGTCAAGTGGTTAAGGCGTTGGTCTCCCAGCCCGAAGACAAACGTTTCAACTAATGGCAATGCAAAAAAATTAGCCTGAAAAATTTCCGCATGATTTGGAAGCTTTTAAAACAGTTAAAAGACTCCCCGGCCTTTGCGAAAGACGGTAAATTGAAAAAAAATTTGAAATAAAAAAAATTAAAAAGAAATTCTTGCGTTAGAGAGTACCTAAAAATTGAAGAAAAAGCACAAGTAAAAAAAGTTTTAAAAACATGTGTCTTCTAAACAGCGTAAAAATGAAAAAAGTCAGACGGAAAAAATTTAACAATTTCCCGATTTTAAAACTCATGTTTACTTAACTAATTTTTTTTCACGAAAATTTGACAGGGTGATTTTCTCGAGACTGAAAAAATTCACTTTTTTTCACTTTTTTGAAATTCTCTAAGATTTTTTTTTTGACAAAGAAGAATTTTGTCTTGGGCTCCCTATGTCCGTCTTGGGCTACCTGTGTCTGGCTTGACACAGGTAGCCACAGACAAAATACTTCCGCGTGAAAAAAAAAATCTAAGAGACTTTCAAAAAAGTGAAAAAAATTAAATTTTTTCAGTCTCGAGAAAATCACCCTGTCAAATTTTCGTGAAAAAAATATAGTTAAGTAAATATGAGTTTTTTAAAAGCGAGAAATTGTTAATTTTTTTTTCTGCCTGACTTTCTTCATTTTAGGCTTTTTAGAAGACACATGTTTTTAAAACTTTTTTACTTGTGCTTTTCTTTCAATTTCACGTACTTTTGAACGCAAGAATTTCTTTTTAATTTTTATTTCAAATCTTTTTCAATTTACGGTCTTTCGGAAAGGCTGGGGAGTGTTTTAACTGTTTTAAAAGCTTCCAAATCATGCGGAAAATTTTCAGGCTAATTTTTTTGCATTGCCATGAGTTGAAACGTTTGTCTTCGGGTTGGGAGACCAACGCCATAACCACTACACCGCCACATCATTTGTCGAAAGCTATTGTTCTTTATTTGACTAAATCCTTTTTGAATAATTCTAAATTAAATAGTAACTTCGGTGGGAAAAATCGAACCTTCCCATGCAGGATTCGAACCTACGCTTACAACCTGGTAGGCCGTGGCCTTAACCACTGGGCTACCGCAATGACATATATATTAAGCAGGTTGAAATCAATATACAATCCGATGGCCCAGTGGTTAAGGCTACGGCCTACCAGGTTGTAAGGGTAGGTTCGAATCCTGCATGGGAAAGGTTCCATTTTTCCTATCGAAATTACTATTTAATTTAAAATTCATTGAAAAGGATTAGGTCAAATAGAGAACAATAGCTTTCGACAAATGATTCGGTGGTCTAGTGGTTAAGGCGTTCGTTTCTCAATCCGAAGACAAACGTTTCAACTCCTGGCAATGCACAAAAATTAACCTAAAAAATTTCGGTGTGATTTGGAAGCTTTAAAACAGTTAAAAGACTCCTTCGGCCTTTCGGAAAGACCGTAAATTGAAAAAGATTTGAAATAAAAAAAATTAGAAAGAAATTCTTGCGTTCAAAAGTACGTGAAATTGAAAGAAAAGCACAAGTAAAAAAGTTTTAAAAACATGTGTCTTCTAAAAAGCCTAAAAATGGAGAAAGTCAGGCAGAAAAAAAAATTAACAATTTCCCGCTTTTAAAAAACTCATGTTTACTTAACTAAATTTTTTTTCACGAAAATTTGACAGGGTGATTTTCTCGAGACTGAAAAAATTTAATTTTTTTCACTTTTTTGAAATTCTCTTAGATTTTTTTTTTCACGCGGAAGTATTTTGTCTTGGGCTACCTGTGTCAAGCCAGACACAGGTAGCCCAAGACTGACATAGGGAGCCCAAGACAAAATACTTCTTCGTCAAAAAAAAAATCTTAGAGAATTTCAAAAAAGTGAAAAAAATTAAATTTTTTCAGTCTCGAGAAAATCACCCTGTCAAATTTTCGTGAAAAAAAAATTAGTTAAGTAAACATGAGTTTTTTAAAAGCGGGAAATTGTTAATTTTTTTTTCTGCCTGACTTTCTCCATTTTTAGGCTTTTTAGAAGACACATGTTTTTAAAACTTTTTTACTTGTGCTTTTCTTTCAATTTCACGTACTTTTGAACGCAAGAATTTCTTTCTAATTTTTTTTATTTCAAATTTTTTTCAATTTACGGTCTTTCCGAAAGGCCGAAGGAGACTTTTAACTGTTTAAAAGCTTCCAAATCACACCGAAATTTTTTAGGCTAAATTTTTGTGCATTGCCAGGAGTTGAAACGTTTGTCTTCGGGTTGGGAGACCAACGCCTTAACCACTACACCACCACATCATTTGTCAAAAGCTATTGTTCTTTATTGACTAAATCCTTTATGAATAATTTTAAATTAAATAGTAATTTCGGTGGGAAAAATCGAACCTTTCCCATGCAGGACTCGAACCTACGCTTACAACCGGTAGGCCGTGGCCTTAACCACTGGGCCACCGGAATGATATATATACTGTCTGGTTGGTATCAACATACCTTCCGATGGCCCAGTGGTTAAGGCCACGGCCTACGATCAAGTTAGACACAGTAGCAAAAGACAGACACAGTAGCCCAAGACAAAATACTTCCGCGTCAAAAAAAATTTTTTTTTAGTCTCGAGAAAATCACCCTGTCAAATTTTCGTGAAAAAAAAATTAGTTAAGTAAACATGAGTTTTTTAAAAGCGGGAAATTGTTAATTTTTTTTTCTGCCTGACTTTCTCCATTTTTAGGCTTTTTAGAAGACACATGTTTTTAAAACTTTTTTACTTGTGCTTTTCTTTCAATTTCACGTACTTTTGAACGCAAGAATTTCTTTCTAATTTTTTTTATTTCAAATTTTTTTCAATTTACGGTCTTTCCGAAAGGCCGAAGGAGACTTTTAACTGTTTAAAAGCTTCCAAATCACACCGAAATTTTTTAGGCTAAATTTTTGTGCATTGCCAGGAGTTGAAACGTTTGTCTTCGGGTTGGGAGACCAACGCCTTAACCACTACACCACCACATCATTTGTCAAAAGCTATTGTTCTTTATTGACTAAATCCTTTATGAATAATTTTAAATTAAATAGTAATTTCGGTGGGAAAAATCGAACCTTTCCCATGCAGGACTCGAACCTACGCTTACAACCGGTAGGCCGTGGCCTTAACCACTGGGCCACCGGAATGATATATATACTGTCTGGTTGGTATCAACATACATTCCGATGGCCCAGTGGTTAAGGCCACGGCCTACGATCAAGTTAGACACAGTAGCAAAAGACAGACACAGTAGCCCAAGACAAAATACTTCCGCGTCAAAAAAAAATTTTTTTTAGTCTCGAGAAAATCACCCTGTCAAATTTTCGTGAAAAAAATTAAGGTAAGTATACATGAATATTTTAAAAGCGGGAAATTTTTAAACTCGGTATATTTTATAATAGTTGGTTTTGTAATGAACATACATAGTTTTTTTACCTACATGTAGCATTATGTTACCTTCATAGGCGATCGTGCGATAGACGACCACAATAAATTTTACTTGCCACAGATGAAGATCAAGGATTAAAATTTACCACTACCTTGATACCATTAGGGGAGAAGCATTTACCACATGAGTAAGGTATAGTGGTAGTACCAGTGGTAGTGGTCGTACCAGTAGTGGTAATTAATCTGAACAATACTATATATGTAAAACTATATACATGCTTTTAGTTTGTTATTGTGGTTTTTTTTGCTGTTGTTTAGTTATTGTTTCACAGATAATGGTTGGCTAGAGTCTGCTTCTACCCGTCGTTTTTTGCTTCGGTCAGTTGACGGCTGGATCCTTCTCGCAGTATCTCTCTGTGCATGATGTGAAGGGTTCTGTGCATATCTCGTTACTGTAGACACACCATCCACAAATTTTGTTTTAAACAACACATTCGCATTGTTAAACATACCATCCTTCAAAGATACTACAATGAACTGTGAATGTTTAAAGTGGGTCTTCAACATTTGACCGATATTCTGAGTATGCGACAGGTCCAAGGCAGCATCAACCTCGTCCAGGATATACAGTGGTGCAGGTTTGAATAACAACATTGCCAGGATAAGAGATAAAGCTACCAATGACCTAAAGTGAACAAAAATACATGAATCAGTTTCTCCATCTAACTTCTATACCCACATATAACTCTTGGCCGAATGTGCATGAAAAGAAAAGGAAAACCATTGATGGCATACGAGTAAGAAGGTGTTTCGTTAAGCTGGTGTTCAACTTTTTTCAGCACGTTCAGTCTTACAAATTATACAAAGACAGAAGAATATAAATTCGCTTCGCATGGAAACGTTTGCTATAGCGAGTAGCAAGCGAATCATTGTCAACCTTCAATCTTTGCAACTTGCCTTTGTCCGCCGCTGAGCTCTCCTAAACTTTCTTTCCAGACAGAACCAAAAGCAACTTTTACTTCCAATCCATCAAGCACAGTTTGTCCTTCAGGTGGAGCAAGTTTAGCGGATGTTCCAGGGAGTAATGTGGAAAATATAGATCCAAAATCCTACAAGGTTAAGGAACAAGCTTGAAGAAAGAAAGAGGTCTTTGTACGATATATACACTTTTGCGCCTGCTATCACATACACCACGGCAAGAATTGTATACCACAAAGCGCATAATTGAAATGGGCCTTGACAATAGACCTTTCTTATAATGACGTCAAACGCGGAAAATCTGATGTTACACGAAATTTGATTGGCTCCACAAAACTATCGAGCCAATCAAATTTCGTGTAACATCATACTTTCCTCGTTTGACATCATTATGAAAAAGGTCCATTATATGAAACTATGAAACCCAAATTTTGTTTACCTGAAGGTTGCATCATTCAACAAAGTGCAAATACATTTACATTACAATACATATACAATACAAACGATTCCTTACAATATTAACTTTCTCAAAAGCTTTTTTCAGTGCTTCATTTTTCTTTTCATCGAGTTCAGCAATGACCTGTTCAATTTTAGCTTTATCGTTCTCAACAATGCCTTTCTTTTTCATCAAGTCGTTATACTGTAATGGAAAATTCGTCAGTGTGAATCAGTTGGTCAGTGTGAATTGCTAAACAATTGTAAACTATTTGTCCCAAGTTAAACGACTTGAAAAGGTCTTTTAGGCAAGGGAATACCAATACCCTTAATACACTGAAAAATTTCAACGATAGCCAGACATGCACGCATTTCGACATATTTTCAACCGAATTTTAAAATTTCAAAAAAAATTGACCTTCAAGATTTATTCTTTCATCTCCCGTTGCCTATTTGGGTGAAATTTAAAATTTATCAAAGTATGATTTTATGTGTTCAAATGTATTGTTTTCATGAAAGAATGCAATTCTGATTAATTTTGAACCATTTCCACGTACTCTCAACCGAACTTTGAAATTTCAAAAAATTGACGAAAATTGGGATTTTTCCTTTTGGTCTCCCGTTGCCAATTTGGTTGAAATTTATCAAAGTATGATTTTATGTGTTCAAATGTATTGTTTTCATGAAAGAATGCAATTCTAATTAATTCTGAAGCATTTCGACGTATTTTCAACCGAACTTTAAAATTTCAAAAAATTGACGAAAATTAGGATTTTTCCTTTGGTCCCCCGTTACCAATTTGGCTGAAATTTTGAAATTTATCAAAGTAAGATTTTATGTGTTCAAATGTATTCTTTTCATGAAAGAATGCAACTGTACTTAATTCTGAAGCATTTCGACGTATTTTCAACCGAACTTTAAAATTTCAAAAAATTGACGAAAATTAGGATTTTTCCTTTGGTCCCCCGTTACCAATTTGGCTGAAATTTATCAAAGTAAGATTTTATGTGTTCAAATGTATTGTTTTGGTGAAACAATACAATTCGGATTAATTCTGAACCATTTCCACGCAATTTCAAAGGAACTTTAAAATTTCAAAAAATTGACGAAAATTAGGATTTTTCCTTTGGTCTTCCGTTGCCAATTTGGTTGAAATTTATCAAAGTATGATTTTATGTGTTCAAATGTATTGTTTTCATGAAAAAATGCAATTCTGATTAATTCTGAAGCATTTCGACGTATTTTCAACCGAATCTTGAAATTGCAAAAAAATTGACGAAAATTAGGATCTTTCCTTTGGTCCCCGTTGCCGATTTGGCTGAAATTTTGAAATTTATCAAAGTATGATTTTATGTGTTCAAATGTATTGTTTTCATAAAAGAATGCATTTCTGATTAATTTTGAACCATTTCCACGTACTTTCAACCGAACTTTGAAATTTCAAAAAATTGACGAAAATTGGGATTTTTCCTTTGGTCCCCCGTTCCTGTACGACGTGAGCAACTGTGGTCCCATTCAGCTCCTGATTAAATAAGTCGCGCGCTCAATCCATCTAGTAAAGGTCAGTGGTTACCACGCACACGAACCTCACCTTTTCTTCGGCTTTCCCCAACATATTCATGGCTCGCATGTTGACATTTTTGCCCAATTTGTCTTTAGTTTCCTGTAGTTTGGCTAATCTTCGTGAAACTTCAGGCATGTCATTTGCCGAGAAGTCGTAAGCGGTGTTCGGCTTACCAAAGAACTGTCGCTCGCTGTCAATCCACTGGTATTCAGCGATCATTCTCTCGACCTTCGCAAAAGACATGAAACAGTTAGAAAACAGTCTCATTTGAAATATTTACAGTATATATAAAAGGTATGCAGTGCAATGCACTACGCAACTGTCAGTTATACTTGTATGCAAACAAATTGTTTTCTACTTTCCAGCAAAAAAAGTGTTTGACATATAAACACAATTTCCAAGGCTTACATGAATGTATTTCATATATACTAAGTCAGCTCAAGCTAGCTAAATTTTTTTTTTGAAGCCATTAACTGTCTGTAACTTAGAGATTTCTCTTCGTTTGTTTTAAATTTGCTGTTTAGGACAATATGTACAAGCAACGAGAATTGGGAGTTAACTATCCGTACCTTATGTGCAGCGTCTTTACTATCTTTTTGGAACTTCACCATTTTATGATCCAACTCTTTAACCTTGATCATGTTGTCATTGTTTTCGTTTTCCATCTCTTTTCTAGCAGAGATTTTTGTATTAATTGCCTAAAACACAAAAGTAAAGACTATATAATGATAGTATGTACATTACAATGTCCATGCATGACAGGGCCAATACATATAACTCGGGTGTCTGTGACAAAACAAATACCTCATTACAAGCTCGTAATGTTTTCTTTTGCTCTTTGAGATTTTCCTCTGCTTCACGACAAGCTTTCTAAAAAGAAAAACAGGAATGGCACATGGAGTCTAACAGTCATGTACACAAAAATTCGAAATTATATTATTCTTTGCAGGCAGGCGCCCCAACTGTATACCTTGGAGTTTTCAGCAACTGCTAACAGATCTTCTATTTGTTTTTCTAGTTCAGTGATTACTTCATCTGTGCTGGCAATCTAGTTTCACATTTCAAAAGAACAAAATGATCAGAAATCCTGTTACAGAATTATTTTGAAATTCTTTGCAAATCTTGTGTGCTCCAACTGGGAAAAATTTACTATTTTAATTGGACAAGATTAAAACGCTCTCTGATTAAAAATCTTTTTTTCCATACAGAGAGCGTTTTACATGCAATTATCTATTATGCTATCCTGATCGCGTATCATCTATTTCTTCGAACAGTACCTGTTGTTCAACATTGGCGACTTCTGCTCTTATTTCCTCAATTTCTAGCTTCAATTCTTCTACTTTCTAAAGAAGACGTAAGCGCATCAAGAATGTGGCAGGAGGGAAGTGTTTGGAAAGATTCAGAAAAGATGTGTTGTGTCCTTTGGTATAAAGAATATCAACAGGCATTTTGACCTAAAAACAGGGCGTCCTAAACTTAACTTGGAACATTACCCTTAACTGTTGTTGTTATTTGACAATGACTTTATATAGTTTCTGTGTGTTTGAATGGTTCTTAAGTCTTAACTCTGGTATATAGCTAATCTGTGACTCTGCCAACATTCCAGTGTGTTTGGATCAGGCCATATGCTCTAGATCAGAGATTTTTTAGGACACCCTGATCTAGAACATATACATGGCCTGATCCAAACACGCGGGATTGTTGCAAGAGTTAAGAACCATTCAAACACAGAAACCATATAAAGTCTTAGTCAAATAACAACAACAATTAACGGTAGTGTTCCAAGTTTTATTTTAATAAGCGAATCCAACTTCCGTGTTTGGATCGCCTGGTCCAAAATTTCCAACAAACCTGTTCTTTATTTTTCATATCCTTACACGACTCTTCGGCTTTTTTCTTAATTTCATTCAAATCTTCTTCAGCCTTCTTTAGTTCTCTCTCCCGATGAGTTTTAGCCTCCTGAATTGATTTGAAATTGCGTTGATGACCGTGAATAAAATGTTCATCGCACAAAATCGCAGGAAGATACAGTAGTTGTGTCGATTAAGTTTAATATCATTATGTAAGTTGAAATTGTAGCTACCTTCATTTTCTCCTCAATACTCTTGCTTTTAGCAGTAGCAGTTTCAATCGTTTTCTTAGCCTTCTTTTCAATATCAACTTGTTCCTCTACAATCATATCGTACAACAAACCGTTTTCACTTCATTCAACATTAAATTGTGGCTTTCGACATCATGGTAAGGTTGACTCTTAATTGCAGGTTTGAAGGGCGGGGAGATAGAATAAGCAGCAAGGCGGGCTACTCTGTACAAGCAGATACGACCTCGATCATCAAACTTCTATGTTCGTATAAATCGTGCAAGCAATAGTTTTCCCAGTTCTTACTCAGTGTTGTTGACTCTAGGAAGTAAGTAAAACTAAGAACTGATTCATGCAGCCCACTTAGAGTCACATTAGATAAAAAAATCAACACAAATACAGTACCAACAGTTTTTTGAAGAGAATTAACTTCTTCCAACTGATGATGATGAGTACTTTGTTTCAACTTTGACTCAATTAATTCAGCTTCTTTAATTTTCAAATCATATTGCTGTTTCAACTGTCGGAACCTGTAAAATGGATATTGCTCAGATTTAGTTGTAAATGTGTAAAAGATTATAACTTGAATACTGTAGGATTTCATATTTATAAGAAACTATAAACATTTTTTCCTACTTTTCAGCGACTTTCTTGCAATTCTCAAGTTCCTTCATGACTTTGTCCAATTCGCCAGATTTCTTGGAAAACGCTTCTGAAGCAGTGTTTAATTCTTGAAGTTTTGCTAGAATTGATGTGTTATTCGAGCGGGCACCTAAAATATGTATATATAGAGAGGAAGATTCACTACAGTATAGTGGATAGCCCAATACGATTCAAATTTGATTTAATTTAATGGCTAAACTAAAACAAACAAATCTCGACTCACCCCCAGTCAGTGTTCCAGCAGGGTCAAAGACATCTCCATCCAGTGTGACACATCGGGATCGAACGTCAGGGTTGAATGTTACCTTTAAATGATTACAATTAAACTATTAAATTATTAAACGTGGTCACAAGGCAGCCGACGAGGCCATAGCTAGCCTTCATCGTGTGAGGCTGTCAGGCAGTGCGGGTTGCGTTGGTTCCCACCAGGCCCTCCACACGTACTGTAGTTTTGCAGATAGACCGAGTAATTTTTACCCAGAACGTTTACTTTTAGCAAGCAGATTTTACTATGTACGTTGCGAACTACGTCTCTCCATTTTACGTCTCCAACAAAATGTCGACTTGCATTTCCTGCCACAGGGCAATCTTTTTATTGACATGACGTCACAAACAGCAAATTAATTAATGAACTATTGAAAAGCGCAAGTCAATTAAAAAATCTTTGACGTCACAATGAAGTTTATTTAAATTGAACGCCTGAGAGGCACGCATCGCGCGCATTAATAAAAACTCTGAAACTCAACTAAAGAACTGCGTAAAGGTACAATGAAATCCTGCAGACTGCATGGAGTGCATGGTAACGCAGGTAAGTGTTTTGTGTAAAACTTTGCGCAACTGAACAACTTTCTTATCCACGGGGCTCGAAAAAAAATAAAGATAACAAGACCACAGAATACTGTTGTTGTGGTATCCTTAAAAATATGCTAAATCAAAATGTTGCGGCGCTGTACATGGTCCAGAGAGGATGGGTTCCTCGATCGACGGATCTACATGCAGTGGCAGTCGCAGCTTACCGTTTTAGCGTTGTCTTGTGTATCACAAACAAAGCTTCCTCCAAAGACAAACGACATTGCAGCTTCAACATCCTTTTCATAACCAACTAATGATAATGCAAGGTTAACACTCTCATCACCAACCTAACACAATCAAGAGACGAATTGTAGGATTTTCTAAATAAACCAATATTGTTCAAAGTACTGTACACCAGAAGAAATTTAAAGTGTCTACCATGCAGTAAACGTCCAAGCTAGGATATCCGTTGATATATGTAGCCAACAAACATCTTCCAGAGTAGGTATTTTATGAAGTAGACGTATTAAGTAACTTATGATCGGATATTTAGAACTTCTGGACAATTACAACCTTTAAAACTATGTACGTACTTACCAAAGATTTTGCTTTCTTTATGGTATTTGGATTTATTGTTCTACTAGAGATCTTATTCAGTGGTATGATAGTATAACGCCTTTTTAGTTCTCCTTTCTGAAGCAATTTCTTGCCAGTGTCTTGAGTATCAACAACAACATTGTACAACTAGAAATACAGTATGCACCCATTATTATTAGTAGTATTTTGCACCATTTGGAAACACTTTATTTCCATAACTAATTTTTCTTTTATCTTATCATTTCTTGGCGTTATGAAATAGGAATGGCGATACTGGAGAACCAAATAACTGCATGCTGTCTAAAAAAAATAAAACCAAGAACACTGTATGAACATGCAAATGAAGTCTCACCTTGTTTCCTGCAGCAACTTCAAGAGCAGTAGCCGTTGACACGTTTTTTACTTTGATTAATTGAGCAACTAATCCTTTCACCTGAAATAGTTGAACACGTTTTCATTTTGGCATACCTTATCCACATATACAACACGGTTTTAAAGCCATACCTTTTTTCTGTTAAAATTTGGTTCCGGATCTTTGTACTGAAACTGTAAATTGGGAAACCTAAATGAAAAAGAATTATCCACGACGATATTCAACATGGAAACAGAGTTGAAATCAACCAAATCGGCGATTCGTGATAGACGAGTACCTGGCTTCAAGCATTTCAGTTTTTGTGCGAAGTTCAGCAACTTCCTCTTCCAGTTCACGCCTACACAAGAACCATATCATGGTGTTTAAAAGTCCATCATTTAAATATCAATCCAGGATGACTAGATTAACTTTGTGCACCCAACCTGGATAGCAGAATATGAAGCTGGCGACAACTTTCATTAAACTCACTTTCTTTGAACTAGACGTTCTTCTTGTCCTTCTTCATACTGTTGTCTCTTCATCTCAGACTGAATGTAATAAAGACCATTCATTGAAAGCTTTGTGTATCCTAAACTATGCCGTCCCCATTTTTGCTTGTACAATCATGTAATATTTGAGCACAGTTTATTTACCTCAAGTTTCTTGACATTCTTTTGAATATCATCAAACAACATTTTATCTTTGGAGTAGTCTTTCTCCGTCTTTTTCAACTCGTTTTGTTTTTTCTTCAGTTCTGCTTGAGCGTGTTTTGCTCTAAAAATTAAAATATCAATATAGCTACTTTCTCAGTGCAAAGTTATTTATTTGAATACAAGAAAAAAGAAAAACCTATCATGCAGCGTTATCTTACTTCATTTGCGCTTGTTTCAATTCAGTTTCAGCATTACTAATATCATTTTTGCAACCTTATAAAATAAAAAAAGATTATTTTGGGGGACAATTTATTTGATGCTCAAATTAGTACAATACGGTCTTCTTCAAGTTCCATTCAGTATCCCCTCAGTCTCCCTCTAGTCCCCTCTCAGGCTCCCGTTAGTCTCCCTTTAGTCCCCCTTTAGTCTCCCCCCAGGCTTCCTTATATAGTCTTACTTACCAAGTAGTTGATCAGCCAAGGTTTGATCCTCTCCGTCGTCATTACTTGACAATCCTGCTGACACAGCATGGAAATGATCTTGAGCATTCGTTACGAGTTTTGTATCTTCCTCACTTTTCTTTTTCAACTCTATCAGATTATCTGACATTTTCTTCATTTCTGATTCCTTTGAAGTCAGCTGGTTTTGATCCTAATTAAAAAAGAAAAGTGAAAAATAGGAATTAGTGGACAAAAAGTTCCAAAATTTCCTGGGACTCAAATACTGCCGTTATAACGTAAATGTAATTGTGATCGATGATATCTCTCCCTTCCCGGTCACACAAGCGACCGTCTATTTGATTTTCCCCGACTTATTTCAACGCATATGCAAACTTCGTCACACGGTTGGTTAGGATTCGAAGCTGAAGTAAAGGTTAATTAGTTTGAGAGGTGAAATTTTCATCTAGAGTTGGCATGTATACAGTTAGATTTCAGAGTTATAATTTGAATGAGGGTTAGTATATAACCATTGCCTCTATTGTATTTTATTATACTACATACATCAGTTAAACTTTTCAGTAAAGCTTTCTTCTTCTTGTTTTCCGCGGCCAGTTGATCCTTAGCATGCTTCACATCTGAGTTTGCTTTAACGTCAACCTTAAGTAAACGAGAAAAAGTTTTGAAATTGATTCTTCCTGTTTAGGTCCTTCGCTAAATTATGTATTACCAATATACTGCAAACAAATTAGCACTAGTAATCTGTATGTTGTGAAGAATTGCACAGCCCGAGATTTACCTTGGAAAGTTCATTAACTTTGTTTTCTAAATTCTTGATCACCTCACCAGCTTCCTATACAGAATTGTTTGTATAGATTTGAACGCTTTTAGCTTGTATAATATATAGAACAGGTAATCCCAATAAAGAGACACGAAAAGCGCAAGCCAAGTGCCAGCATTTCTTCATTCATCCAACACCCATGCATTGTTTACCTCGTTTCTTTTCTTTTCCAACTCTCCTATCTCACCGTTGAGTACTTTGATTTGCTCTTCAATCTAAATACCAATTATAGGAATAACAAAATTTTACAGCAAAGAAATAGAATATCAGGGAAGCTGTAACAATTTCTCCAGGCGAGCGCGGAGTGGGTTAAATTCTAGACCATCGGAAACGCGATTCGCCACATTTTGGGCAGAGTTGCAAAAAGAGTTCAACCTTTCTCCGGTAGGATTTCAACTGAGTGGTAGAGGAAGAACTCTCCGCCTCGTACGCCTATGACAGGTCTTTACAATTTTACTATACCTGAACAGACTTTTCTTTTAAAGTTTTTATCAGATTTGCCATTTCATCGTATTCGTTTACAGACTTTTTCTGTATTTCCTATATTGACAAGGTTATTTTTTCACTCGATAAATTCAAGAAATTTTAAAGCTTTTGTATACATTTCAAGAAATTGACAAATACAGTACCTCTGCCTGTACAAACTGATAAGCAATATACAGCCTTGTGAGATGTTCCAATTCTCGTATTGTTTTTTGATAATCCAAATATGACGAGCGTTCCTGTATTTTAAGTTGATAAAAAATTATGTACGACTATCTATTTACGACTATTATATGCAGTGGTACTTGATTGCACATTGGCAATGCCATTCTACAAAATAAGAAAAAAACTAAGTATCAATCATTACCTCTTTCAGCTTCTTCAAAGTTGGTGTAATTTCTTCATTCAAAATCTAAAAATCAGTGCATTCTGTATATATATATATGATCATGCAGTTCCACAAACCAAAGATTGCAAAACATTTATAATACAGTACACTTTGACACATTGGCTTTATCTAATAGTTACACACAGCTAGGGTCATAGAAATGCTTGGTGGGAAAAGTTAATTACTGTTTCGATTTCTTTGAGTTTTGACTCCTTTTTTTCAATTGTTTTCTGGGCAGAAAGTTTCTTGCTCTCATACATTCTTGTGCCAGCAGCTTCTTCAATCATGGAAAGAATCTAAACCACCACATAATACTGCATTATGTAATGCATCCCTAATTATACCATTAAAAATAAGACAGCTGTCTTTTGGACGGCCAGTTTTTATTTAAAAGAGTTATTTTGATGTGACGGCTTTAGAACAAACATCTACTATTTGGACAACTTTAAACTGCAAAATTGGGAAAGCTAAAGAAGTTACAGCTACTGTTTCTTGATTTTTGCTATCTGTACCTTCACTTAGTGAATTTATTGTTCATTAGGTTATCTTTGGGCAAAATGTTTCTGTATACTTTTAAACTTTTTCATACTTCTATTTCGCATTTCTTTGTTAAGATTTTTTTGTTGTTAATAATAAACAAATAAACACATGAAACTAAGGCTGCATAGGTCAGGGCATAGTAACAATTAGGGAGCTAATAGACAGCATTTACTCTTTATTAGCATAAAATGCCCACCAAGAAGTACTCATTATTTCCATGGCTGTGAAAAGACAATTTGGATGAAACATTAAGTATACTGTACCTCAGGGGGTTTCATGTTTAAAACTTTGGTTATTCTTCCCTGAAAAAGAATCATACAAAATAAGTATATCTTTTGGAATTTAAAACCAAAGCTCTGTATCCTTAGGTTCAACCTTTGAATACTAATAATTTAGAATATCGAATAAAACATATTACAACTTTGTAATAGTGATCGATAGACACATACTTGCATAATGAGAAAATGAGGATTGTTCACATTTAACTGGACAGATCTAAATAAGTCTTGCACTCTTGTGTTATTTGCATTGCTTCCATTTATAAGATACTTATTTCTGCCACCAATAACAACCTGGAGAAAAAAAATGGAGCCAATGCTCAAAATACATGAAAATTCAGCGCAGCAGGGCCTTGTCACTGTATGGAGGGTTGGAGGAATACAATGCATTTTTTTCTTTAATTAATCATTTTTCTTCAATTAATCAATTTTTCATCTAATAATCAACTATTATTATCACATGCTAGATACCTGTCTGGAAACTGTAATCTCATCAAAAGTTTCATAACCAACTGGACTTTGTTTTTTGTCAGAATTATCAAATGATATTGTAACTGTTGCCTTGGTAACACCAGCTTGACCACCTTTATATACCAGCTCTTGAAGATTACTTGCTCGCACCTAAATGATGGCATACATTCCTACAGTCACTTACACAATTAAACCCACAATTATACATAAAATCACAAACATTTTAATCAATACTGTTGCTCCAATGCTCCAAGTACTGTACTGTATATCTATATCAAGACATCACATTGCCCAGTACGATTATAAGGGTGAATATTTCAAATTTCCTCCTTTTAGTAAACTTATATTTCTAGTGTATTATGTCACTCCCCATGTTAGAGATGTTACTACCTATGAAAGTGCACCTGAAGACAATGTTGCCCAACAGCACCTAGATTTTATCACTTCTTTGCAGTCAGAAATTGGAATCGCATGTTTGAAAACAGAACAACTTTGTGGCTGGCACAACTATAGAAAACCCTCACAAAGCAAGCTTATAAACCCACATATTAAACTCATTCAAACATCACAATAAATTTTATTTGTTTTTGTTATATTATAGTGCTGTAGGTTCATTTTGCTTGATTTATGAGATGCATTGCAAGTATAGATATCTTAACGTGCATGTTCTTCAAATGGATGATATTACCTGTTGAAGATTTGAGATACCAAGAAGAAAGCAAATAGAATCGAGGATATTTGATTTGCCACTGCCGTTTAAACCAGTTATGGCGTTAAATTGTGGGTCAAATCCGTTCACTTCTGTTCGCTGAGCATATGATTTGAAACCATCTATTATTACTTGTTTTATATACATTGCTGCTAAGAGAGAGATTTCTTTATTTCATCAATATTTTTGACCAATTTTCACTCCTCATCATCCAGTAAAAACCGATTGGAGAGATTCAATTTGGCGCGCAATTTTTGTTCCAGCATTTTACTTCATGTAAGAAAATTACAAAGTGTTCAATATCGGTCATTTGTGCTTCGCGAAAAATAATCATCGATAAATTGAAAATATATTCCTCTGGAGTGCCATTCTTGCTTTTACTAGTAACTGCAATTCGTTATTAAATCTGAGCTTCCAGAATAGCAGATTCGTCTGGCAGAAAACTCCCTGAAACCGCCGGCTGACCCGGTTGTGCCCAGCCCTCATTTCACTGCTGGTCATTTTGTGTTCTCCTTACTCTCTTCCGCCAAGCGAAATAAGAAATAAGGTTCTGATCCCACTCACATTGAAGCCATGACCGTGTGTTTTACGAAGTTGTAATAATGATTTATTGTACAGATCAAAGGATCCGGTTGAACCGTTAAGGTTAACGCAAAACGGTTCTAGTGACATCTGGTTAACGGATATGCACAAGAAAAAGAGGTGGTATATCATTACCCTGGTATGAAAATCGCATGTCTTTGGGAGGACTGAGGAGCAACCACCTCCTATCTCTCTCACTGCAAAATGCCAGCTGATGATGTAGCTTAGTAGCTGTACCACATCCAGTCATATAATATTCTCTAAACACTCTGGCTAGGCCCTCTCTTTAAAGCTTGACTATATGCGCCCATTAAAGCCGCCTTATATCAATGCGTATATCCATTAACACGTATTCGTAATTTAAATCTAATTGTATAGCAGCAGCTATTGTAGCTATTATATAGCTACTGTCCTGCGAAAAGGCTATTGAATGCAAAGGCCTCAATATATTGGGCTATATGGGCATTACAACTCACATAATAATTGTTTTACTTGTGTGTTAATCGTGAGTGCGCGCCCCAGTCTGTTATTCCTTCATTACTTTTTAATGAATGGGAAAAATACATGTGAAAAAAGCAAAAACAAGCCGTTTTTCTCCATTTTTCCACGACCATTCCGCTATTTGTTGGGCGTACATACTGAAAAAGCAATATTCATGAATATTCGCTTTGGTAGCTTTCTATAATTGAAGACAAAAGATCAAGTACTTATGACATTTTAGTGCTTTATTTTTTTATACAACCCCTTACTGCGATTCAGTTGAAACAAAAAAGTAGATACCTTACAAAGAGCAGAAAATGCCTTGGCAGGCTGTCGTTAAGTCTGTTATACTCAGTTTAGGATGTTGTGGATACTTGCAATTGCCGAAATTTAGTCAAACTCAAATGTAAGTGTGACTGACAGCTCCTTTTATACGGAAACAATATTAATCTTAAAACTACATAAATTTTGAAAATTGCATCTGGCTATATCACCTGCTTTGAAACTATAGCCTTGTATCGCTGGCAACGTCTCCTCCAAAAAAGACCAAGAATTGATTCAAACTAAGCCTTTCAGTTTAGCCGTTTCTTGTTATTCGTGGGATAGAATGAACTACGACGTAGAAACTTCAACAACATTGGCAATCAGGTGATTTATTTTAAAACCACTAAATACTGAAACGATAGTATATTAATGCAGCAAGTTCTACCGGCAATTAAGACTCTGAAAAATGCTTAGGGAACTCAAAAACACAAGCCCTCGCTATACTACTTCAGACGAGGCTGGCGAGTGAACTGAAATATGCTGCGCTATATAGACTTACTTTTCCCCAAATGACCTCGTTTTCAACTTTCCAATTTCCACGACGCAGCCCGCAGGACTAAGGAACTTTCAAATAGCTTCTAACTGACATTACTGATTTACTCTCACCCCAATTGCTTCGTTTCAACTTTTTGTGTTTTGGAAAAGCAGGGGCATATGTTGTGTTCCCATGTTTTGTACATGAATAAGCTTTCACAGAAGTAATTCTCGCTCTTCAGTGTCCAAAACATGAAAAGATATTACGCGCAGTCGCGCATGAGTATTATTGGGAAAAAGTAGTAAACGAAAAGGTCTATTTTTTTCAAAGAAGCATAACTATAGTCAATTAAAGCTACATAGAACAATACTATTTTCTTTTTCACAGATTGCCAGTGCTATATGCAAACATGATGACTATTTTGATCCTGAAACGCTCTGAGTATATCGAAGCAGGCAATGTCATAGTCCACAGGGATCACAATAGGGTTCTGGTTGAACACGCTGATATTTATCGTAATATCTCTCATTTCAAGCCAAAAAAATGTTTGGAATATTGTTTGTCAGATTGTCTTTGTCTTTCATTCCAAACATGTGATCATCAACTCTGCCAATTGTGTAGCTCTTCCCGCCAATCGCTCAACATTTCTTTTCAACATTCGAAAAATTGTCATTACAACTATTTCGAAAATCATAGTGCTACAGAGGTAATATATTAATTGTATCCGAGAATTGCATAATTATGTTTAAAGTTATCGTATTGAACAATAATGCTATAGACTAGAATGTTTAGAATATCAAAGATTTCTTCCTGAATTACTGTAGAATTCCCAATTACGTACAATATACTGATACTATCTAGACTTAGGAAACTGAATGATGACATGCATTCTTATATTCTAGCTAGTAGGGACCACGTAAAAATCGCTTAAATATCTGCGAAACAGTGAAGGCCGACTGAAATTTTTGTGACGAAAAATTTACGTAGGCCAGTGCATGGGACGACTGCTTCAACACGGCCAACAAGCCCCTCACCTTCCACGAAAACTATTTAACAAATAGAAATCAACCTCGCAAGCCAGGCTCTTTTACCTACGCTCCACGGCCCACGCTGCGGAGGTAAAAGAGCCTGGCTTGCGAGGTTGAACCGAAATCAGACTAAAGATTCGACTCAGAGATTTGGAAACTTCTCCTATAGAGCACACACCATGAACTGAAATTCTGCCACTACTCATAATAAAAGAACATTAAGATGTAAGACTGAAACGCCGCAATTTGCATGCGAGTTAATTGCAGTAATATTTGCAAGATTAAAAAATAAATATCGAGCAGGTATCATATTTCTTTTTAACAGCTTACAACAGGTCAGTGTACTCAGGGTTGTATACAAGATATAAACTGTTGTTTGACATCAACTCCATGTTATCATTCTGGAACATGCATACCAACTTTCTCAAGTGAAGGACAACGGTTTGAATGCAAATGTTCCGACGAGTATGAAGGAAGACGGTGCGAGAAGAAACGATGTAAACCAGGTTTCAAAGGAGAAAACTGTCAGGTGCGTATCAGGTCATGTCGTGATTACCAGGATACCAGGATGCGTCAGGTTTCTGGGCCCTACACTATAATCGATGGCGCTGACAACCCTTATATTGTTTTCTGCAACTTTGTTAAAAGTTACGGATGGACTCTTATTCAATCGTACAGCCTCGAGAATAAAGATAAGTTTGATAAGCCATTTATAGTTGACCACCCTTTGAATGAAAATAATCACTCTTGGGCGGAGTACCGTCTGTCCAAGGTTCGAATGGATCATATCAGTCATGCTGGGCCTAGTACACGTTGGAGAATTACTTGCAACTACGACACCGAGAAATTCAGAGCAGCAGATTTGGTAAGTGCTCGAGTTGACCAGGCACCACTTTTCATCAATGCAGGCGAGGGATGTTTCACATTTGAACACATTAGCATTCGTGGACACAGTTGTAATAACTGCCAGGCATTCATGGCGAACGATGGTATTCACCCATTATATATTGATCTTAGGCGTTCAAGACAGGTTTGTGGCTTCAATATACCAAACATTAAAGTATGCAACAATACAGAAACAGAAACTAGTTTTGGATATTACCGGTGTGTAAATCCAATCCATCGCTGTTCTTCATCACCCAACTCGACAACCCAAATGTGGCTCGATTAATAATTGGGCGTGAGGATTTATTATTACATTTAATCGTACGTTTTTGAATTTTTGAAAAGTAATGATGAAACAGAAGTTTTTTCAAGACGTGAGCATATACTGTCCTGAGACAAAAAAGTTTCTGTAGTCAGGTAGCGCACGAAAACTGCGACAATTTGACTGTTTTTGGTATCAACTAATTCATTTCCATTGCTAGTGTGATTATTTCAACCGAGTTGCATGAATCTATGTATTCATATATTCTTGATGTCTATTATTAGTAGTAGTTGCTATAACTTTGATTACGGTTAATAGAACTGAGATTAACCGTGCTTTGATTTAATCTTAGTATTCCTAAATCGAGAGTGTTCTTTAATAATTGTTGGTTCCAAAAATCAAATTTTATCAGTCGTTCGAGCATTTTTAGAACGGTTGAAAAAATCCAGCTATCCAGCCTTCGTACAAATGGCCCCAGGATGATACCAGGTGCTTTGATAGAACTTCCCTAAGTTCCCTTTATTAATGACTTCCAAATTCGTCTAGACTGTTTATCTATTGATCCATTGATGAGAAAGACGTGGCTTACAAGCGTTCTTGCATTCACTAACAATTTACACGTTCTAACAATGAACCACTTTTTATTGGAGTCATAATTAACGCAGACAACAGCATCTAGATCACTCATTAAAGCGCATATAATTACGTTTCCCGTGCGCGCTTTACTGTAACACCACACGGTAACGTGGGTACTGGGTCGGTCGATATCACGATAAATAATCTGTCTCTGTGCAGGTGTGACGAAGAACCGGCTAAATTTAAAACTCATTTGAAACCAGCCCACGACAAACAAGCATACTGTCAGACTCAACATGGTTTTTTAATTAAATTGGACTCTGCACTCTGCAGCGAGCGACCATGGTTGAAAGATTTGAAAACGCAAGACCGTTTTCCCAGAAAATGAAACTTTATCTTCGAGTAAAACCATAGGAAGCCCAGACAAATGTGTCGGCCATTTGACTATACAACTAGTGACGTAACTTACTATATTATTACTGCCCAATAATATTTGTCTGGGCTTCCTATGGTAAAACGCCGCAAATGTGATCATTTCAACTTTTAAGGCCAATATTTTCATTTTATCCTTTGACCGGCATCGCAAAAGCGTAGGTTCGATTCCTGCCAGAGGACCTATAGTTGACTCATTTTATTTTTTTTATTTAACTGTTCCTGGCTTGAATTTGAAGTGTGTATAATTCCACTCGAAATTAAGACCCTTTCAACCTCTAGAATTTACCTACATCGAGTGAAGTGCCAAAAATCATAATCGATTTACCCTAAACTATACATCATCATATTTGTTGAATTTAAAAGGAAGGAACACATGATAAGTGCTGAATCGACGTATGCTCATATTGACATGGAATTCATTTACATTAAATAGCAATTAACTGCAATTTTATGCAATTGCACAAAATAGTCTACACAGGATCAGTCTCATTCATATACAGTAGATCTACTAATAAATATATGCTGCTAATGTCAAATCAATAATATATATACCCAAGACATTCATTATATTTCAATCCTAATTTCAACAGCCTGGAATGTTTCTCTAAAACTAACATCCACATCCAGATGATTGGTCTTTTGGTGATTTTTCATTCAATTTTTTGACTCCAGGTTTTGAACCACCAATTCTTGTTGGATCACTATCTAGTGTCTCTGCCATCTTTTCACAAATAATATCAACCAATCTTTCAAACACTTCCTTAACATTTATATCTTCTTTTGCACTAGTTTCAAAGAATTCCAAATTGAGTTGATCAGCTAATTCCATTCCTCGTTCTTTGGAAACCACTCTTTCGTCTTTCATATCACACTTGTTACCAACTAAGACAACTTGTGCATTGTCCCATGAGTACGTCTTGATTTGTGTAGACCTAATAACATTAAATGAACACAGATAATCCATTTGTTCTAGTATGCATGCATGCTAGTACAATTTAATTTATCAAATTTGATCCTGTACATTATAAGAAACAATTCTGAAGAAATTTTTGAAAATGCAAATTTTTGAACATACAGTTGCTTATACAAAATTTCCACTGCTAAGGCTCATATTTCAAAAATCAACAAGTTTTGAATATTAAATAATGTAATATAATTTCATAGCAACTAACGATTTCTACATCACTTTTACACCGCCAACGCACTGATATTTGCATTTGTGTGTTACTAAGATCAGCTACTAGATTTATAATATTAAACGCTATTTCAACTTCCCTTATATCGGATAAGTAATTCTATGGTAATACAGGATGAACGTTGGGGTCGCTAGGCAATATTTACTTGCGAAAATAGTGTTCCTTTGTGGACGTTTTTGGATTTATGTACAGGAAAGGAGTGGTCAAAAATATGTGTGAATATTTGCATAAATTTTTGCAGAAAGAAGTACGAAGCTTCAAAAGGGGAAACAGACTTTTGTGATGTTCGCACTATATAGGGCTGTTCATTGGTATTGCAAAAGTAGAAAATGTACAAGAATATGAAAACTCTTAGTCAGTACAAAAGAATCGATTCAAAGATTTAAAATAAAATTGAATTGATTCTTAGTTATTTTGAACCGAGGGCTAATCAAAGATAACAGAGAGAACAAAATATTACATGACCAGGGGTTTGTTTATTTTGATCAAAAAATACGTTACTGAACTCTCCGTTTTCACTCAAACCCGATAATAGTAATACGTCTTGTTTCGTTGTATATATTGCTGGAGAGAAAGTGCTATATTAAAAAATTGTTCATTTTATAACATAATCAAAATGAAAGCTCACCAGTCTTGAACGTCTCGAAATGATTCTTCATTTGTTATATCGTATAGTAGAATAAAGCCCATTGCTCCACGGTAATAGGCTGTTGTTATAGTACGGTATCTTTCTTGCCCAGCTACGAACAGAAAGAATATGCAAAATTTAGTTGAAGTTATGTACACGAAGTTCACAATTGAACTTACCAGTATCCCATATTTGCAGCTTGACTCGTTTGTCGTTTCGAAAGACAGTCTTTACTTTAAAGTCTATGCCAACTGTAGATACAAAGGCTGAAGTGAAGGAATCATCGGCATAGCGGAAGAGCAACGATGTTTTTCCCGTAGCGGAGTTGCCGATGATGAGCAATTTAAACATATAATCAAAGTTTTGATCGGCAGCATCTCTTTGCCACGTCTTGTCATCCGCAGACGCCATTACTCGCTGCTCTGCAGTGTTTGCTTGTATTTTGCATATGTAGCAATTTTGGCAAATGAAAGTGCAGAAAGTATAAATCGAACATTTCGTCCACCAATCAGAAAAGGGATTAATGGATTATTATGCAAAGTAATGCAAAGTGGGATAAACATTAAGTGGAAATATGCAGTTTCTTTCACGATTAAGTTGTTGTCCAATATAAAGCAAAAGCTTCAGTCTCATTTGTTAAAATACAAAATGATGCAAAAAAGATTGACCTTTCAGTTTTATTCTATTGTCGTCATTGCTGTAATTTCGTAAAATGAAAAGATCAATCGTTGATATCGTTTATAAGGGATAAAACGATGAAATGGGGGATAGAACACTGGAATGGGAAAAAAACGCTAAAATAGGGATAAGTGTTGAAATAGAGATCTTTTGTTTCAAGAGGGCAAGCTCGCCCAGTTACTTGTGACCACGTCACGTGGTTTATAAGGCACACGCAGCACGCGAAAAACCTGGGAACGAGGGTGGAGACCATTATTGTAGCTGTAATATTATACTCGGTCCGCGGTGTAAAATTGTTCCAGCCCAACTCACAAAACAGAAATAATGAGTCTGCGGCTGAAGAAAATACATACGCTATAGCCTAGATGGAAATTCGTACCATTATGCAGTAGAGAGCTATATTTATTAAATGTACTATATTGTTACATAAAAGCGTTAAAAGTACCTCATTGTGGTAAGAATAGATTACAAGTTTCGTATTAATAGATAGTAGGTATATATAAACCTCATCTTATAGTTATATACCACCCAATAATTTAAAATTGTTATAAGAGAAAAATTAACTGCATGACTACAGCAACGATAGCTGTTTGAAACCTTACTGACCCCATGCAAATTGATTTTTGCTTAAACAAAACTCATGCAAATAAGCAAACTTGATGAATGAAAACAACGATCAATAATAGATAAACCTGTCGCTCACAGATATTCCTCATTTTCAGTGTAAACTAACTAAACTGCATTTTACCGTAGTTTACATATTCCGTGATATTTATTCCCTGTGCATGAAATAATGGCTTAACTGCAGCAGTTTTGTACTTATCTTATGAGAGTCAAAAAAATGTCCGGTGAAATTTCCGGTGATTTATAAAATGCTAAATTAAAGCCGTGTTTACACTACACTCCATTTATATCGGCACAGCACGGCTAAAATGGTGCCTGTGCCCATTTCATCCGTGCCCTGCCTTTGTATTCGTAGCCTGAGCACTAATCAAATAAAATTGGGTACGGGTACCGATTCTAGACGTGCCATGCGTGTCAATAAATTGACTGTAAGGTAAACAGGGCCTAAATCTACCACAAATTCCCAATAGCGTTCTTATTCGGTATAGCTTTCAATTGGAGGGCAAGTACACACCAAATGCTGGTCTCCGTATTTGTCGTCAACTCTGGATACCGTAGGCCAGAATTTATTTGTGTGGTTGATCCAGGGCTGAAAAAATTTTAAAAAATAGATGACAAGCTAATCGTAAAGATATGGGTAAGACATACATGGTGGGCTTCGGTCGTGCATTCGTGTGTGCTATGGTCGCAGTTACTGTTGCTCTAAGTATGCTGGTTGGTATAACGTGTGGTATAGAGTTCTTGACAGTTGGTCTGCATGATACGTATTTTAGTCAGGCCACTAGGTCAACTGAGCTACTAGGTCTGACTAGATTTTAATCCTACAGTATAACAACTTCGAAACGTCTTGAGGTCTGTCCTATAGTTGCTCAAATGGAGGAGAGTTGAACTATAATTAGCGTTATGTTTGTTGATAACATGTTGGTATCATTATCGTCGCTTTTGTTAAATCTGTTGGCCATGTTACGGCTGTTGCTATATACGCCTGTTTCTATAATTGTTTGTTATTGTTTCATCTTCATGTCGGAAAAACTTACAGCTGGATATGCTGCTTGTTTTCTTGTATAGGGTTTGTTCCAATTTTCGCTTAAAACCAATTGATTGTGAGGTGCATTCTGCCAAAATACATGATATTAAATAAGAAAATGGAGATATAGCTAAACGTAGATTTGTACAATTTTGAATTCTTGAGACCGTCTTCTTGTATCGTGAAAAAAACAATACAAGACTCAATGTTTGGAAATTACAGTATACTCCAACTAAAATACATAGAAATTTACAAAAATTCTTGCCTTCAAAGGATTGTCCTTCGCATCCATTCGTCCTTGCTCAATATCGGCAATCTCATGTCTTATGCCTACAGACATGGAAGAAAGAACATCAATTTTTTTTGTGGGTATGACTTATGAGGTTAAAATATACGTATAAGTTACTTATATCAAGCGAACGAAAATACTTTTATTCGATTCTATTTTACATTTAAACGGTCCTTTAATGGAGAGGAGCACATACGAAAATAAAAACAAAATTCTCGATGTAGATAAGGGAAAAATGTACCCAACAGTGTGTCCCTTAATGGAAGCATCTACCTTAAATAATCAGGGATGAAGAAAAACTTACGAATTAACGAGTCACAGAATCGATCCAACTCTGCCTTGTCCTCGCACTCTGTCGGTTCGACCATAAGGCTGCTTGGCACTGGCCATGACATTGTGGGCGCATGGAAACCTTAGGAAAACAAACAAAAGAAGACCATTACCAATGTCATTCAGATATCCCGGATGAGGTTTTCAATGGACTTCCCCAAACGCCAGAAGTCGATAAAAAAGGGGATGTATATGTTTGTTACAGGTTAAAATAATGACACGCGCAGAGCTCTGCATGTTTTTTGCTACTGTGAGCTTTATGGTTGTTATGTAAAAAAGAGAAATGAAAGGTCTTTCTAAAAGACAAAAGTTTCCTCTCACCGTAATCCATGAGTCGTTTTGCAATATCAATAGCTTCGATATCTGCAGTTTTCTTGAATGTTTTTACGTCAAGGATGAATTCATGAGCACAATAACCTGCGTATTAGACAAATGTGGCTATTAAGTTTAGGTTACCTCTTGACGGTACGAAGCTACTTTACTAGATACTTTAGAATGCATATACAAAATAGGACAGAAGAAATCGTCATAGCAAACTATAGACATACCATTCTTTCCAACAAATCGAATTGAATAGTGATCTTTGAGTCTTGCGGCCATATAGTTAGCATTTAGAATGGCGACCTTGGATAAAAAGTATTAGCTACTTAGCCTAACACAAGAGAAATACCTCGTGTCCGCCCGGTTTACGTCCGTCTTATGATAGGGAAACAAGAAGAACAGGAAAGAAAAACTCTTCGTCTGTGCTAGTTATTTGAAGCTAACGACAGCTTATACTGCCTTTATTATAGTCTTTTTACCAGAGATGGAACAGTGGGATGTAATCACAAACGAAAACAAGAACGAGGACGAAATGAACAGCATTAACTTACTTTAGATGCGTGTGTAAGTCCTTTAGCTCCCATCATTTTAATGTAAGCATAAGAGATTGGCAGAATACCAGGTGAGCCATAGGGTGCTGCAGAAATAGTTCCAAACGATGTCTCCTCATTCGTTCCCATCGGAGGAATAACAGGATGGGAAGGAAGGAATGGAATAAGGTGTTTCTTTCTAGAAAATTTAAATATAAATGCCGGTCATACAAAGAGCCGGAAGTTGGTCAATATTACGACAGGAATTTGCTTTGATTTGTCAGTGAAGTTCTTGTTCTTGTAAGATACAAGCAAGCAGCCTGAGTTAGCAAGCAATGGGCAAAAGGGTTATAAAGACATCTCATGTTTACCAGATACTTTGTGCACGAGTGGATAAGGTACTGTTAAGACTCTTTTCAATAAGTCAACCTAATTTTTCCACGTATTCATGGATATCAATACTTACACTCCAATTGGCCCCATCCCAGGCCCTCCTCCACCATGTGGGATGGAGAACGTTTTGTGTAAATTCAAGTGTGAAACATCAGCTCCGTAATCTCCTGGACGACAAAGACCCACCTTGGGATATGCAAGGATAGTAGAGCTTAAAACAATTACCAACTCAATTATATTAGAAAATATCACGATCAATTTCATTCCAATAGAAATAATCGAAACCTACCTGAGCGTTCATATTTGCCCCATCAAGATAAACTTGTCCTCCATTTTCATGAATCAAGGCCAAAACATCTCTAAAGAAAACGTAAGTATCAGTAGACGAATTGACAACTGCGTGCCATACAGTGTCCTTCAAACATAGCTATACTTGATGTAATAAATTTTCCCCCGATTAATCGTCTTTCTTTACCTTATATATTCAGAAGCGTGAAGCATAATATAGTAAGGTATGAATGTGCGTATAAAACTTAAACCAGTGCAACGTTGTGAAATGGAAACATAATTTGTTACCTAATGCCTTCATCAAAAAATCCGTTGGTGGATGGATATGTTACCATGATAGCACCAAGATTATCTTTGTGTATTTCAACCTGAAGGAATAATTCAAAAAGTGAGAAAGGCGAGAAATGAAAAACAAAGTATTTACATACTTTGTAATAAAAACAAATATACATGATCGAAAGAATAAAAAATCAATAATACTTTTCTTGAATATCATGAAATGTTTTTTTACAATGTTACTGTGCTTAGTGTGCATGAGAGGTTTAGGGATTCAATTCGCAGGCAACATAAACAATCAATTACGTCACTGCTATATACCTCTTTCTTTAAATGTTCCATCTTGATTTCGCCATATTTTCCAATCTCAATAAAAACTATTTTAAAGCCAGCCATTTGAGCGCTCGCTGGATTAGTTCCATGAGCTGATTTTGGAACAAGACACACCTGGAATGAATTAAGACAGTCATATACCAATAAGGAGCAATAAAATAATCCACTTTGTAAGTAACATGTTCCCTAGTTCTAGTGTGGTTTTAGAAGACAAGAATTCTGTGAAATATAATATATAATAACAGGGATTTTTCAAAACAAGTGCAGAAATTGCATTGCTGCATGTATTATCAAAATGAGAACATTCAAACTGTCAGTGAGACAATGGACATGATACAGTTAGGTGGTAAATTAACCAATATGGCCGCTAATGACAGTTAATAAAGTCATGCAAATTTCTCAATCCAGGACTATGAAAACAACTCTACAAAGTCTCTACGACCTCGTAAAATAGACTTTTGAATTTTTTCACTTATAATATATAACAAGCTTCATCGTACCATACCTTTCTATTGCCCTCTCCTCTGCTCTCGTGGTAAGCTTTGATTGCCATTAATCCAGCATACTCTCCCTGAGCACCGCTAAATGTTACAAAAAGGACAATTAGGTATGTCGTCACAATATTGCAAAAACAACACGCAAAGGAAATCGTGGCGAAGCACGCATTTGTAATTCATGAAATCATGGCTACGAACACAAGTGTGTATACTTCCAGGAAAATCTGCTTGTCTTTGAACGATCTCGGGATCTCTGTGCCAAATCTTGACCGCATAAATAGTGAACTTGCTCAAAATAACTACCTGTTTGGCTGGAAGCTGATGGCATCGAATCCAGTTATTTCACATAAATCGTGTTCCAAATCTTTAATCAATTCAGTATATCCTTGTGCTTGTTCAGTTGGGGCAAAAGGATGAATGTTTGCGAATTCTGGCCAGGTTATTGGCTGTGATATAGTTATAAAAAATCGGAATATAATGAATGCTACAGACTATTAGCCTCCGTCAGAGTAAAACTGTGAAAAATTGTTAAAATAACAACTCGTGATTCTGACGACGAATTATGTTGAGTAGCTGAAAACTGAGTGTAAAACATTTTCATATCACTTTGAGTAACCACACGAAAGATATTTTAAACTTTGAATTTTACCTGTAATTCAGACGCTGCGTTTAATTTCATTGTACACGAACCCTAAAACAGAGTAACAAACAAGCCCTTTTGAAGATAAAGGAGCATGAACTTTGGTTTAGATACACAAAATCCCGAATAAATTCTTCACTTCGCCTCCCTAATATAAACTCTCTAAAATCCTCGACACTAAATACTTACAAGAGGAATCATAGAATGAACTAAAGATAAATCCTTATTCTCCAGATGTTTCATATATCGCATGATTTGGGTCTCAGAGTGATGAGTGTTAAATACAGGATGTTCGAGGTAGGTACTACGACGTTTATGATCGCTCAATAAAATGCTGCTTCCCAATGTTTCACCGAATTGGCTGTTTGCGAGACTATCCTGTTTAAAAAATTAAACGAAATGGTAATCGAACACAACCGTGATCTAGGGATTTTTGGATAGACCTACATTCTATAACATCTCTTACAGCTGATGCTTGTACCACATCACATGGTCAGCAGCTGGGCTGCACCTTTTTCACAAAACCACACCGGCTCCCAACCGAGGTGGCGAGTGGCAATGCACTAACAGCATCTAATCAACCGTGCATACACGCTTTCACGGCTGCATAGCAATAACATGCAATGTGCTTCAGTTTCTCTACTGCAAAATATTCTTTATTCATTCGTTCATCAAGTAATTCATTGAAAGAAACCCACCGAAGTTTCTTTAGAACCAAATATTGACAGTAGATCATCCAAATCTTTTTCAACAACAGTTTCATCCATTGAGACACAAACCTAAAAAGGGAACGCCCTCCATAACCAAAGCATACCTTTCCAGCCTTAACTTAAAATTAGCACTTAATAGGACAAAGTTATTTTGGCTGAATTTCTCAGACGAACGGGAATGCACCCGTTTCCATGCATCAACGTACGTGATCATTATCCAGCTTTCGAAGATTTATTTTATGTGCAGCGGCTTTCTTCATTATTTCATCTGCAGAACTATCAGCACATTTCACCTAAAACGTGCGTAAGAAACTTTCATACAATCATAAAAATATTTCATTACATGACATTTTGTAAGTATATGTTTAATACCTTCAGTGTGTCAAAGAAATGCTCTTTCTGAATTTCGTGACCAGCACGTGTTATTCCTGGAGAAAGGAATTGTATTGGAAATGCCAATCATAAGTTGGGTGTCACTAAGACATATATCTCCGGGTTTAACGGATTTTACTGTCCGGGATTCTTTTTAATACAAAAACTACTCAGGGGATGTAAGCCAATAGTTAACCAAACAGTAAAACCTTACACCTCATATTCAGTGAAGAAAATTAGTACCTATATAAAACATACAGGATAAAAAGGACATAAAAGAAGCTTACCTTCGGCTAAAATGAGAGTAGCATTGTGAACTCTAGTCGCGATGTTCTTCAGGCCTTCAGGTCCATGATAAATACTGAACAATGAAGCGAGATTAGCAAGCAATGCCTACAGTAAAAAAATGAAAAAAGTGTATAACATCACCTTTCGAAAATTACTTTACTATTATATATCAGTAGCGATTATAATGGGGGATTTAAGATAGTTATATTAAGTAAGGCGATGGTTCACAAGGGACTTGGCGAATTTGGGACTGTGCTCCAATCCGTCCGGCTCAGATTTCACACGGTAAAAATGGATGAAAACGTGACGGTGTATTCATTTCATTAAATGTATATATATAGTATATAAATTCTGTTCACCTGTGCAGTACAAATATTACTTGTAGCCTTATCCTTTCGTATGTGCTGTTCCCTGGTTTGAAGAGCAAGTCTGTAGCATTTTTCTCCCATGGCATCCCTAATTATGAGATAGCTGCATCAGAATATTTTTTATTACAGCAAAAAATTTTGGTCTTTTGTTTCCTCATTGCTGAATGATGTCTTTACGCCCAAGCCTCGCCTTTACACGAACAGTTAAGACCCTGAGAACACAGGCAGTTACTATATAACAATTGGCTGGAATCTATGCACTGTTTTGTACGACTGTGAGTCAAAAAGAAGCATCTGGGAAGGAGGAAACTGTTTTCCACTAAGACTTAAGACGAAAAAATCATGTGTGTTGATTCCTGACATGTTGACCATAGTATGTTCAAAACTATAGCACGATAAAGCTCGAATAGAATTTAATAAGTTCACGGCAACCAGGTATATAATCAATCGCAATTATCGCAACTCTGGTTTTAATGAAAGTAGTGACCACACAAAGAATGTGGTTGTAATTTTTGTGTGGTGATTACTTTCATTCATTAAACCAGAGTAGCGATAATTGCGATGGACCATACAGCTCGTTATCATGCCACCATACGGTTCACTTGGATGCCACGTACCATAAAGCTCAGAACCATGCAGCAGCGACCATACAGATATAACTAATGAGTAATTGAATAAAGATTTAATTTCAAACGGTGACATACTTTGTAACACCAATAAGTCGTCCAGGTAAAGATCGTGGCAGTGTTCCAATATTTCGCGTTGCAAAAAATCCAGCATGTGGGCCACCATAACCTAAATTCATAGTAATAATTTTTTAATCAAACCAGTTTCAGAAAAATAAAGCACCGCCAAAATGGCAAATCTATGAATCACGCGAGAAAAGCTAATTTACTAGAGTACTAGCTTCTTAGATGTTTACATGCCATGGACCATAATTTAAAATCCGCTTTCTAAAACAGCGAACCTACCTAATGGCACCCCAAATCTTTGACTGTTTCCAAATGCAATATCAGCACCAAATTCTCCCGGAGATCGGAGCATGGTAAGAGCAAGGAGATCTGTTGCACAAGCAACTAACGCCTTTAAAAAAGTGTTGTAGATATGTTGGAGACTTTAAAACGCTCAAAATTTGTCGAAAACTGTACGTAAATCATGATCATCGGACGTTCCTTATGTACTCGAAATTTCGTTTCAAACTTGCAACAAGAAAGCACATCAAAAGCAAGATCCGGATGATCCTCTACAGTACCTGTGCATGATGAGCTCTTTCAGTGAGTTCTGTGTAATCGAATATACTGCCATAAGTGTCTGGATACTGAATAATAATTCCGCTAACATCCTTTTTTGACAGATCAAAGTTTTCTTTATCAGTCACAATTATTTCCAAGCCTTGGCCCAGCGGTCCCAAAGTTCTAGACACCACAGAAAGCAAGACCAATAAAGAATTGCTCTTTTTTATTTTTCATTGTTTAATGTTTTATTATACCTTCCTCTCGTTTGGATCAATGCGATGGTTTGCGGGTGAAGGTTTTTGTCGACATAGAACTTTTCCTTCTTATTAAACCTGGCAACAATATTACATGGAATGTAAGTCAAATTTTTCTTAAGAATATATTGTATCTCGTATTTTCATATGTTATAGTAAAATTATAGAGCGCGAACTCTGAAATTTCCGGCGTGTGCTAAAATTATACTTTGGAGTAAGGGATTATAATTGGTTCATTTTGACGACGAAATGACGTGCTTGAATATTCAATTTCATGATAAAAATGGCCGAGCCGTGAGAGTCTGGAGAGAGCGCGGTCAGGACACAGAATTGGGCTTTTTGAGGTTGATAAAAGGTTCGGTCATTGTGGTCAGAGACTATATAGTCACGTTTTCGTATTGAATGTTATTATGTTAACGACTCTTTTTAAATTCTCGAAGAGAATGGACGCTGATAAACACGTCTGATTGTTTGTACCCTTTTAAAAAGTGACTTAACAATAAGGACGGCAGATAATAGTTAAGTGGGGGGGCTAATATTCATATATTCACGTTCAGCATTAGTAGTTCCTTTTGAAATTGATTGTTTTTACGGTCTGCTAACATGAATATATGGATATTAGCCCTTCACTGCTCCACTTTACGATCTTCCGCAGTCCATGTTTTTAAAAAACATTGACCAAAACACAAACATATATCACAGTTAGGTGCATACTATGCAGTATGCTATGTATAATAATATAACTGTGCTAACTGGTCGAATGCATACCTATAACAAATTCCAACAGCTTCAGCTCCTGCGGTAGCTTCATCCAACAATGACGCATTAGCAACATCCAAACCAGTCAGTTCACAAACCATTGTTTGAAAATTAAGCAAGCATTCTAAACGACCTTGAGATATTTCTGGTTGGTAAGGTGTATATTGAGTGTACCTAAAATAAGGAAAGTTAGTGTTTGCATTACATCCCAAACAAGGGGGGGGGGGGGGGGGTTAAGGTACTAACTGTCCTGGCATGGGAAAATAAGGGTAGCAATGACTTACCATCCAGGATTTTCCAAGCAACCTCGTAGTATCGGTGGTGGTACAAAACAGTTGTAATAACCAAGTCCAATGTAAGATCTCCATATTTGATTCTTACTTGCTAAGTGTGCCAGCTTGTTATGAAGATCATGCTCGCCTATAAGTGTTCAGTATATATACACAATTACTATATGTTTACTACATATTAGCTCAGACCCAGCTGAACAGGGCTGCCCATCGGACAGTTATATTTTCTAAGAACAATAAAGAATAAATATCCAGTGCTGGTGGGTGCTTTATCCAGCATTCGTGCAACCGGTCCCTCAGAAGCACTCGTGCCCGTTATAGCTTGGTCTAATGATATAGATAGCGTTTCTTTTTCTTGATACAAACGTATGTAGATTGTGGATGGCGAAAACGTGCATATAGGTTATACCATATTATAAGCAGAAAAAACGTAACGTTGGCGCTCTAGGCTAAGAACCAAAAATTGCTTTTCGTTTGACTTTCGAAAACGTATTTTGTGTTCAGTGAGAAAAACAAGAATATTTTGGGAAACGTCTATCGTCTTGAACAAAACAATCGAGTTTTCTTTCTTACACATGTCGATCACCCTTGATAGCAATGTCAATGAGGTGCTACACCACGATGAAAAAATTATCTAACGCAAACAACTACATGGCAACGTAGAAAAAACTAAAAGAAAAATTGATAATGCCGAGTGGAAAATTGTCTTACCGATCGGAGATGCTTCTAACAGAAATTATGTATTTATGACGTTTCCGGATAAAAAAATTCACACAATTGTACATTTTTAAATTAGATATGTCCATATCAACAAACTTTTTGTTTTTTGTTTTGAACTACTGTTCATTCATATTTATATTTATTCATTGAAAGAACTTAATTGGAACCTTTTGTTGGGGACACTACAGGGGGCAAGACAAGTATACAAAAGGGCATAAAAAAGGAACCTCTGGAAAAATCAACTTTGTTCTCAGATGCATTTCATGCATGTCATATTGCTATTTGCTAATGTCATTAATAACATTAATCTTATTTGATTCTGCTTTAATTGTGCCCTCAAATGTATGATAATTTGATAAAAAAATGTCATCATAAATGATCCTGGGATACCATTGCAAGCTATTTAAACTAAAGAGAACTAAAGTCCCTTGTGCTTTAAGAGATTCAAATATTGTGCATTATTTAAACTTGCTGTATTGGGACTCCAGTGGACATTTGGTTATATAAACACTATGGAGTATTCTAACCATATTACCAATACTAATGTAAATATTAATTAAAGTATATTTAAATTACACATGATATCAATAAAAATTATTCTAAAAATATAAATCTGATAAACAAAATATAAAGTAGGACTATTATATTTTGCTCCAAAATTGTCTAGTTTAGTTTTGTTTTGTATGTCTTAATGACCATAGGGACACAGGGTTCCTTTTACAGTCTGATATAAATTTATGCGAATTATGTAATCCTTAAGATATAAGGGTTAGGTATTTAATCTTTTTATCAGCAATTTGACACCAAGTTGTTTTGACTGAATACCCATTTTTTTAATAATTTAAACGGCCTCACATTTTAGCTGGTTTAAAATCAAAGCAACAAAAATACTTAATTGACAGATGGGAATTAGATTAAGAAACATTTAGCAAACCTCTATCTAGCTCCCCAACCTTATTGGCTCCTCTTACCTCTTACATGCCCTCCTCTTACCAGCCTTAATGTCATAGATGGTATTAAAATATACAGGTTTCACACGTATTAACATGTTTGGTGTCGCAAAAGGGCTAGCTTGCAAATATTCTTTCTGGTGTGAATTTAGAACAAATATTTAAACACACATTGTGAATTATGGGAAATTTACAATTATTTCATCTTTTGTCAACCTGCTTTTAATCAGCTAGTAAGCAAATAATGAACAGGTTGTTCAAATTACAGTGAGTCAGTGTAGATTTTGAGCCTTTGCATGGCAACCATCCTTATGCATGAATTCCAATTCTTATTCAATGCTATTCTAGGTAAATGAAGATAATACAGCATGATATTCTATTTTGCTTGTATTTCCGTTTTAATACTGTTTATAGTTTCGACGCTATAGGCTAAATTATGTATACCTTTGCTGCCTTGAATATCCATCTCTCCTTGAAAGCGTATATCAATAGGTACTGTTTTATCCACCAACTCATCGATGTTCTTGAATTGCACAGACAAATTATTGCAGTTTTACAATCGTACTTTATGCCAAATTCGAACCACGATAATATATCAACGTTTCTCAGCCGACCTACCTTTAGACCTAAAAAGTTTGTCATTTCTTGTTCAGTCTCACAACTTAACCCGATATGCCGTGACGGAAAGTGATCCGTTTGTGGCAAGAGTTGTTCAATTTTTGAGATGCCTGTTGAACAGCATCGACTAGAGATAGCAAGGGCTGATTTTGCTGATGTTGTTCCTAGCATCATGTTGGAAACACGAAGTGTTGTGATAGCTGTACAAGGTCGGTACATAGTTTATGCTTGTGCAAGAAGATGAAATAAGAACTAGAAACTATTCGGATAATCTCATCTCCCTTCGGATATATAAACGAAATGACGCACATTTCGCGGGTATCATGCAGTTCGGTTCCTTACGATCATAAAATAAACAGCATCCCGATCTCCCAAATAAGGAAGGTACGAAGGAAATGACTTGACTCGCTTGCGTGTGACTTCGGATAATTACTTTAAATTAAGGTTGGAATGGGGACGAATGGGGGGCGTGACCAGACTTAATACAATTAAAACTGAAAGTCTGAAACTAAACGGACACATTTGCTTTGCTGGAAGCTTTTCAAAACACAACTCCATCCTTTTTTTCTAGCAACATACCTGAGCCTGTTTGAAGGCATTAGATTCACTGATACATCAGTGATTTGATTCCTTTTAAAATCTTCGAGTAAAGACCCTGGGAACGAGGTTGGTCTTGGTTGTCTGACATCATTATAGCTCAGCAGCCTGATAGCTCAGTGTCTGACATTTATAGATCAGGTTTAGTTGCAACACAGTTGAGTGTTGAGTACGAGCTAAAAAAAGCTGTAAGTGGTTTATAAATTATAAACCACTTACAGCTTTTTTTATAAATTATAATTGATTTCATCATAATATCCGATCTCGTTCCTCAGCCGGAGAAACAAAGGCTCTGCCCAGCCTCTACTATAATGGTAGTGTCCTTATGTTACACGCGAAGACTGGCCAAATAGTTGCGATATAAACTAAGCTAACTCAGCACTTGGCGAAAGAACTCTCCCCACCGTCCGCGTTATAACAGAGGGGGAGATGCAATGCGGCCCCCAGGTAAAACTTAACCTTGTGTGTAATGTATGTGCAGCTAGTGCGTAACCAGGGCGCAGTGAACACTGTGTTTTACTGCGCCCTGTGCGTAACCATAGACGCTGCGGCCTTGTGAGATAAGCTTTTTCTGGTCACGCGAGCCACGGGGCGGTAGAGACCGCTTATTCAGGCACACACTTGGAATTTGGAAATTACAAGATTTACTGTAAACGCGAGAAAATAATATGTCCAATGCGATGTTTTTATATTCTTTTGGTGTTTTGAAACAATACTAGATGTTCTTTAACATAAAAATAGCTATGACTCTTGAAAGGAAACTCTGATGGCTAAACGGCTTAGTTTGCTAAAATGTTTTGTTAATAGACTTTTAAATCCCAAAAGCAGGGCGCTTATATATATATAATATATATATATATATATATATATATATATATATATATATATATATATATATATATATATATATACTTATATATATATATTATAAAGCGCCCTGCCCAAAAGTGAATGCGGGCCAGCCACTGCCAGCCTATGGCCAGCCCAAGCCACTGATCTCGCTACAACAACTGGTTTGATATGAAAAACAAACATGGCGAGTTCAATTTCTTGTTTACCTGTAAATTCCAGTCTTGGTTATTTGGCGAAATGTCTCGGAGCTTTGAATCCAGTCCCGTGGGATAAGGTAATTATTCTTTATTAATTTTGACAATACTTAAATTTACAGTTTTAACTAATGTTACATAACCAAATATTATATCCCCTTTGCAGGTTCGAAAGTTGGTTCGTCTTTACCCAAGAGTTTCAATCGATTCTACATTGCCTTGCTCACTAGAAAAAAGAAACTTGGATGCTGCTTTGGCAATTGAAGTTTTTCTACTTGAATCTCAACTGCAGCATAAGGATAAGATTTTGCCATTATTATTGAACCTGCTAAAGTGTTTACCTTCTGTCATGTTTAATGAAGCCAATGAAGTAAGCAGAATTACAAAAGGATGCCTTGCAGAAGAGTTCTCATTTCATTTTGTTTCATTATTACTGGAGATAGCAAGTTTAGAAACGGATGGTGGTGCAGATATTGTTTTGGCTGTGATACATACTTTTCAAGAACTTGTTCAATTGTGTTGCAATGTTGGACAACACACAGATGTCAAAAAAGGTAATTGGTCTATAATTTTGGGCAAAAGGTTATTCTTAGTTAAATCAGTTTGATCATTGCAAGTATATATATTAACCATTTAGAGACCAAATCTTCTCACTTTCCATAGATTTGCCCTAAATTTATACCCGATGTACTATACTCACAAACTATATGTCTTATTTTTCAGCATTTATTTGCAAAGTGACAATCCCTGTTCTTCTTGGAATCTGCCAAGCTATCAGTGCCAACTGTTCTAGATCAACTATATCTTATATCAACCTCCTATGTCATAAACAATGCAGGAAATGTGGTTCAGACTTCAAGTTGAAACCTACAGTGACAGCATGGGATAACACTGATGAAACTACAACAAGCAAAAGCAGCGTGTTTACAACAGTTTTATCAACAAGTCACCTCAACGCAATTCTTACTGAAATTGAAAGTTTGGTTTTATCAGAAAACTTACCTGAACTGGATAGAATACTGGCTGAGCTTAATCAGGTACTGTGAGCACTGGTCAGGGGTATCTGTTTGAGAATTTGAGGTGTAGTAAAAAATTACCGGTACCTATGAAATATGAAATTTATAGAAATAAGTATAGCTATAGCTATAATATTAAATTTATAGAAGTAAGTATAGCTATTTTTAATTTGAAATAATTAAAATAATGATGAGTTAATTCTCTTTGTGATATATGGCATCATCATATAGGGAAAAAGAAAGTTTGTAATATGTGATTTTTATTTTCTTCAGTTTCACGAAATACTTTTTCACATTGCTTGCCTTTGCAATCTGCTAGTCTTTTTCTTTTCTTTTAGACTGGTAGTTTACCAGAGAAATTTCCATATCATCACTATGGGGAACTTATAATTGATGCAACTGTAGGCATGTTGAAAGACCTTTGCATTAACAGAAATGGTGAGCTACAGACTGCTCTGTAAGCATGAAGAGCACAAAATACATACAAAGAATTAATCATCTTATCAAACTAGGAACTAAACAATCACAAAATGATCATGAGGTCTTGCATATATGAGCTCAAAACAGAGCTCATATTTGTGAGACAAGGGCCGGAGACATGATAGGGAGGCATCTGGACAATAAGTTGTGTTCTAGCTGGGGAGTCACTTGGGCCACCATTTGCTCTGGACATAATTTGCTAGTTTCCTCTTAATATCCTGAGCAAGGCAATATGACAAGTGAATTAGAAAGTTTATCTTTCACCTAGTCACACATCTACAAAAGTACATGTTGTTTGAGGGGTAGATTTATATTTACATCATTATGTGACCTTCCTTATTCCAGGCATATTCCCTTTTGTTTCAACTTGTTGATCATACCATGTTTGGCAATTCTTTACCAGAAGAAGTAATGTTAGGTTTAATCTCTTAGATAAATTACCACCTCAATCAGTGGAAAGTGTTCAAAACTTCATCAAAAATCTTTTCATCAAAGAGAAAACTGGCGTGCAGAAAAGCAAGCACTCAAGACATGACTTACAGTGGAAATTTCATGTTCTTGCTTCGTGTGTTGATCTTTTAGTCTGGTCAGCTAAAGATGATGCAGGTTTGAGATTCTCAGTAACTCTGGATTACTCGAGTGAAAACGTTTGTTCTTTGTTCTTACTTGTTTTAGTTGTTTGGTACTTTGGTAGAATGATAGGCAGCCCACACTTGGACTTGCGCGTGGGACACTCGCGCGTGTGTCGCGCTTACTGTGTTTACTTCGTGTATGATATTTGTTGCATAATCCTAAGCGCATGTAAATTCATTGAGTTTGTATATAAAACTTTATAACGAACTCGATTTATGCAAATATAAATGAATTTATTTTATCTAATTTATTAATATATTTGACAGATGTTGACGATTTAATTGAGCCTCTTGTGGATTATCTGAACTCGAACAGTTCGTTTGGGCTCATCCAAACTGACCCTGACCTTATTGTTTGTTGTCTAAACAGTCTTGGAAAACTAGCGTGTAAATACGAAAGCAGAGCAAGGTTTGTTCCGTTTGCATAGACCTGCGCTGTGACGTAGCGCTGCGACGTAGCACTGTGACGTAGCACTGTGACGTAGCGCTATGACGTAGCGCTGTAACGTAGCGCTGCGACGTAGCACTGTGACGTAGCACTGTGACGTAGCGCTCTAACATAGTTAGCGGCCAAAACATGCTTCGATAATTCGATTGCATGCATTCCAGTGGGATGTACATCTGCCATATTTTCTAAAATCTTGGAATTATATTTTTGGGTAATACCGAGTGCATTAGGCCGGTGCAATTTAATTTATATTGCGCATATTACATTATGTTCATGTGCGCATAATTATACAATCACTAAACACAACCGCCAGGACTATCCTTTCTTCCATAAAATTTAGGCACTTCATTTGGCTATTTTACTTATTACTGTTTTAACTGTGACGTAACGAAACGTAACATTTTTAGCTACCTCGTGCCCGGGGTCTATTCGCGATTACAGTGCATGGATTTTTTAAAAACCATAAACGATGCAACATTCTCCTCACTATTGTAAACGATTATGTAAATAGCAGCGTGAGCAATAAACTTGACATGATGAAAGCTGTATTCGACCCGCCTTTTGCTCCAATAAACTATATTATCGTTGACGTGTCTTCGTGGACGAATACGAATTTCATCGATATTTTATTTATTCTTGCAGCGTTATCTTAGACGCCTACCGTCATTTTCTTCTCGCTCCGTCGTTAATTTTATGCAAGTTGTATCAAAACAAACGAAAAGCAACATCTCCTATGGTGACTGTATCAAACACCAATGCATCAACATTCACTGCGGTTGATCCGAATGTTTTCACAGAGGACGCGGTCGAGAAGCAGGGGTTTAGATTAGTTCAGGAAACAACGCTTGCAAATATTTGCAAGTAAGTATACGTACGCTGTGGCCACGCGCAACTTGGGTATAAAAATTATTTGAATGTATGAATTGGATACGCTTTATATCGAAATACAGTAACAACAGCTCTCTGTGAACAGCTTAAAAAATTATAATTTACACGTTAGCCGGATGTACGCTGTAGCGTACCCATTTTTATACTTTGGAACACAACCAGTGCGCGCTTCGTGTTATTTTCGAAACTTTGATAAAGTAAAATAAAGTGTTGAACAGCTATTTGAAATTATCAAAATAATGATCAAAGCGTTTTAGTTAGAGAACATGATCTGAACATAAACGAAGCATCTTATGTGTGTCACGCGTGCGCCAACTAACTTCGATCCATCTTTTCATTTTCAATGGCTTTTCATTTCAGAGTACTTCGTGTAGTTGTAAACATAGACCCAAAATCAATCGAAGAGTTTATTGCTGTTGTTCTCAACCGTCTTTATACAACTGGTTCTGATGACAAAGGAAAAGATATCAAGCATTCCAATGTGATTAAAATTGTTGGTACCGTTGGTTTTCATCTCAAAGATTATTCGAATGTCCTTGAGAAAGTCAGAGGTGGCTTATTACAAAGATTCTGTTCCCCACCGTCCTCCTTAGATTACCTTATTGTGGAACAGCTGATGAACGTCGCTCTCACAGAAAAGGTATAAATGAATCTACATTTGCATTTATAATAGAGAACAACCACCTATATCGGAAAAATTATCTGTATATGCATGTCTACCGAACCCACCTGGTTGCATGCAAGAATATGCGAACCCTTCCGTACTTAATCCCAGAAAGCTAACGAAATATTTGGCATTTTCATTATTCCCCGAATGAAAACCCTTTAGTTTTTTTCTGTCTTGACAACTTTGTGAACTCAATGATGCGCTTAAAACTTAGGACGAGTTCTACAAGAATATACTGAGTATGTTCATAAAAATCCTAACCAGTTCCGGAACATTGGCGTATTCGTCCGGACCTTCAACGAAAGATGAGAAAACAGAAGGATATAGGTAAGAAGAGTCAATTATTCTGGAAAAATAAGAGCGTGTGTCTCACGTTAGCCACAATACACGTTATGTCGTTAATTATTAGTTGTATAAAAACAACCATTTTTAAGGCCGCGTCAGCTCGTATGAGAAAATTTCACATTCGTATCATTCATATCCTGAATTCATCAAATCGCATTATTGAATCCTACAGGCATTGCTCAAAATCTGTTATAAATGCTCTGGAACAAATCGCAGCCCGTTTAGAAAAGCAGGAATTCTTGCAAGATTTACTTGTGAGTTTGTTGGAACTCTTTGTTCAGATGGGTTTGGAAAGCAAACGTGCGAGTCAGAAGGCTTCGTTTTTGAAGGTAACATATCACGGACATCATTTTAGTAACTTCAAGATTAACCTAAAGATCATGGCTCTAAATATCAAAATATATTTCATTTTTTCAAGGCATCGTCAAGCGCTGGTAACTTGGGTGTTTTGATTCCCGCCATTGCCACAACAGTCTCACGACTTCCACCAATCACAGATCCTAAACCCAGACTTCATAAGTTATTTCGTGATTTTTGGCTTTATTGCGTCGTATTTGGATTCGGTGTAGAAGGTTCAAGCTCCTGGCCGGTTCATTGGTACACAGGAGTATGTCAGATAGCGTCAAGATCACCTTTATTGCTTGGTCGAGAACATTTGAGATCAGAATTATTGTATACCTGGGCGTTGAAAAATGATACCATTGATGCAGTAAGTCATGTATAGTCAAAATAGCTGACCTAATCGCATGTTTGAATTATTTTTTTTTATATTTCCTTGCAGACGGAAATGAATGAGGTACGAACGTCAGTACTCGATGTGGTTGGAAATGCAAATGAACTTTCTGTCATTGTTGGAAAGTTAAATTTTGTTCAATGTACACATCTACTCTCCGTTTACAAGTTGGAATCATTGCGTGTGTCGAATGATACAAATTCATTTCATAAAATGTTCACATACTTAGAGAACAAACCCATACAGAAAGACAAAGCAGGTACTTCGAGCCTCGTTATGTTTTATGACGTTTTTCGATAACCACGTAGTGTTTAATGGTGATATTGAAACATGCACTTCTCTCTCGTGAACTATTCCCCAGGCTATCTCGCGCTCATATTTTATCCAAGCAGCTCTCAGATGACATCTCGAAGAAAAGGTCCATTCGAAATCTGTATAAAGATCCATTATAAAGTCTTTATAAAACTTGTCGAAATCTTTGTGATTATGTTTCGTTATAAGAACTATATCTCTGACATGAATTTAAATCGAAATATAATATATTTAAAAAGATATTAAGTTGGTTCAACTGAGAAACGGTTTTGATTTGACAACTAGTCCTAGTTCTTTCCCGCCGTTTCAGATTACCTGGCCTGTTTCAGCACAGTAACGTAATTTTCGCTAATTTTCCTTTCCAGGAATGTGGAAATGTGTATCCGTGATTGCTGACAGAGTTTTTGAAATATTTCTAAGTGCTTTGGTTGGTAAACCAAAAACCGATGACCGAGAGCGAGAACTGGAACGCCATGCTCAGTTTTTCCTTGTCAAGTTTAATAATTTGGCATCGCGAATCAGGCGCATTGCTGACAAATATCTGTCGCTGCTTGTTGATAGGTACAAGAGAGCAGTTAAATCTGTTAAGCCTGATTCCCAAGTGAAACTACTTAAATGAATATATCTTTTCAGATTTCCCCACCTCCTTTGGAATGGTGCAGTGTTACATACGATGTTAGATATTCTCCAGGTTCTGGCCCAGTCTCTTGAGCAAACGGTATGATTCCGATATCCAACGTTTCTTATCCAATGTTTATTTTCTGACGTAACTTCATCATGTCTTGGATTTTTTTCATTACAACCCAAATGTTAACTTAGCGGTATGTTCTTGTATAAAGGTTGACGATCACCAGTGTTTACATTTGGAAGTGCGAGATACTCCATATACATTGACAGTATCTGATGCTTCTGAAGAAAGAGAGAGGACCGTCAGTGATTTTGCTGCTAGATGTACTGGTATACTCCAAGAAGCCATGAAGTGGGCGCCATTAGCAACAAAATCACTGTTACATGTGAGTTTTATGGCCTGGTCTATGCTCCTGGTCTATGCTCCTGGTCTATGCTCCTGGTCTAAGCTCCTGGTCTATGCCCCTGGTCTATGCTCCTACTTTTCTTCATTCTATGCTCCTGGTCTATGCTCCTACGTTTCCTCATTCTCATTACCAAAACTACCTCAAGACTAAGTAACTTTTGGTTGAGATCAGATGTCTACAATATTCTCAGATTACTGATCCGATTTCCTAATCCGGTCTAATTTTCTCCAAATCCATTACCAGAGTACTCTCGTGGTCATTTATGCATGACATGTCGCGGCAACGACAACAGAATTGAAACGATGTTTATGTATATTTTAAAGGAATATTTGGTGAAAGTTGATCATATTCAAACACGTGTTGGACAGCACACTGGAGTGGCTTTAGTTGCTGAAAGTTCCGTCAATATGCCTTCATTAAATCGCAACACAGCCGCAGTCAGCTCATCAGTCGTATCGAAACGTCCTTCCTGTGCGAAAAATGATAATGCTAAGTTTACCGTTGGTCTCACAATTAGGAGCAGATATGTTGGAGAGGTAAGTTTCTGCCTTATGGTGATGGCCCTCGTAACTACAATCGCAAGCTCGTAGGGAACGAGCTTGTTACACACCTTAATAGTTGTTTACAGGAAGTCTGGTAAAGAGTGTGGGACAAAGTGGCACGGAGCTCTGTGCTAATCAAGGTGTCATTAAGCAACTTTCTATCATTGTAGATAAACGGTATGCTCGATATGTCAATGTTAAGTAATGACTGTTCAAAAGAAGATGCGAGGTCGTTATTGTCTGCTGCTATTATAAAACAGTTGGATGAAACGGCTGGTAAAGACACGCAGATGTACGAGACTTCGCTCTTCAGAGCGTCTGCTTTATTGACCAAATTTCAAGGTAGTGCATATATGTTAACTCATTCCACGATGTGCTCTGGCTATTCGCTCTACTGAAGGCCAGTTAGATAGTATTTAGAATGCGGTAACGCTTACTCATGGACTGTGTACATAGCTATATGGTTTTTTATTCTCCTGTTAGAGAAATACAACCCAAAAAATCTCACTCAAAAGGGTTATCCATACCCAAAGAGCAACAATTATTCATTATTATCTTACTCATAATTATTAGAGTTGGACAGAAAATTGTTGAGAAGCATATGTTGGTCACCTGCTCAACTTTTTACGAGACAATCCTTAGAAAGCGCTGTTGCATGTTGGGAATGGATTTCTGCTGCAAGACCTGATTTTGAACTACAGGTACCCAACGCTCGACAGTTGCATTTATTCCCCTCTCAATTTACCTCCATTTTCTTCACTTCGTGAGAATATATATTTGTTTGCCTAAAAACTATACCTTTCGAGCTTGGGGTCCACAGCGTCCTCCCAGTAATCACTGCATGTTTGAGACGGAAATATGCCTACAATGTACCTCACAAACCTGTTACGACAGATTTCAAAATACATGTCGGGAGAAGAAGATTTAGAGGGACGTTCAGCCATTGTTTAATTATTATAATGCATAAACAATATTAATAATGAATTGTTATCTCCCATTTCTAGTTTCTTTGCGAACTTTCAGCAGCATGGCAGTGGACAGTGAATTGTCGTAAAGGATTGTTTAGCGTTGATGAACCACGAAGTAATCCACTCTCCGTTTCAGAGGATAAGGTTGAAGAACCCTATTCACCCAATATATCCCCCCACGAGCTTTGGATACAGTTTCTCTTCCAGAGATTTGAAGTCTTGAAGTATGTTAACTCAGATAAAGTAAGTACAGATAAAGTAAGATCATCCTCATTTTAATATTCGACATTAAGTGATGGCTCACTGGACGTAGAAAACGCTGTATGTATTTCCTTGGGGAAACATAATAAATCTAGAACTTGTGGAGTATATAACTATGTAATTCAAACTCATGTAGTAATTTTTCTTTTTTTGCATTGTAAAAATAGGTGAATGTTTTTCTGATGTTACTGTTACGTTCTCTGCCGTTGCTGGTTTCAAAAGAAAGTTTATTATCTCGTCATCCTTCAACATTAAATGCGCGTTTCAACTTACTATTGTTGGGCATAAACATGTTACAAGAAGATATCTTGACCAATCCTGCCATCAAGAATGTGCTTAGAGAAAGAATATATACAAATGCATTAGATTATTTCAGGTTTGTAAACATGCATGAGCTTATTTATGAAGTTAACCTACTATAGAGCTGTTCACCAGAGCCACGGGGGGGGGGGGGCTCCGAAACGCAGGGTTAATTTAATTCATATGTGTGCAAAAATACTCTTGCTCATTCTTCCTTGTAGCGTTCGGCTGATGTGTCCACAGCGCAGTGGAAACGATCTTAGGGAAGACATTAAAACCTTGATCAAGTTCTGGCAAGCAATATTTCAAGACAGAAAATCATTAGTGGCAATTCTTAACATTGAATCAAAAAAAAGATCTGTGTCCATGTCGTCTGACATTGGTATATATTCGGTAAGTTACACTAATAGTCATATAATCTGACAGGGAATGCAATCTCCGCAAGGAAAGAGTAAATTTAGAAGTTACTGCCAGGATTATGTCTTGAAGAGTTAGGTGTTTCACTGAAGGCGAGTCTTGTTACTGAAAATGCAGTAATCCGAGTTTCACATGGTTTATATATTCGTCATATCACAGCAGAAGTGGATGAATACTCTTCCAATATCAACACCACCTCAACAATATTCCAGTCGAAATTCTTCTGCTTCAATGTCACGTGACCAACGTCTTGACACAGTCGACTCTTTGGTGAAGAATCTGTTACGCAGGCGCAGTCTGATTATGGCACTTGTGAAACGTGAGATTGATTTTCTGTCAACCTGGCATAATACCGCAGCAGATACAAATCTCGTCTTTCCCGGAGAGGATCAGTTGACAAAATGGTCGACACAAACAACGTTCACGGAAAAAATCTGGCGCGATTTGGTCAAGCTTGCATGGCATATTTCACCTTCATTAGCGGTTCATTTATGTGCAAGGTTAACACAATTTCTTCGTTTAATTATTACAGTATATATGAAACAGAAGACCCACTTTATACTCGGGTTTTTGTCCAAGCTTTGTGGAACTTCAATGAAACGTCGTTCTCATTCCTTAGATTCAAAGAAAATACAACCATACCGAAAGAGATCGCATCTCTCGTCAAGCGACATCCATCGCTTGTCACCGACATTCCTGAGGCTGTCAGCGTAAGTATTTTGCTGACGTCATCGTTCATATTTCCCGCCGTTTCGGGTGGTAAATAAAAGTACGGTTTGTGTAGACAAGCAGATGTGGAAGGCAACTAAGATTATAAAATTGTTTTTCATTTGCGTCTGTTCTTGGAAGGTTTCCAATGTTTCCAGGGTTTTATGGTTAGTTTCTAATGTATATATTTTTGATTCCATGTAGTTTTTGATAACGGCATCCAATATTAAAAAGAACATCCCAGAACTTTCAGCAATATTGTGTTGGTCTCCTGTAACTCCAGTAACTGCATTAAGTTATTTCTCGTGTCTCTACCCACCGCATCCGTTAACAGCGCAATACGCAATACGTGTTCTTCGTTCGTTTCCTCCCGATGCGATCATATTCTACATACCACAGTTAGTACAGGCTACAAGATATGATAAATTGGGATATGTAACGCAATATATATTATGGGCTGCCGGCAAATCTCAACTTATCGCCCATCAGGTATCGAGCTTTTTATGATATTTTCCATTTTTTCCATGTAGTTGCATAGAGCCTAATAAGTTATTTTGTATTCAGTTATTTTGGAACATGAAGACCAATATTTACACAGACGAAGAAGGCAAAAACAGGGATAGCGGTATCGCTGATCGTCTTGAATATATCATAACAAAGATTACTGAGAGTTTATCTGGGAGTGCTTTGGATTTCTACAAACGCGAATTTGATTTCTTTGAGAAAGTCACCGGGATCTCTGGAGAAATAAAGTAAGCGATTTATATTCATCTATAGTCAGTTATCTCTGGAAACATCCAATTTTAAGTTGCATTTAACTGCAATAGGATAAAATAGCACTCGCGTCTTTTCATATACCATATAGAACGAAAGACGCTTTTCATATACGACTTTACAAGAAATTTGTTGATCCCAGTCAAACTGATTAGACTGAAACAACAGTGCGCTAGCTGTAGTCTATGTAACCGCTAAGCTTTCTTCGTGTTTTTTTCAGACCTCTTCCTAAGCCAGAACGAAAACAAGCATGTTTGGATGCTTTAAGAAAGATCAAAGTCGAATCGGGCGTCTATTTACCCAGTAACCCTGAATGTATGATCCTAGATATTGACTACAATTCAGGAACTCCGATGCAAAGTGCGGCTAAGGCACCCTTTTTGGCGCGATTTAAAGTGCGAAGATGTGGAATACAGGAACTAGAATGTGTCAATGTCGGTAAGGGATTCCTTTTTTGCAAAAAATCTTTGTACAAAAAAGCAAGGTTTCCTTGAGTTTTATTCGTCTGTTTTCATAGCAAAGATTTGACAAATTTTCTTTGCCGTGCGGACTTGCTCTAAATCTGACCGTACCATAAAAGGGTTTTTGTATGAATAGCCGGCAAAGAAAACAAGAGAAGCAACTGTTGACATCCACTATTTTCCTTCATTTCGAAGCCTGTATTGGCTGCAAACGATTTGGAATTGTATCATACAGAACAAGTTCTTAGGACTGCCAAAGCGAATATCCTTTAGTTGTTGACGAAAATATTTCATTTCATGTTTTTTTTGAATTTTTGTTCAAGGTTATACCGAGTCCACTTCATCATCCCCTCGTCAGCCACGTGAGCACCTACAGCCACGTCACCACCCTCCAATCACTAGGACAAACAGTCGTTTAACAGATAATAAAATATTCTGGCAAGGAGCAATATTTAAAGTTGGTGATGACGTTAGGCAGGTAGGAAGACATGCTTGGTGTGTGTGGTTCTATTTATCATATATAAGAGGCCTTTCAGCTAACAACAACCATCTATAACAAGTGAGTTACAGTTCGTCGTAGTGATTTTAATTTTTTCTTTTTTTTCTCTGTGTTTTTGCAGGACATGCTGGCACTTCAAGTGATATCCTTATTTAAGAATATCTTTGAAAATGTTGGTTTGGATCTTTTACTCATACCATATCGAGTGGTAGCCACTGCACCCGGTGTAAGTACTGTATATTAATATATATTATATATCTACAGTGTGCGAGCGATTGATTGACACTTGATCAATAAGTCATGATTGTTTAGATAAGAACACGTACACATCTTGCTTGTCTCTTTCAGTGCGGTGTTATCGAATGTGTCCCAAATGCCAAATCACGTGATCAACTAGGACGTCAAACCGAAGTTGATTTGTTTGAATATTTTGTTAAAACGTATGGTGAGGAAAGTACACCAAAATTTCAAAAGGTATTTGTCTTCACTATTATATACGCACGTGTCTTTCACGGTGATATCTGTTCTCGTGGGTTTATATTGCATGAGAAATGGTATGTTCGGGGTCGCATTCTAAACTTCGTTCGACGTGAATAGTCCACGACAACGTGAATAGTCTTTCTGAATACACTATATAACGTTAATTTTCTGCTTTGGTTTTAGGCGCGTTCAAACTTTATAAAAAGTATGGCAGCATATTCTATTGTGAGTTTTCTACTTCAAATCAAGGATCGACATAATGGGAATATTATGATCAGTAACGAAGGACATGTTATACATATTGGTACGATACTACGATTTGTCTTTATAAACCATGGTTATCAGCTGTTCTGGTTTAATATATAACTGATATAGAGTGATCTACATATACACTAGACGATGCAAGCAAACGACCAATACGATGCTCTTTGCGCGGACGAAATAGTGATCAATTGTATATTTGTATGGATCAATTGCAAAATGAGCATTTTATACAGTTTGAACAATTTTAGCAGAGATAGGAGTCAAGACATGAAATCGAGACTCCGCCTTTGTCTGAATTCGATTAATTTCTAAACATAGCGCTGTAGATGTAATGAACGCGTTTAAATACTCTCAGTGAATGTATAGTGTACACTGAACACGTACATTATTAATACAGTCTTGGTTCAAATGTTCGCCTAAAGTGATCGGCTTCAGTTGTTAAATGTTTCTCATTTACAGACTTTGGTTTTATGTTTGAATCATCTCCCGGCGGTAACATTGGGTTTGAACCTGATATGAAATTGACGCATGAAATGGTTTTAATCATGGGAGGAACAATGGAGTCTCATTCCTTCAGGTAAACTTTTGATTTTTAGAAAACGACTTTAAAAAACATGAAAAATTTCACTCATGCAGATACATCTTTCTATTAATAAATTGTTTGTAATGTGCTTTTTTCCAGATGGTTCATGGAACTTTGTGTCAGAGCATATTTAGCTGTGAGGTAAATATCTAATGTTTGCTACGATTAAAGTTCCAGTACAGTTGTACAATTCCCTGAGTCGAAGTGTCTCCAACTGCTCTTGTGATCGTTTTAGCCATCGATTAAGTAGCTTCTGAAAATTACTTTTAGACCATATCAAGAAGAAATTGTAGCCTTAGTGGCGTTGATGCTTGATACTGGATTGCCATGTTTTAGAGGAGAAACACTGAAAAGACTAAGGTAAAATTAAATTCCCAGATAAAGTGATATGCTGCCTTTAAGCTATCGTCTGGTTACCCCCAATAAATTTGGCTGAGACCTTTTATAGAATGTACCATATTGATTTATTTTACATGCAACGTGATTATATATTTTCTATATCAGAGCTCGATTCTCTCCGTCGCAAACAGAAAGAGAAGCTGCAAACTACATGTTGAAAGTAATTCGCGACTCGCATTTGAACGTCAGGTAAGCCGACAGACGAATATATCCACTGTTCAAGTGTGATAATTCAAGTAACTGCATGGAACAAGTACTCGGTCTAAAATCAGGTTAGGGCTTTGCAATTTGAGCGCGAATCTTAAAACTTCGCGTCAATCCATACCTATACTTATCACATACGCATCACAGCCTCCACATTGTTAACGCCTGGATCAGAATCACAAAATATGGGCTTTACAATCCGCGATATTTTCTACGGTCAGTGGTGTATGTATAAAATGCTTTGAATGAGCAGCCTGGGAAAAATTTCTGGTTCGCAGGGTGTCTCAAAAAAAATTGAGCACATGTATGTGCTCATCCTACGATGAACTGCGGGACAAAAATCAGCGGTAAACTTTAGTAACTTTTACAAATCTTTCTTTTTAGAACCAAATTATACGACATCATCCAGTTGGCACAAAACCAGATTCCTTATTAATGTTTACGTACAAGTATAATTATATAATTTTGGGTTTACAGTTAGATATTGGAATGTTTATTCTCCCTTTACATTCGTTTGCTGAACAAAGGAACGAAAATAAATGTGCAATATGGATTTCAGTTTGAACTGCATAATCCTGCATGGAGACCTAATAGTATATATGGTATTTTCCGCGGATAGTAATTTTAAGTGTAACGCGCCCTAATAAAAATGCTTGAACCGCTCTAAAATACAGATATGACCTTGTTCAGTATATCTAGGCGAGTTAAAAATCACTATCAGCCTTAAAAATTCTCTCTAGAATCTAGACAAACGTTTATTTGGTAGAGTTTATTTGCGACTATCAAACTTGTATTTACTTTGATGATTAAGAATCAAAACTCACGACGAGTCTAAAATATGTAAATATAAATATTGCAATAAAAATATGGTTTGAAAATTATTATTACAGTATCTCTCGTTAATATATCTCGTAACATTGGCCCAAAAGTATTTGGCGTGCATTCTTATAGAAAGAACTCAATGGCATTTCATGTTTTCTATCTATGTGCACAACAATGATCTGACAGGACCATTCTATTGCGAGTCAGCCTCTATGTTCGGTCATCGCAAGAAAGAAGAATTCTTTAGAAGAATTAACTTAGAAGAATTCCTTTTACCATGTTAGAAAATAAAACATTTCCTTTGGAGGATTTCAGAAATCTAGCTTTGTTTCGAAAGTGCATAATCCTGTACAAACTATGGATACATTTCCATAGTGGTCTCTATTCTCCAACTATGTGGTATGATGGATTCTAACCACGCCCAGTCTCCTACAGTGAATACACGGGCTGGAACTTGCGAAAGTTACCATTAGTTAAAATAAAATAATCTCACGTAATCTTGCTCTAAAATTTATCTTTCATAAAATACAAGTGTAAGTAAGTGAATAGTACGAATATAAATACAATATAATAGAAATTCATATAGTAAAAAAGTTAGCTCTAAAAAGTTATTCAACTATCAAAATAACTATAATATGTGATTAATAAATAACTTTGTTTTTTCTCAACATGCGTGGACGAACGTGGTAATTATGCGCAATATATACCGCTCCTGTAGTGCAATTGTTGCCTGAGGTAATCCACCATCAAAAATCTTGTTCAAAACAACTAAAAGAGGAAAATTGACTTCCTTTGCACTGAATATCTTTACAATCCTTGGTACCATAGATCCGAACATTCTTCAGCACAACACATGGACCTCATCTTAGTTTCGCCAGACCTAACGATTTTTAAAAAGAATGTTCAGTTTGCAAGTCTTCGGATTAAGAAAACTCTTAGCCCAAACACATCAACATTATTTTAAAAAAATACAATAACAATAAAAAGTTTATGCTTTGAAATACCTTTTGTTAGGCGTCAGTTGCATGATAATCATATATTATCAGTGTGATTCATATTGACAATGATATTTTGTTGTCCACATCGTTCACAGACTTTGCAATTCTTCTGTTTATTGTTACACTTCAGACACAAATATTCTGTTTCCTCTCGTTTGGGGCTCGGTGATGGTGTCATATCTAAACTGTTGTATTCCTTATGTGTCGTTTGTGAGGGGCCATCATCATGAATCGCCGTTGGTTGACTTGGTTCACTGTTTGTGCTTGCGCTTGTCGTAGTAGCGATGTTTGAGAAGTACGGACGAAAGTACCCCATACCCGGAGATCCGGAATACACGTAGGATGGTGGGGGTACATATCCAGGGTAAAGGTAGCGATAGGTGCTGTTGATGAAACTTGCGCCAAGATTAAGTAAGGGAGAGTCGGTACTAGACGTCGAAGGGAGAGACGTTGTCGGAGGCTGCGCGGGTATTACTGGGGGATTGGTACCCGACGGCGTGGATGACGAGGTTCTTGTGATTACTTGAATCGCATGAAGAATGTTGCCAAAACAGCCTTGCAGGACCATTTCGAGCAGAAAGCGATGCTGACTGGGAAAGAGTCTTGTGAGAAGTTCGATGTCTGACGGTGTGGGACTGGGGTTTGTGATGCAGCTAAGTGGAATATCTATAGGGACTCTGACTCTCTTTGTTTCTGATGGTTCGGCTGCATCATCTTGGACCTCCGCTTTTCTTTTTTCTTGTTCTAAAAACATGTGCCAAACTTTTGTCAAGAGAAAAGAGGTTGTCCGTCGTGGTTAGGTCTTATTGTAGAATACACTATGCAGGAATTACATTTACAATTACAACTCGAACACGACAATAATAAACTAAATATATTAACTAAAAATTCATTACATTACCAAACCATCCAACGCATGTTATTATCAAACTTAAAGAGTTTAGAAAGATTAACAACTGTACGTTGAATTCATCCTATTGCCGTATTGGCTATATTATTGAAAAGTACCTGTCAAATATGTAAGATTTAAGTCACTACCAGAGAAATATTTAAAAAGTTTTGCCTTTTGGACCCTGCATGGATATATTTTAGTAGTGCCACCACAAAAATCGCGTGGCGAGGACAAAACTTACCCACACATATAAGCACTTTAACGAGACCATAGTCGAGATCATTTGAATATTTTGGCGTTTGGGAAAATTTTGAGTAAAGTGCTTCGACTTCCAAGGAAACTGCACGTATCCACATTTTTATCCTATAGCTACAATCTTACGATGTGTAATTCCGCGTGTAATCATAAATCATTATAATTCTAAGACAATTCGAAGAGTTCATTTGTTCATTTTCCCGATCATTAAAATTTGTTTTTTTACAAAAACATAAAGAAAAATGTTCAAAACCCCAGCGCGCTAATTACTGTATTCCGATTGTTTCAAAACGAGCGCGTGCCAAATGCATTAGTTTAATGACCCCTGTCAAGAGCTAATGACTTTACTGGACAAAAATTACAAAATATTCTCATGGAATACAATACAAAGGTAAAATGAATTTCATGATGAGAATTTCGTGACAGATGTTTAATACAGTTACTTTTTAGTATGTCGGCAAAGTTTTGAAAACTTTCTGGGATAATAAAATCTTTCATCCACCTTCATCCAACACAGTTAAACTACATACGAATTAAATATTTGGGCTTTGCATATATAATGCTTGAAATAATCTTTAGTAACTTCAATATATTACTTTTTATAGTTAAAGATATAAATCACCCCTCACTTTTCTGACCTTTTTATATTATCGACTAATCGGAATTACTGCATGGGAGTGAAATAAATTGCAGATTAATTCAACTGCTCTCGCTCCAGTAACACGTGCGCTGTACCAAAACGTAGCCTGGTTAGTCAGGGACCCACCTATTTCTCAGCTGCTGAATTTTGTTCGTTTACATCGGAAACGGTCAGGAATACTAATAATCAAAGTGTAGTATTTCAGAGAATTCTTGCCTATGTTTTCAACTGCGATTCTACGATGGTAACTATATAAACGCATCCGGTCGTTCATGTGCATGCCGCCGCCAAGCTTTTTGCCGCGTGAAAAGGAAATAAAGTTGAACACACACAACGGAGCGGTCGGTAGATTTTCTTCATTTCACTGAGTTGTTGGATTAAAATTTGAGAACATGTTAAAGTATCCGCAACAACTAAAACCACAATTCACTGGTTTACAAGACTAACCAGAGACTCGTGTCTAAAAAATGCTCAACTCCAAGCCGAAACAAAACCGATAACCATGCCTTCCATGTCTATGGCTTTAAAAAACACGCACAATTGAGGATCAAAAACACACACACATAACCATGCAAGTATAGACCTCAACATAACATTGCTTCGTCAACCAAAGGCAAAGTTATGATATTTTTATCAACAGCAAATATAGCGCTGGCTGAATTTTGACACAAGTTTTAGGTTTCAAAATGTGGTTCAGCGCTATAGCGCCTAAAGTATTGTTGACTTTCATGAGGGTGGTCAGTCATAGGTACAGCGCTAAAATGATAAGAAATTGCCTCTGGCGTTCACAGATCACCCAAAATACAAGCAATTACAACACCTACATATTATGAACATTTGTGTTTTACTTCGAAATACAAGATACATATTGTACCGTACCTGATCTGTCGGTGTAAGAATTCCATTGCTCGTATTCTCTCGCTTCATTTGAATTATGCGTACTTTCTCCGCTAGCTCTCTGTGAACTACTCGTCATTACTGGTTCTTCTATTTTGAGTTGTCGGTAGAGAGCAATACGGGCGGCCGTGATTCGTTGCCTTTCTGAAACCAGTTCACATTTTGAACAAGAGCAATCTCTCCAAACACACTGGTGTTTATGCCCACGAAGATCAGAAAGCACACCATGATTTCGGCACCTCGTACACTTTGGAGTTCGTGTACCTTGAGATATCTGTGCCGACTCAAAATCACTCATATCGCACTGACAAGGAATGTAGAAATGAACGAGTATATATATAAAACTAGTTCTGAACAGCGCTGAACTCCTGATGTTATTTCAATGACAGTTTGCGTACTAATGTTCAAATACTCCGACACACAATGCCGATGACGACATCAAAGCATAACGAAGGAATTTCTCTTTGTTTAGATGTCCAAAATTTGAATATATGGCATAATATTATCACATGTAATGCTATCAAGTATCCTGGTGTTTAGGAAAACTGTTCATTTAACACCGTTATTTCACCAGGTGTGATGATATGACTGGCAGCTTTACATGATTTCCGGATATAGAGGATTTCGCAGCTACTATAGCGTTTATGAATTCGGCAAACTATCCGGGTAGTTGATTTGTTCGACCCACGCATAATAAAAGTTTGTCGATGATGATTTTATGTTTTTTATGATTATATGCTTATGTCTTTCAACGTGAACGGAGAAACACACAATCACTGCCGAAAATCTCTTGAGCTAGTATAAATAACAAGAATAAAGATTTTAATTGGTATGCACGTATGATTTGAAAAAATAATTAGGCCAAATTTTCAATTCTATGCTCATGACTTCGAAAAGATAAAATGTTGTGTAACTCGTGTTATTAATTTATTCATGCTTGCTTGGAAACTCGTATGTAACGATGGTTTAGCTCATTGAAAGTATGAAGTTAAAATTTGAAAACATTTTGGTACATACATGCAGAATTTGCTCTTACAATAATTACGGTACATCCTGAAAAACTACTCTAGAACTACAGCGTTGCCATTGGCATATTATTACTTCTCAAACTTACACTAGCTTTCCGCTTAGCAAAATGCCATATAGAATGCTGAAAGCTCACTGATTAGTGTGCTGGGCTCACAAGTGTCAAGTGTGCCAAGCCTTACAATATTCTCTGCCAGGGAGGCAGCGGCGTTGAAGAAACAAAAAGCTAGAGGCACACACTACACAGCCACGGAGCTAGTTCAACAGAACAGAAATTGTTTGTGTGTACATACATATACACATTGATCCACCTCCTAGACTATGTACATCCAAATTAAATAAAAATTGCGCCAATTCATTCAATCTTACATGCAGTCTCAGCATGTAGACGGTAAAATATACAATTGGCTTGTGTTCTTTAGTTTTAGTGCTTTACATGATTAAGTCGCGTAGAGAACGACATACGCAGAACTTCGTTTGGGTAACTTCTAATTTTTTAGGACTTAGCACTTAGTTAGCACATAGTGTCAAGTTTTGGCGTGGTCAGTTTTGACTGATGTAGTATCTATAGGCAGGAAACAGGTAGGGCAACTCCGTAGTTCCTGCATGCTTGAGGCGTGTACTTCGTGTTAGTTTCATGCGACGAAGTTGCAAAGACTGGAGTAGCAGTGAAAGTATTGTGTTATGGTCCATTTCAGTACACTATGCGATTTGTTGTATACGATTCTTAGCCTGGCGTATGTGAATGTATTAACACGCGTACAAACGTCAGATTTTGAATTATGCATTTTACGAAAGGAACAAGATTGTGGCATCAGCACTCGTTTCCATTTGTCAGAATGATAATCGCATACAACTATAGGCCTTCAGATTGTTATACATGTTTCTTATTGTTTTTTTCCCCTCTGCCGGCTCTGGCTGTATATACATATATTTTCAAATCAGTGCAATACACCTTGATCATGTTACTAACACCGTTTGGCGTTTACTTAGGAGGATTGCAATAAAATCACAACATTTCTATAGCTTTTACTGGGTTAAAACTCGATAGTAAATACCAATAACGACCACAGGCGTATATACAAGGTGTGTGTCGGGGCAGGGGGAGCAGGTTCTTCTTTACATACGAGGTATCCGGGGGGAAAAAACTCCTACCGATCTACAGATTCGAGCAAAATAGAATAACAAGTTGTTCTAAAGCTGCTGTGTATTCGTTGATACCATGAAGGTAACGCTGGTTGCTCACAAATTGGTAACCGAAAATTTAATGAAAAATCTTGAAACAGAAAATCTATTTGTGAGCCAGAAACCCTAGCGCCCGTTCCCCTCTGGTTGCAACTCAGTGATGACAGGGAATGTCTGGACAACTTTGAACTAAAAGGCGTTCGCCGAAAAATGCTTTGTTTGTAGCGCTGCGTCATTGCAGTTTATAAACTGTCTGGTGTTCCCAACTTCGTGCGTGGGCAGTTCACGTGTTTTTCATTTATCCTAGTTTAACACTAGACACTGAATAAGAAATGAAACTTGAATTCTAACCAAAGAAAAATCCCAACCTGAAGGCTTTAGACCAAGTTGGGGTTTAATTTAAATCTGTACACCATAGCACGAGTATGGCGTCTTAGTCATGCTCCCACCCGAACCCAGTGCGTGTCGTTACACCACACAACTAGAACCGCTAATGGTCAATGTTACCCTGCCTTACCAATAAATTCAGTGAAATATCAAGTTTTCATAACAAGAAGATATCCATGCTCTCAGTAGAGTGTTTGTTCAGGTTTGTTCGAATTATCGATCTAAATTTGAGAAAAAACAATAATAAACGACACAAATCAATCGAAGGGAACGTTTTCACCATTATGACAAATTTAAATAGGCAAAAGTACTCACGAACAGGTACATTACAAATTGAAGTAAAGACAAATAAGATGGCTGATGTATTTTAACGTTCACTTGTTTGAGCTCCAGGCTGGAGATTTGAAATCGTAAATATATGGTACTTTTCCAGTAAATAATGCGATATACTCGGCCATAGACCTTAGAAGTTAGAGTAGTAGGCGTTTGATATGTACGCAGTGAATCCAGTCATATTTTATACAACTGAACATTTTTAAATTTGGTGATAATACGGCGCTTATTTAAGAGCAGTGCATGTTCCAAGCATCAAGCACTCGAATGGAATGATAACTGGAGATAATTCAGATTAGAGAGAAATAAAATCAAAATACCTAAATCGGGCCTCGAGGAAGCTTATCTAATAACTGTGCTTGTTAATTAATGCGCGAAAACTCCGGTGGGGTTATTTACCCTATTGACACCCACAGTTCTTTGCGCGTATAAAGAACGACTTGTTCACGTGTTCTTTCTTTTCGTCTCATCCATCTTGAAAACATGGACAAACCAGTGAAACTAGCTAAGGTATCTCTCTATTTCTTAACTAACTTGCTATTTTTGAAGGTTGTATTGTATTAGAGAATAAACATAGATCATTAGTGAGCATGTACAAGGCAGTTCGATATCGTCAGACGACGAGTTGGCACATTTATGAAACGAATACAGAAATACTATCAGCTGTTAAATATGTATACAAGTGGTGAAAATTCTAACTTATCTTTCAAAGGTAACCAAGGTTTTGGGAAGGACAGGCTCTCAAGGTCAAGCGACACAGGTAGGGTGAAAATTGAGGTTACAATCAGGTGTTATTTTCCAAAAGTTCCTGAAAAGTGGGATTAGCCTTTCTTAGTCTTAGGGCCATAATTTAGGCAGCTGATTTGTAGTTGTAAAAATAGTCCTTGTAAAATAATTTCAATTGAATCTTTTAGGTATTTTTTCCCAATCACTCAGATTCACCACTTTACCTACAAAAATTACCTGAAATTAGGCCTTCTCTTTTTATAGATGACCATATTTCAAAATTATAAACCATTCAAAATGTTGATTTTAGATGCTTTAGGTCTTTATGACTTTTTTCTCGTTAGGCAGTTTTAGTGTAACTATATACTTTATTTAGATTGATAAGGAAATATAGAAACAAATTTGGGTAAGCCATGAAATCACATCTTGAGTTTATTTTTTAACCAGTTCACATCTATATTTCAGGTCCGTGTAGAGTTTATTGATGACTCAAATCGATCCATCATTCGAAATGTGAAGGGACCAGTCCGAGAAGGAGATGTTTTGACATTGTTGGAATCTGAAAGAGAAGCTCGGAGGCTTCGGTAGATAGTGTGAGTTGACCTTTTGTGTAATTGACACAGGTGAAGAAAAATAAAATTGTTGTTGGCACAGTTTTATTGGGAAGAATAATCCTAAAGAATAACAAAGTCATTGAGTACTTTCTGTTGTCCAACTGGTTTTAGCTCCCTTCACATAATGCTGACCACCGAATAAAGCATTGCCATACAACATTTGCAGAAACTGTATTGGAAACTGTACTCTAGTCTCTAAATATAGAAGTTTGATATAGAATGATAACTGTACTATCTGTACACATTGATGCCTCATCATAACTAACTTTTACATCTTTTGGCAATTCTAATCCATAAGTAATCCATATGTATGCATTTTGATTAACTTGGTCTAAAACAAAGTTCCTTGTTCTGTTTCCCCACTGTCTGTGTTTCATGCTTGCATTGTGACCATGTTTTGGCTTCTATAGGAGCCTGTTGCTGAAAAACACCTGAGTGTCAACAACTACATTCACTGGTTAGTCACCTTTGCCTTTCTTTACTTTTAGAAAAGGAAAAAACAAGAGTGCAGATGTTTTTGTCAAGCAAGGGTCAAGAGATGTATTTGTCAATGAGGATGTTTTGTGATAATTATTATCAAGATGCCTTGTTGTAGACAATTACATTATTGAATAAATAAATATATTCTTGTCCATCTGTTTAATTTTATCTTTGTTTTGTCCTCAATTGTTAACTCACTGTTATAACACTGTTTTAACAGGTGCAATTAACACGTGCAATAATATATTTTGAATCACCATGCAAGAAAGTCTACACTTGGAAAAGGCAAAGTTGTAAAGTATTCTAGTTTTAAAGCAACCACTAAAACGCAAAAAAATATAGTGGGAATCGAGAATGACAGATGGTGAACACACTGGATTTCCAAATATACAATACAATTTTATTTCTATTTAATAAGTTAAATATATAAATTCTTATTCATTTTCTCAATATATTTCACAACACTATAGTCTGACAACAGAAATTGCACCGAATGACTCAAATAGAAATACAAGCTCGTTTAGGCCTAAAATTTCTGCCCAATTAAGGTGCTAAAATAATCTGCCTTTTAACTTGCCCAATTAAACCATGAAAATCCAGTATCATTAAGGTGCTGTATCATTAACTTGCAGTTTTTGCTGCGATTTTCAGTTCAGTTTTGATCGACACGAACTAATCTTTATCGATAAAATCAAGACAGTTTGATTCAATGGTGCCCTTATCACATATCCACAGCTCGCATCTTAGTCGAAATATGTAATCGCGGCGAAAATTGCTTGTCTGAGCTGGCCTAAAGCTAATCCTAAAGGTAGATAAATACTTAGTGTCCATTCATCAGATCAATCATAGGTCAATGAATAGCAACAACTGTCATTTTGGTACATATGGAGTGTCCTCACATTTATGAGGCTCTGTTGTCAGGTGTCTACTCATTCATAAAATTTCCCATATCTTTAAATACATGCATACTTTATTTTATATATTATGTATTTATAGCAAAAAGCTCCTTAAAATCACCCGTAGCGCAATTGATCGAAGTCAGTTTAGGCTAAACGGTGGATTAGTGTGTAATAAAATAGAGCACGTTTCATCAAACAATCTGAAATCAGATTTTACCACACGGTTAGACCAAATATGATTGTAACTTCAGTAAGTACATGACCTCATTACGTATCATAAGATTATGTTGTTCGGTCATTCACGAAGCCATCACCGTCATCTAAACAGCCTTCGAATGAACGGGCCTCAAATCATTGCTCGCGAAATTTTGTTTAAAATATGAAAATCACTCCTCTTGATATCATATTATACGATGCACTGGGAGAGTCTTGCGCTAGTACTGGTCAACGGCATCCTCCTGGAAAAATTTTTGATTTAGTGTTGGCAATTATCCACTTAGCAATATACAAATCTCAACCATAAAGATCGAAGTAGCATAAACTTATCAGGTTTGCTAAAACTTGGGCGATGATCAAGGGCGTCCAGTTAGCCTCGCTAGGCGGCCGTTGAAGTAAAACGAGTGAAAAATCTTGACTTCAACGCATGCTAAAGTAGAAATGTTGGCAGTCTTCTCCAGTCTTGGAAAACATACGTTTGAACATTTTATAAATTTTTGGACATGGAGTGATTAGTTATATATTATTGCGTATTACTTTACCACGAAACCTACCATGGATGACTAACTGTCGCCCCGTGATGTAATCTGGCAAATACAGGATCATCAGCCCAGTATAGCCCCTTGCCCCTGAACTCCCCCTATTAATAAATTATCCCTTCATCATTTTCTGCTATGAATTTACCGTTTTTATTACGTGATTTGATTCGTAAACCATTCTTCAAGATCTCCTTCATCTTTCTGTTCTACTTTCTCTTCCCCTTTTTGAGGTACTGCAACAACACTAATCGATGGCGTTTGGGTTTTTGAACTAAGGTTTCGTTTTTGAAATGTTTTTACCGACAGTCTATTGGACTGTTCCTGATCTTCGTTATCACTGGATTCAGTTTCAACACTTGAGGCGGAACTTATTGCTCCGAACGAGTACCCACGTCCTCTTTTAACCGCCTTCTCCTTCTTAAGATTCAAAAACCAATCACGTATAGTTTGTATAGCAACTTCCTCCTCAATCGATCGTTCAAGTTCCTCACGAGCCAGCAACTCTTCAAGTTGTAAACTTCGGGATATATCATCAATTGAACGGTAAGCTAAAATCTCGAGTAGGTCGTGGAAAGACACTTCACGTCCTCCGCGGAACTTTTCAATCTCGAGACAGATATGTTTGAAAAGAAATGTTGACGGATCCACACCAAGTCTTCCTCTTAACAAACGTAGAACAAGTCTAGCTTGACGTACTGTTATAAACCCTTTGCGATTCTGATCAACAAGATTCCAAGTCAACTGATATTGATATAAGTCTTGATGACTCAGAGCTGCGTCCTCTTCACTCGAGTAAAACAAAGAGAAATTTTCAATGATCACCGCGATAAGTAAATTTAACAAAACAAACGTTAAGGTCACGTAGAATGATATGAAGTAACAAAGAGAGCCAACGTAAGTGCCACAATCAGATTTCCAGTAATTCTCAGATTCAGTTGCTTCCGTGCAGTAAGGTTCTTGTATCCCACAGTCTTGTCTTACTTTATTCCAATCTTCTCCAGTTGTTATCCGAAATAACATTATCATCGCATTGATACTGCCTTCAAAATTGGCATCGTTGTTAATGGCCACACCGTGTTTCACAGTGCCAAACACTATAACCCCGATCATTGCATAGGACATGATGATTAATACCAAAACAAATATAATATAGAAACTCTTCACTAAACTCATTAAGACCGTCATCATTAGCATCTTCAGTGTATCATGTTTACCAGACAGACTTAAAAATCGAAACAAAATTATCGCAACACCTAACCAAACCGGCCCGCGGTACATTCTTTCGTGGGTATGATTATGGACGAAAGCAAAGTGAAGTATAATCCACAAAACACCGGCCACAGTCAAAAAGAAGTCGAAACGGTTGCGATGACTTCTCCAATAACCTCTGAAGGTGTACGCAACGATCTTGAGAATGCACTCAATAACAAAGACGATGGTCAATGCTACGGAAATCAGCATCAAATTCTTTGGAATGGGAGAATCAGGGTCGACTATCCACGGAACAACTGCTAGCGTAGCACAGTTAAAGACAACCAAAAAGACGTTTACTCGACCATAAAGTGTGGACTGTAAGAAGTCATATAGTCGCGATCTGACGGGACTGTCATCAGGACGCAATGGGAGGTGAAGTGGTTGGGCGAGTCGAAGGCGCTTTCTTAAGTCTTCCCATCTTCTTTGATCAACAGTAAGAAGTGCTGTTCCTTTGTTCTCGTTGAAATTATTAACAACAACACCGACGAACATTGCCAGCCCGATCATACATGCCAGTAATACGTAGCCATGAATATAAAACCCATATAATGTCCCTAGATTCTTTTGATCTTCGATAACATTTCTTATGTCTAACCAACCCTCGAGCGAGAGGGCTTCAAACAGGGCTATCAAGGCGTTAAGAAGTTCGTCAAAGTTAAAACTTTTTGGATTGTGCCATGTTCTTGAGACCAACATTTCATTTTCTCCTCCTGCAAGTTCACGCAATTCTTGTGGCCCTCTTAAAGCGGTGTAAAAAAATCCTTGACACTCCTCTTCAGTTGTAACACTGTCGTCGTTACATCTCTTGAGTTTGTTTGAAAACATCTGCACACCATAGCTTGCAAAGATGAACATTAATGATAATTGTAGAGCTGCAACTTTTAGGATTTCTTTAAATCCACCAAACAACTCCTGAATAACTTGCCTCGTTTTCGGAATGAGGTTGATTACCCTGAGCGGTCTCAAAGCACGAAGAACAAGCAGGGCATACGTCGCAGAGTTACGAGGAATGGACGACGGGGATAAGCATACGTAAATAAAGCCAATAAAATAAATCGAGATATCCATGACATCGCCGGGGCTTCGAATGACCGCGTTAGGTGTGAACAACAGACCATCAGCAAGAACACGAATCAGCAACTCGATACTCGTGGCAACAACGAAGAGATACTCGAAGAATTCAAGTACGGGAACATCAAATGTTCGATAGTCATGTTTCTCGAACATCATCGCGACGCAGGATGAGAAAGTGATGAGGATAATTATCCATTCCAAATAGGTTTGGGTTGATAAAACTCTCTTAATGAACGCATCGTTAATCATGGGACGTTTCGACTGCACCTCCCCATGATTCCCTGCGATCTCATATCGAGCATGCACAATTCTTTGCAGCCACTGACGCAACAGACTGTCACGAGACACAATGAAGAGCGGGAAATCAAAATAAGGATGGTTTTCTCTTAGAGACTCCTCACGGGCTGCTTTTACCCTTTGTGCTTGTTCACGTCTAGCTCGTAATTCTCTGATGTTCCAGTCCTCGTTGTTACGTGATGAACCCGTATTGTGAGGCAACGTCGCTGCGCCATGTCCGCCTTGACTTTTCATTTGTCGTAACGCGTTCATGTCGGCTTTTTCCGATGTCTTACGCGCTCCTTGAGTTAACTTCGCCGCGTTACGATTGATCTGTCGTGCTGTGTAGCCTAATAGATATGACTTTGCTGTATGACGGCCTTGTGTCGCTGTGTAGTCCGTGAGATTACGTCTTCGAGTGGAGTCTTGAATAAGTTGTGTCAGGCTGGTTCTTTTCTTTAATCTCAGTGTGTGAACATCGTCAGGGACAGGTGAACTAAGTAACTTAAATGGCATGTCTTTCCTTTGCGTCATTAACGCATCTTCGTAGACGCTAGGGTTTGCTGTGAAACCTGACAAACGCATTCGTGTATCGTCTAAAAATTTTCTCATAAAACTTTGTCGAACTTTAGGCACAGGAAAGTCACCTGAAACTTTCCACGTTTCCACTAATCTTGGACTTTCTTTGAATTTTCCAAATATTTGCAGCCGTTTTGGTAGGCTTTCATGAATATTCAAACCTTCTTCACCTAACTTGCGCTGTTTCAATATTTTTGTCTCTTCCTTAATTTCCAAATTGTCAAGAATAACAGCAATAAAAACACTGCCTAAAATAAGTGATGCGAAGAGATTGTAACTAGTGAAGTAAATACTAACAAGTGGAGCAATTATTGGCGAGGATGCGTACTTTACTGTATCCAGTACTTCGACCCACCCCTCCTGGGTTATTATTTGAAACATAGAAGTGGATGATTTAAGATAGTCATCGAAAGGTCCGTCGTTACCGAAATCCATGCCGGAGAACAACTGTAGACTTAGGGTGGACGCAAAAACCAACAGAAATAACGTAAAGATAACGACTGCACCAATTTTCGTTCCTGTTCCGAATGCTTTATGCAAGAAGGCGTTGAGACTTGGCACAGCAATGATTAGACGTGTCACCCGTAAAACATGAAAAGCAACTAAAATATCAGCTTCTGCATATGTAACCGCCCCAATACATAGCGTGCTTCCTACAGCCAAAAATAACTCAAAACGATAAACTGGGATTTTCCAATAGCTTTTTACGCCAACACACCAAATCTTAAAGCAGCTTTCGATGTCAAATATGATTGTGAACACTAGTTGTAATATACGTCTGGGATGAGGATCTAGGTTAGGTTGAAGTAAAGCGTCTAATGCCAACAGGGCCCATATCATATACCGGAAGTATTTAGATGTAAGAAATTGTCTAGCGCGATTGAAGGCTTTTGTTTTCGTCCATTCTTCTTTAATAGCAACCAAGTGCCAACCAGTGCCATCGTCTTGTATAATTTCAGATGATAAGCCCGTAATTCTGCGATTAGTTCGCCAGTTCTTTAAATATAACTGCGATCGCAAATCAGCAAATGTTTCCGTAATTACGGCGATGAAAACGCTCTTAACCAACCAAGCCACAAAGAATATCAGTGATACGAAATAAACCGCACTAACATAATAGTTCTGACTGTTCATTTGCGCGTACATCACAAGAACCCATCCTTCTTGTGTTGAGCTCTCGTACACAGTCAAAAATCCATACCATATATTTTCGAAATACGTTGTTCGTTTACTGTCATCGAGCCTCAAACTGTGGCAGACAAAACCTTCCGGACAAACTGTTTTACTCTGGTGGCTGTTATCAATATAGCAACGTATTTCTGGCAAATTGAGGTCTTTATTAGTAACATTTTTAATATCAGTACCGTTTTTCACACAGTAATAGCTCTCCTCCCCGAAAAGCTGGACGCCGATTAATGAGGCAAGGATCATAAAATAGACTAAAAATGTCGTAACGTTTCTGATTTGTTTACCAGAGCGTCGGGAGACCTGATTCAATAGCGATATATTCATGAAGTATTTCATAACTCGTATAAGAATAAACGAGCGGGGTGCCCGTGCTATAACCTTTAAATACTCTGGGACGTATCCAGAAAAATTCGGTCCCTCGACAATTTGCAATACTATTGACATTACAATAAATATCAGCATCCCCAAGTTGAATAAATTGAAACGATTCTTTAGAAATGCCCTTTCTCCTTTCCATAAGCCAAAAATTTTCATATCCATGAGCGATTCAATAAGAAATATTAATAGGACAAAAATATCAAGCGTTAAGGTAACATACCACAATTGTCTGTATTTTTCAAACGTCTTCTTACTATTCATACCGACTGAGATTGCACTCACCACGATTGATATTTGAATTAATCGTTTGAAACACACACTTTTGACGAATTGAACACTTGGCAGTTCGTCATCATCGTGTTCGTCGTCCTCAGGGCCGCTAGATTCAACGGCAGTATTTGTCGGAATTTTAGAATTAGAAACATCACTTGCCAAGTCACTGGCATCACCCGTATCTGCCTCCATTTTGCTTTGTTTACTCGGCCAACTTAGACTTGTGTCCAATGAAAAGAGCATGTGCAGATGTGCTCATTAGTCATTTCCTGTGGCGGACTTGAACCAGGTTATGTCTGGTGTCTAATCCTCATAAAATATACATATATCACTCTTGAAGCACCCACATACATACGCAAATTTACCGTCTATGTTTATAACATATGCTAAATTTTGATTCAGAATAAATGTTCCGCTCCAAATTATGTTTTTCTTTTCATACATATATTTTAGGGCCAACTGGGGGCTATCGGTGCAATGGAGTCATCGGAGTGGGCTATCCTGTATGTTCATTCAATAATTTAAAATGCTTAAGATAATATATGCTGGGAAGTGGCGAGATCTTTTATAAATTATTCGTTTTAACAGATTGATGATAATACCAAATAGATTGATTTGCAGCCTTTGTGTGTCCGCAACAGATGGCCGAGCTGAATAATAGCATACAAAGGACCATATGGCTGCAAAATGCAAAGAAGGGCTGCATATGCAAATGAATAAAAATATATCTCCATGTCATCTATCACCTGCTAATGGCTGGCAAATTACATCATCACTTTGAAATACTTTGCAAGTAAACCTTGTTGCGTGTGATCCTCGCGAAAAGCGCGCGTTTTTCCGCGTAAACCATCGACAACAACAAAATTTGAGAAAGATCATTTACATTAAAATAAGTGAAAAAGAAAGCTATTTTCTGTCCTCGCTGCGAAAGTATTTCGTTTGATATATGGGTGTATTAAGCACCCACGATCGCGTTAAAAACGCAGAATTGTTGAACTCTGTGATTCATGAACAGACCACTGAAACGTAAGTTAAACGAGAATAGCATGTTTACAGTGAATGCAATCGCTTAAAAATTTCTTATATGCGCTTAATTTTTTTTCTTGCATGTGGTTTTTAGTTTCATATTTGTGGCATGCATGCAATATTCAATGCAATATTTTGTTCTATAACGTGAATATATTAGAAACCTTTAGCATTTTCGGTTTTTTCCTTTGTTTGAAATGCATTAAAATTCTTTAAAATATTGGAACCAGAGTACAAGTAAGGGAAAACCCAATAGATTTATTGCTCTGAGCACTGTATTAAAAGTGATTCCATAATGTGTTCATCTTGAAAAGCAATATAACATGACAATACATGACTAACTAATAAGAACTCTGTCATTGCTGTATATTGAACTCTGTGCACAAGTGAAATTGCAGTCCCCAATTTTTGGCTTTGGCTATTTTGTGCCATATTATAATGGTTATTATCAACCACACAAACATTGGTTAATATTAGCCACACATAGAGAGTTACTGAGATTGTAGCACAGCAACCTGTATTTTTGCCTGTGACATTTTTGGTACTGGATATGTTGTAATCGGTTGAAAAAATGCTACTTTCATCATACATATATAATCATTTCAAATGACCAAATACATATAGGAGGAAGTTTTTTTAATACATTCAGATCAACAGTTGAAGCTGAAATTGATGAAAGAAATGATCGACAGAAGCTGAGGCACTCTAAGGCATGTTTGAAAATGTCTCGTGCACCAAGACCTCAATCATACATTAGGAACACTGGTAGAAAAGCAAAGGGGTGTGTTAATTCCAGAAAATTTGAAAATGGTAATTATCTAGATTTATGTCAGTTTTTACAACACTAAAGTAAAAGGTGGTTGGAAATGGTTGCAAATAGTAAACATGAAATAGAGCTTTGCCAACAAACATGTATGTTGGCTGTGTTAATTACCATTGTGCAATGTTTGTAAGTAATGGATTTATCAGTATCATTAATTTCAGATGTGTTCCTTTCCCACCTGATTGAAACGGAGGACTTCTCAGATTTAAGCATAGCAGATTTTATGGTAAAATCGACATCAGCTTTTGAACAATTGTTTGAGGATCAGTCCCAAATGAATGTATGTTGTTGGTGCCTTGTTGATGAAAAAAAAATTTTTCACATGCTTTTGTTTTCTAAGGAGTTATCCTAAGCTTGGTGGTGAAAATTTTGTTTACAAATTATTAAATTACCATTTGCATGTCTGATTTTAACAGAGATGGAGTGATTTTGTAAACCTTAAAGGTGAAGACCAGGACAGGTACCTTTGTGACTTATCTCATCTTGATTCTTCTCAAACTCCAAATCAATTAAACCAAAGAACCAAGACTAATTCAGGTATTATACCTTTCTGAGCTAATATGAGTGTGATGAAAGTATAAAAAAACTTTGTTGGGTAAGCTTTGTTTAGGGTCAACCTGATATATGTATATTCCTATGCTTTTATCATTTTAGATTTTCAAGTTGCTGAAAAGAAATTTCAAAATGTCGATCACAAAATTAAATTAACTTTGAAAGGCAGAAATATATCAATGGTAATTTTTGTTTTCACTTTTGTGAATTGCAAATTGTATTTTATCCTATTTTTTTACAAAGAATTCATTATCAGTACTTATATTAATTTGATACTTTAGATCTGTTCTAAATCCCAGAGCTGTTTTGAGCCTCTAAACTATGCATTAGTTAATAGTTGTTGCACATCAGCACAAAGGGCATGGGACCTATACTCGCACTCCTAATATTTTGAGAATTGGGTTTTTAAATAAATAAATACAGTGGTACACTCTGTGGAAGGTCTTCCCATAGAAAAAAAACTAAAGAGCAAAGTTGTGCAGTTTTTTTACTTTGTAAATTAGACAAACCCATCAGTTGCAAACTTTACATTATTTTAGTCTGGACTGAAGTACTTTGAAGAAGAAATGTTGTCAGTTTTTAAAGACATGAACGAAACTGTTCTCATATCTCTGATTCCATCAAGGTATATACTACACATGTACCCATCATAACTAAGTAAACTTACTTCTCGCAACCGTTTTAATGTTCTGTTTATTAGGACTAAATTTATAGTGACAAAAATACACGTTTACTTATCTTATTCTAAAGATGTCTCTTCCACGTGTTTTCGTTGTATCTCCAACGTTAATTTCGTTTTATATACGAACCAAAGACCATTTGTATTTTCACAAGTTACGACAATGAAAATGGCGGAAAATTTTTGAAATTCGTTGTGAACTTATGTCACTCCCAGTGGCCACCACTCGCCAGTGATCTCTATATATATAGAGCTCACTGGTGGTCAAAATACGCGCACCTGGTCCTAGGATGTAGTGGCGTATGAGTTCTACGAGTGTTAGAGTAAAAAATTCCAGTAAAATACCCCTTTCCATACAATAAATGGATATATTGAGTATATCTTGGACTTAGTATGACTGGGTTTATTTTATAAAATGTAAGTTTCATATACAAGTTAAACATCAATTACTACAATTACATCAACCCCTTCGAGGTCCCATTACATGACTCAGCATATGATAAGATATGTTCCCCGACAAGACCATCAAATTGTCCCTTAATTAATGGTGCTTCAACGACTATATTCTTTAAAACTAACAACTGTTTTTGGTTGTATTCAAAATATTTCAAATATTTTCTGCCTGTTTCCTGAAAAGAAAGTATTTGTATGGTTTCTCGCCTTATTTATAGTGATTATATTTCATCTTATAGTATGGATAGATTGCTGATTCACGGAATTTGCCAATACATGAATTTATCGTCAGAGAGTAAGTCTATACACGGTAATCCGACTAACCTCCCTTATGAGCGGTCCCAAAAGTAATAAAAAAGCGTTCTTGGGTTTTGCTTTTGTCTACGCATCTACTCATTCTGTCTTGAACAAAATGACATTGTTCTACCCACTAAAACATCCCCCTTCCGAAAGAATGACAGTACATATTACGTTGTACTTTGTAAATTAATCGAATTGACCCATCAAAATATTATACAACATCTATACCCTGGGGACAAGATTACTCACAGTGTGGATTGATATTGTCATTTATATCGTTAGGTCACCCAAGACACGTGGTTCAAATAGAAAATCTGAGTAACCAGTTTCATCCACCGGATATGCTATTGTCACAGTATTTAGAACGCATTAGATGACGAACTTATTTGATAATTTTATATATATCGATGTTTTAGCAATTATACTTGACACATTTTCAATCTGTAAATATTGGAGTAGTCGTAATGTGTGACATTACAATTAAATCTATTCTGCAAAATTTTGTCGTGTCTGTTATGATAATTAGAGAAACAAAATGTCGTGCATGATGGCTTAGTAATTATGGTATATCTTATTTATTACATAGCAGCCTTTAGACTGACTTTCTATACATAGATTATTCACTTTAAAATTCGTTATTAACATAAAAATCATCCCCATTCTGTATACAAATAGTGTTTAAAATACAATTTACAATTACTTTATAGGACCGAAGACCACTCCCTAATCATCTAAGAGAAGCTTAAGATTATAAATCTGAAAAAACTACCTTAGTTTCCCGATCATATCAAAATCACCATAACCTGGGTCAATACTCCCAAATGGATTTCGTGTAGTTGGAATTCCAGTCACGTGAAAAAACATCTTCCAGTTGTCTCTGGATGGCATCTGAGAACAGCTGCTTTTCCGAGTCTGGTGAAGTCTGATTAAGGATATAACCTATACCACCTGTGTTCACAAAGTAATCCGCTGACCAGTTAGATGTTCCGATATATGCTGCGTTATCGGTAACCATGTACTTAGTGTGTTGGACACGAGAATAAGGAATTTTTTCCTGTCTTTCATTCGCTGGAACCTTAAGCAATCTCTGAAATTCAAATGTGTTGTGTTTAATTGCATTCATAAAACAAAAAGTAACACCTTATTTTTAGGCAACTTTCCAACTATTTATGTATGTAGCTAATGCACGTCACTTCCTGGTGGTTACGGTATTATCATCTGGTCAAAATTGCTTGAAATATCTAATCCATCAAAAACAATCTGATCGTCGAATTACAGATGCCCACTATAACCCAGACGATTTCTGAAATGATATTTAGTCAATCCTGTGTCTTCTAGGAAAACTAACCTTATTGAAAACTAACCGGCATAGTTACTGATTTTGCTCACTTATAGGAATTTGAATAAACGAAACATACCACTTCAACATTAACATATTTCACGTCATTCAAGACAGCCAAAGATTTCAGGAATGGGATCATTGAGAGTTTAGTATGAAGCCAGTCACTGGCCATGAAATGGACCTCAATACGTCGATCAAACGCAGCTTCCCGTAAAGCATCATCAATAACAGCCCAATAACTAAATATGACAGAAAGCGTACGTATCAATTGCATTTTGTCAATTGTTGTCTTGCAAATGGGGATAGAAAATACCTTATTTGCCTTTGTCAGTAAAAAACGAAGAATAGAACCGTGGCGTGAAAATAGGACATATATAATCATGCGCTATCAAAGACAAGCTAGTGAACGTTTCGCCGGTTTCGGTTATAACAGTTCAGAACGTAAATGACTGGTTCACCCTTGTAATGATTCACTCAACTTTTCTCCAATTTTCAGGGAGAATTTCCGGCTTATCTGTACGTAAACATCTACTTAATCGTTGTGCGTAAAATCGCGGGAAAATCGTCCGCGTGTTTTGATCAATGATTTTCAACGAGATTAGCTATTTATCAAAGGCGCCATTGACATTGTTCGCTCTTAGATGTCGATATGTAAGTAACTATGACACACTGATATAAGTATCCAATGCTTACGTGCTCGGCCAGGTATATAAAAAGGTTGGTGAATAATCCATGACAGAGATATGAATGAATTTCTGTGCTTTATGGATAACGTCAAGAATTGAATCAATATCTGTTGTTCTGTCTTTAGTGCATAGCGGAGGTGGGGATGACGAGAGATATACCTCCCCTGCATTACCATTGATCATCAGCGGCATCGGATGATCTGAAATATGATCAGTGAAGGAGAATTAGAATTTCATGATGAAATAGATGATGAAATGCTTTGATGACGATGCTTTCATTTTAAAAATATGTTTATATAGAAGATAGTCAAGAGAGATTGTGTTCAAAATGATAAAGAAAATAACAGTCTTGCGCTCTCTATCCCCTGCTGCATGTGTACGACCTTGCTCGGCATTAATAATAAACAAAGAATGCACATGTCGGAAAAAATTACCTTTGTTATAATTTGTATCTAAACTAGTTGGCCAATGATCGGGAATGTGAGAATTATTTTCTGCTAAGAACCAGTAAATGTCGAAAATTTTGGACATGTCTGTTGCTAAACAACTACAATTTGATGTCAGAAGGCCAAGTTCTTTAACCTGAAAATAGGCAGAGAGATAAAATCTATCTAAAAAACTTTAGATGAATGGTGGAAGTTACCATGCAACAACGGACATGTTGTTAGTTATGCCCACATTATGTCTATACACACAGTTATGCCCATACAAATTATGTCAGGGAAATATTAAATGGAAAAAATCATATTAATTACCTAACTACTTTGATAAAATACGGTAACTTGTTAATTTAAAGTATGAACCTGCGTGAGTGATCTCCAATCCATATTCGCACTACCAAGATAGAAATGCATATTATCGACCAACCACATCTTAGTATGCAGTATTCCGGCTCCTAACAATTTCTTCATATCTAGGACACGGACTTCAGCAAGACCCATTTCTTCTAAGACTTTTGTATCTTCATTTGTTTGGTATTTTGTATCAACTTGATGAACAATTTTGATGCTGACACCTGAGAAATGGAAAAGAATCCACAAAATTTATCTGTGAATTTTGAATTACACTTTAGTTACACAGGCTCAGGCTGACAATTTTGGGTGAGGTTTTTTTGTACGTCCAACGCGTAAAAGGGCGGATTTCACTGGTACTGTAACGTTTTTCCAAAATTACAAATCTAACCATATATGCATCTATTCAATCGTTGATTTCATAAGTATTATTTAAATGATTTTGAAAAACTTTTACGTGCGTACATATGAACGTAAAATAAAACGCGACAGTGGAAAGAGGCCCTAATCCAACAGACAGGACCACGCTGTCCTGTCTATACGCCCCAGACTGACGGACTCATCACGAAAATCTCCTCCCTCCATTTATTAACTCTGTGGCAATTCCCATACATGCGGATGGGTTCGCAGACTATACCTATGTCTGGCTGGTTATTGAAATGAAAAACAAAGAAAAATAATCAAGATCACAAGATGCGAGCTTTTTCATTCGCAGGAAAGTTGTTTTTAAAAATTAAAAGGCCCTCAAGAACAGGCTTTTTTATCGCCTCTTTGCCTACGCATCTCTCCGCCTGATCTTCCCCCTTTAGCTTTATGGCGAAGAAAATAAAGGCCTTTCAGGTTAGATTGGCATTTAAAACTATTTTGTATGTAAATGTACAAATATTAATTGAAATTTAAAATTCAAATTTATACAATAATTCGATAATTCTTGGAATTTGGACTGAAATGCAAGGAATCAGAACAAAAGCGAAACAACGTGGTTCATGCGAGCACATTTTTAGTTTAAACTCAAAGCTGGGTTAAAGAAGTGTACTTTTCATACTTGTTTTCACACTATAATTTTTAATCAATCACTTCTTGAGTTTAGGAAAAATCACTTCTATAATTTTTCCATATTCTTATGTGCAAATATGTGGGTTGTATTACTGCCGATTCCTAAAGGAGACAGTAAGTCTTTCTCTTACTATACTGGAAACATTCGATATATTGGCCAAAGGTAAGTATAATACAATTATATCAGGCATTGTAATGTACTGTAATGAAATTTCATTTGCTTTGTCTACAATTCTATTGTAGCTATACTATTGGCCTATTATAGATTTAGTCAGGCTAAAAATATTTCTTACGTATATTGCTATATTACACCTCAATCAGTATAAAATCACATGAATATATTTTGCAATATTTTTCCATTCACATGGTTGGCATTGTGTCAAAATGTGCACACTTTAGAACTTTTACTACCAATACTAAATAAATTACCATTGCAGTAGGCATAGGTGTGTAAGGCAGGGGGGAGGCAGCTGTAGCCACCTAAATTGGTCAGTTTGTACTTTACAGTTGTGCTAAAATAGACCATTACATGGAAAAAAGTCAACCCAAAACACTACCAAAACACTGGTGTTTACCCAGACATTTTTTATCCATTTTCCTATAACATTTAGGACTTTGAGCAAACCTGAGTGAAAGTTTTGGATTTCAACTAGACTGTTTCCCATGTATTATTATGACCCAACCAATTGTAGATGGAATGCAAATGAAAGTTTATGTATTTTTTAGACCCTAAAGCAGTTGCAAAAATTTCAACAACAACATCCTCTAAAAGAATCAAACCTGCATCCTGTAGTATACAGCAGAACTTTGTGAACATTTGCGAACAGCTACATATTGATTAAATATAAACAATCTAGTTATCATCACCTCGTTTTCCTACTTCTACCAGTTTGTTAAAAATAGCATCTCCCTGCCATGAGCTAGGATCTTTTACTGGCACATCTTCTGATCTGAGTGACCAGTACGATGAAGCAATATAAATGTTTGACTTTGCTGCATCCAGAAGCTTCAACCAACTAGTGAATATAGAGGGGTGAGATGGTGCGCCTTTGGGGTAGGTCATATTTTCTGGAATACTTTCTATGAGGGTTATGTTGCAGTTGGAAGATGATAAACCATAGCAGTAATCCCAGTTTTTATTTTCATCTGGGATACCACAAACAAATTCAAAATTGTCTTCTCGGTCGTCTTGATTCTTGTCAATGATTCCCCTGGCCCTGTCATGTAAGAACACACCAAGACATACACCGCAAACCAAAAGAATGACAACAATTGAACACAAGACTATTCTTCGTGTTTGACATCGCATTGAACACTTTTTGAGACGGACATCCTCTGTCAGAAGAACTTTGTCATCCATCCTTTCAGAAAATTACAAGAAGTAAGTATTATTCCAGGGGAAAATATGCTGTAATGTTACTTCCTTGAACTGATATTTGATCCAGTCGCAGTTCTACTGATCTGCTAATATACTGGATATTATTACTGGATATGGAAGCTGTAGACTAAATAAGGCCTGTTCATATGACTGATATGAGACGAGCCAGCCCTGTTTAGTCGGGCTAGCTCGGCAGTGCCGGAATCTCGCATCATATATCATTTCACTATATTTGTAAAATTGCATGCATATGGACCGGACTCCCGACTGGCTCGTCTCATGAAGACATGAACAGGCCCTAAAACGGGTCAAGGAAGTCAAGTAACTGTGTATTTCAATGGTTAGGGCTGTTTTTGCATCAGAGCCTAAATCAGTCTCAAGTTGTGCGTAGTCTGCGTGGATAGCGATACTCATTTAATTTTGGGTTTTTTTGCGGTTCTTTCTAAATCCCTAAAGTAGGTAGCCTAAAGCACGCCTAAAGTTTATGTCATGAAAAGAATGAAGAAAGGAAAATTAAGGAATTTTGGTTTTTTAGGTGTAACTTCCACACTGAACTCTATATATTATATTTCGTGGAATGCTAATCATGCTGATATAAATCATGGCCATGGACCAAGATGGCAGTTGGTTGAGTGGATTGAGTGCAAGAAAAAGTATTGATAAAAGTTTGTTAAAGAACATTATAAGGCATACTGATGCACACAATAAGGTAAAATTTAAATACAGATTAACACAAGAAGAAACCTACGCACATGTGGTGCGGTTTGTAATTTGGCAATAAATTGTATATTTATATTTATATATATATAAAGTTTATAAACAGCTTTTAAGGTTGAGTCCAGAAGAGAATTAAAATTAGAATATACCCTTCACTGTTTCCGATTTTTAATTGAGCCTAGGCTGCTTACATCATCCCTTTATTCTTGTGGATTACCATTAGTGAAATCTATGTGAAAAAATGGCATGTAACAGTTTTGTCTCTATATAGTCCCTGAAAATTGAAATAGGCCTGAAGGAAGTATTTGTATCACTTTTATAAACAAACAAGAGTAGAGACAAAAATATGACCATTAACTATGTAGTTTTTAGCTCTGAATAAGATCAAAAAGTGAATATTGTTTAAAGATTAATTTGTATGCCAATTAGATTCAAGAGCAAAATGAAATGTGGAAGCAATGGGGGTTAAAAAAGCAAGCTCGTGAGAGAGACTTGTCATACAAGCATGATGGCAATATCAGGTATATATAGATAAATGTTGAAATATTTTACTAAAAATATTCTTAGAGTGACACATACAATCTTATTGGTATCAATTCTATGTAAACCATACAACTTTTGTGACTGTTTCAAATATAAATAAACATGTAAGATCATGCTATAATTGTAGGTTTTAATGTTTTTAAGGGGTTACATGAGAAGTGACAGTGGCCTGTCCTCTGCTAAGAAGAAAGAAAGTCTGAAGTGGAACCGTCTTCTTCTAGAGTACGAGGAAACAAGGAAAGATCGGTGAGTGCTTGGAAAATTGCTGTCACTAAAACACAGTTATTTCAACCATTTAATTTACTTAGTATGAACCCAATATTATTCACTCTTATGTGATCTTTTGACTAATAATATGTAAAATGTGGTCCTCTTTCAGCTGGGGACATAGTGGTTATAAAGAATTGTATCCTGATGAGTTTCAACATGATGGACATGACAGTGAAATAGATACAAATGAGAGGTACAACATGTTTTTCTTTTATAAGAATACTTCAATTATCATGTTTTCATTATTGGTATCATTTTTCCAATAAATTTGCTATCAATCAAGGGATTCATGAAGATTTAAATATTGAAACACAGTTGGGAAGCCATACCTGACTATTTTTTTCCAAAGTAGCAAAAGTCAAATTATATAGCTACAAAAATATTTGACACTTTCAATTTGTCTTTACATGCCAAGTGAGGATTCAGAGAAAGTAACAGTTAAAACAGAAAGTCCTAGCAGGGAAAAGACAAGCAAAAAAGCGAAGAAGGAAAAAACAAAGAAATCCAGAAAACCTACATCTGATTCTGATGAGAGCGATGTTGAAATGACTTTCAATCGCAGAAAAGCAAATAGAAAAGCCAAAGAGGTTGACGATAAAAAGACCCATGGAAAAAGAAAGATTGTTCAGAGTAAAGAATCGAATTTTAATCGTGGAGAACGGGAGAAATCGAGGAAATCTAAATACGACGAATTAGACAACGAGAATGAAACCGACGGCAAAAGCAAGAAAACAAATGGCAAGTCCAAGGATCTTCATAATCGAGAAATGGAAAGAAAGGTGAAACTGAATAAGGAATCAAAGACTAAGCGATCTGAAAACCATGGGGAAACGAGTAGAGAGTACATTAACAATGAAAGGAAAGAGAAGAAAAAATCATACGGCAATTTAAGGAATGACGGCAGGAATAAAACGAGAAGTACTGAGATATCAGACAGTGATGAAAGTGTAAAAAAACGAGGTGATAGAAAACGAAATAGGGACGATGCATTGAGAACGTGTACTAGGGCAGATGGAAAGACTAGTTCGAAGAAGAAAACGAAAATGAGACATTAGGTTTTGTTTATTTTCTCTATATAGTAGCCGACGTGAAGGTATACCATAGTCTTTGCAACGGACAAAACGAGTCAAGAATTTTAGCTTACCACTTGTGTTTAATAAGTATTTTACACTGTAAGATAAAATTACATTTCACCATTTGTTCCATGAATGGTTGATAACGATTCAGCATTGAAAATTCTACCGTACATTCAAAAAGTTTTGAAATCAATTTTTGGCAAATCAAAACCCCCGGTTGAGAAATTGTAAAAAAAATATCGGGACAAATTGATGGGACAGTGAAGTGTAATAATACAACGGCAGACTTGCTTTCTATTTCGAACTTATCCACCGTTAAAGCTAAACGGGCTTGATGCAACCGGCCCCAGGGTCAGGGGCCAGCTATTCGAAAGGCGTTTAGCTTAAACAGTGGATAAGCCAACGGTTTAGAAATACTCTCATAGATCTTGTGAATGACTGAACCTGCATCTTATGCATTTAATTAATATGTACTTCTGTTGACAATTAAACTATTTACATCGAAATATTTCTGTTCAGTTGTTCAATAAATGGATGATTTTGTTTTCCATTTCGAACCACCCCATGTTTTCGTTCTCGTGGTAGTAGTGGTAGGCGATATTTCTTTAAAATATCGATACTTTCGATACTAAGAATTTGGTTGTTGGTATCGATACTATTTTTCAGTATCGATGATTTCGATATTAGGTTACGTGAGGATTACATGGAGTATTTCAGACCTATGAAGCATTCCTCACGCTGCCCACCGATTAAGATCGACTGGAAACCCGCGAACGGGAGGCTGCGAGGAAGACTCAATGGGAAGACCACGATCTGCATAAATTAGGTGAAAAGTGCCAGTATCAGTATCGATATCGTATCGAAAATATCGATAAAAAAATATCGATATCGTATCGAATCATAAAACCCCAGTATCGCCCACCACTATCTCGTGGCGCTCGCGAAACATGTCTGGGCGGCTACCTGTGGGGGGGGGGGGTGAGGGTGAAATAGGGTGATATTCATAATAAAAACATGTACATTGCAAATTACTGTCGGGAACTGTCGGGTGTCAGGGCGTAGTTGCAACAACGTACAGCACGATTTTCCAAGATATTTTCTTTCCTTTTCGACTTCGCTTTCCAGATTCACTTGATAATGGTTAAATATTTAGAAACTCAGGTAATGAATGGTACACTAGGACGTTTGGTATAATTATAAGACGTTTAATTTAATATGTTGTTCAGTTGTTGTATGCTATTGTGTTATATAACTTATTAATTTGTTCCGAAATAGCCAGAAAATCGGCGTGGTCGGCTACGTTGCATCATCTTGGAATAACTACATCATGTCGCATAAAAATGTGGCATAAGTTGTCCATTTAGCCATTTGTTATATATATATATATTGATATATATATTATTATTCTTAAGTGGGGTCGAGGGGATGGATTCCATGCATGTCATGCTACAGTATGACAATCATAAAATATATATATATATATATATATATATATATATATATATATACAATCGTTATCAAAAAGGTTGTCATATTGAAATACGTATATAAATACATAAATAATTCAATATCAGTATACATATCAATATCATATACATATATAAATACGTCAATATCAGTCACGTGATTTTACTGCATAGGTTAATTTTATGGGAAATCTGTGAAAATCTTTATTAAAAATTTCATAAATATAATAGTAAGGTTAACAATATTGATAATAATAAAGAAACAAGACAAAAATGAGCGAAATAAACAATGTTTAATGCTCATGTGATTGATATTTATATATTTGTATATATATTGATAGGGACACCCTTTTTAATAACGACAATAACGACACCCTTTTAGTAACTATATCAACATTTATTCACCTCCTACGTTTCGGGGCATGCCCCTTCTTCAAGGATGAATATTGAAGAAGGGACAATGCCCCGAAACGTAGGAGGTGAATAAATGTTGATATAGTTACTAAAGTTTATTTTGTGATTTACGTATATGAAATGAAAGTAAACGGGATCGGAGAAGGGTTTGTGATATATGTATGTATATATATATATATATATATATATATATATATATATTATATATATATATATATATACATATATCACACATATATATATATATATATATATATATATATCACATATATATATATTATTATATATATATATATATATATATATATATATATATATATATATATATATTTATATATATATATATTATATATAATTATATATATAATATCTCAGGCGGAATTTGATGCATTTCGTGAAGAACACAAAGATAAATTAGTGGTCATAGATTTCACAGCATCTTGGTGTGGACCATGCAAACACATTGCTCCTGCTTTCGAGGTGAGATTAGTATGTGAAGGTAATTCATTAATTTCTTAATTCTAAATTTAGAATAAACAGTAAACATGGAAAATATAGCAAGTGTATAAGACATGCTGATAAGTTACTATGGTCATTGGTCAGCCATATTACAACAGAATTGCAATTACTTTAAACATGACAAACAGATCACTATTATTGATTTTCACTTAATGGATTTTTTGTTTTGTGCAGTACTGAACAAATATATGGAAATCCATGCAATTTTACTTGAATGTCATAGTACAACCTTAGGCACTCAGCAATGTTTATGTATTTTTTTGTTTTTCTAGAAATTAGCTAACGAATATCCGAATGTCGCATTTGCTAAAGTGGATGTTGATAATAATTCGGTTTGTGAATTTGTTCTCTGAATTCTTTTCTTTTTTAAAATGGCTATAATGGCCGCACACTTAAAACTGTATGGTACCTACAGATTTTAGGGTTAAAAACCATACAATACCTATGGTTTTTAGTGCCAATATATAATGTGATCTAAGGTTAGAGTAAGCTCCTAATTGTCATTAAAATTTAATAAATTAGGCCATTTTGGTCCTTACTAAAGTGGGTTATTTAATTACTTTAGCTACGCCTGCAAGTAAAGAACATTAATAATATATGCACATATGAATTAAGACTACCTTTTAAATTGTTTTTCCTAATTTGTTTTTTTTTAAAGGAAGTTGCAGAATCCGAAGGGGTTAGTGCAATGCCTAGCTTTTTCTTCTATAAAAACGGAGACAAGGTACAGTTACGTTTTCACTTATTGGAAACCCATTTCACCAATAATGTGTCCATTAAACTTTTCTCGATGATCCTCTAATCCTTCTTAACATATGACTGGAATGGAAAAATTTTTTCATTATTTCTAGATTGATTCTATAACTGGAGCAAATGAAGCAAAGCTCGAAGAACTAATTAAAAAATATCAGAAATAATTTCCCAGGTCAATCTTCTTAACACCAAAACGTATTTTGCACGAAGTTGTTTACTTATAAGAATAAATTCCAATGTAGCTACTACCTAATGCACCTAGTAACAGTTTAATTTCTCTCCGGACCGTAGAGAAATAATTGTAATAGGAAAATACAAGGAGTGAAAATTTAAGAAGCATGTGCCTAAATTGTTTTATTTAGTTATCATCGTGATATGTGCATCCGGTATTTTCCGTAAGATACTCGACACACTTCAATCTATCTCTTCGCCGAACGTCACCCAAATCTTTCAAGTTCAGCGCACATAAAGCCCGTTTTCCACTAGGCGAATTTATTCGCGTGAATTGATAAAAGTAGGAAGCGATTCTACTTTTTCGCGAAAGATTTTGGCGCCTATACTCTAGTTGGATACCTAATTTGTATTTTTGATGAATAACTTTTTGTTCTCCAGCTCCGGCCAGTTCGGTGGCATTCTGCCTTGCGTTATCGAAATGAGCAATTTCAGATCATATGAAGCAAAGTATAGAAAAAAATACAATCTCTTTTCCTGTACAGCTGATAGACTGAAACTATCTAATCTCCATAATTTTTTCATGCATGGCAACACGTGAAGGTAATCTAAATGAAAAATTACAAAGCAACAATTTTCGCGTTGAAAAGCGTGGAAAAGATACTGCATGCGGCATGCGATATACCACCTCTTCCTCTACTTAGCTTTCCGGTGACTTATGCACACGCGAAGCTGACTAGAGAAATACTGATTATACTGATTCGCATATTTATCAGTTCCAGCAGATCAGCAATCACAGGCTAACTGTCCCATTGTTTATCTTAAAAATCAATACTGTTACAGAAATCATTGTAGAAATAAGTGAGAGTTTCAACTGGAATGCATAGCCAACTGATCGAAAACCTGACCTAATGTTCTTTAAATAGTCCACGAGTAACTGCACTTCCATGCGATGTATAAAAGTTAAATTCTGGATGTTCTCTTCGTTGGGTTCGCTATCGGTAGCTAAGATAATAAATTCCTGAGAATTCCCATTAGCAGAGAGACAGAGATTGTTAATTGTGCAAAGGAAATTTTTGTCGTGTTTCTCTATTTTTCCAGCAAGGTAAAGTGGAAGAAGCCATATAAATGCTACGGTTCCAATTTCCAACAAGGCGAAAAATATAGTTTCTTTATCGGAATGAGTTAGATCTAAGTTACCAATTACATCTAAAGGTACTATTATTATAAGAAACACGTTGTGAATTAGAAACCACCATTTTAGGCGACAGCAGGATTTCTCAATCTTTAATATATAGTTGCACATGTGATCATGTATGGCCGCTTCTGCGCCTTTTGTCCACTTTGTAAACTTAAACAGTTGATGCTGAAGTCGGACATTGCTCATGAGTTGAAGTAAGTCAACAATAAATACCACAGCAAAATACGCTCCTACCATGTGAACTTGGGCAACAAATACAAGCCAAAGCAAACATCCTCGGAATGTGTCATGATAAGGATAAACAGCATCTATTAGGCTGGTTGTAAGCCCACGAGAACCGTTCGACGTAGAGGTAGCCAGACCACCAATCAAACTAATAAACACAATTGTTGAAATGACCGTTCTGATATTGTAATACATCAACTGTCTCGGAAATCTCCTCAAATGCGATATGTGAAAGGTAATAGGAATCATGTTGTCTTCTATATCACGAGATCGAAAGTAAAATGAAGCGAAAAGATAACTCAGAAGTCCACCAACAGAAGTTACAACGCCAATACAATCGCTCGTTACACCAATGTTTCTCGTTGACACCAAAAGGGCTACATAACAAATACACGTACATGAGAGCAGGAAGCTTACGACCCCAATCATTCCACGATTCAGATATCGTATGAAGCAATAGTTTGATTTTGGATGCCAAAGACTGAGGCCTCTTAGTAGAAGTTTCAGCAGGAGAAAATTTCTGTTTTCACTGAATGTGAATGATATTGAATCTGGTGTATGTTGGGGTATAAACCTCTCTTCGTCATTTTCCGAGTCACCGGCTCCATGAAGATCAAACCTATTCCTCGACATGCTTAGGACAGTTATGCATTATATATTCTTAGTTGCTTTAAAACAGAACGGTACTAAAATCATTAATCATATTGAACGCCTTCATCTGTCGAAATGTCAGAAATAGTTAATGAAGCATCTCAACTTTTAAGTGACGAAGGGAATGAAAATGGTGCAAATCGTCAAATGAAGCTGCTTTCGATTGTCACGTTTTTTGCATACACGCACGTAAACGTTTAAAATCTTCCAAGTTGTTGTATAATTAATTTTATGCCAGAAAAACACATCAAATCATTAAAAGAATCAAACCCTAGGCATCTATCGTTTAAATGATTTTAAACTTTCACGTGCGTATACGTAAAAAACGCAAAAAGCGTGCAAAAAACGCAGCAGTGAAAACGGTTCGGAATGAGAAAATTAAATGCAGCAAAGTCGTTCACACTATAAAACTCTGCGTCGATACAAAACCAAGTATTTGGTTACCCGTTATATTTATTATATAATTCTGCTTTTAATTCATTTATATGCTTTTTTCATAATTGCTTTTACATAAAAAAGTGGAAAGCAGCCACAATAATATAGGACTTCTATAGTAGTCAGTCAGTACAACGAATGAAGTACAATGAAACTGCCAATAATGCCTAAATGGTCCTTTACAACCCACACTACCGTTCTTTGCGCTGAACGGTAAGAGCACTGTTCTGGAATCGCCCAGGCTCGACTCCTGCTAAGGACCATTTTCATTTCTCCCAACGCAAGCAACGCTCCTTGGATGTGCGGATATTTAGATGAAGGGAATGATGGATAATATTTAATTCGTGGATAATTTCTTGATAGAACTCCTAGTCAAAATATTCCTTACATCAAATGACACTTTTTGTGTGAGTTCGCAGATTCAGAAACATGTTCTTCATTTCCACCAAGGAATAAAATCAAATTCTGAGGCAGTGGCAGTTTGCTCAAGTTTGATCTATCCACGTGACTAAGAACCGACAAACGACACAAATCTTTCAAACATTGCATTGCTTGGGGGATTCGAAAGAAATGAAGTTGGTAAGCATCAAGATCCCAATACCTGTTCAGCTCTGGTGGTGTAAACATAGCGAAACGTGAACCACAGACTGTGAAGCATGGAAAGATTGAACAGAGCTGACCATAGGTAAAACTATATGGCATTCTATATAGGGGTTGTAGACTGATAGAATCCATCACTATACACATACAAGATTCTATATTAGCCAGAACGCACAAGTATTGGCCGTTGGGACTGAATCTTAAAAAGCTCTCTCTTGGATTAATCACACTTTTACTTGGAACAAAACTTGGACGAGTATCTTCCAATTTAACTGCTTTTCCCATGTAACTTCCGGAATTCCAGACTCTGACTTCCATTTTGTAACCCAGCACAGCGATGTTAAATTGCGATTTAGAGACACCGGCAGGTACTAGAGCCACGCCAGTGGGTTGAAAATCTTTACCGAATTCACTAATGGGCAGATCCTTCTCACACAAGCAGAGAGCGTTGGGGATGTTAAAAACACTTAAAACACAAAGATTCTTGCTGTGAGCTAAGACGGCTACAAACTGTGCATCATGAGTCATTGCACCAATCACACCTTCAACAAACACAGGGTCATCCATCGAGAAAACAGATGTATCAATGCTCATTTCAAAACGATGACGTGGAATCTGACCAATGTGTTTTAATTCTTTAGTCACATGATCATACAGGGCAATCTTGTGACGACGAGCTTCGTCGTGTACTTTCATACAAACCGACACTAAACCATCACCATTTAGTGTTCTATATTCATCAAGGGGTCTATACATATTTTCCATGGGCAGTGGTGGATATATGTCATATAGTTTGGAATCCATTCTGGGTCTAAGGCGTTGTAAAAACAGTTCAATACTTTGACAAGAACGTGAAGTGAAGTCTATAGTGGACATTCCCTCTTCCAAACTGCATGTCCAATAAGGTTGAATGATTTCGGTATCTGACAAATTGACTGGCTGTGAAAAACAAAGAAACAAACATTTTATACTCTTAATGCATGCAGTAAACGTTGTCAAGACTGATGCATGCAGTGAATACGATTTTGACGCATGGAGTAAATACGATTCATCACTGTCCTACACTTAATGAAATTCTAATATCCTTGGCTGTATTTTTTACCTAATAGTATGGGAAAATATGATGATGATAGTTTCGAAGATGGCAATTGCAATTTTTATAATTTTCTACATTCTATCATCTTGGACGTAAACCAAACGTTGAAGGTTTTTTTGGGAACAACACGAAAGCAAAAACGAAAGCACTGAGATAACGGTGTTAAAGACAAAGACGATGTTGAAGAAAAATGCAACTTCGGCCTTACTAGCTGCTGCAGTGTGGTACGCAACCACTAAGCTACGAAAAACGTTGCTTGTGAGGTGTAAATTCGCGTATGTAAAGATGTTTGGTTGGTGCAGGTGGTAGGGTATGGATTAGGACTTGGCCCTTTATTTGTCTTTTATTAAGGTTTTTTGGCAGATACATACGATAATTAAAAGCCCAAAAACCTGCAACCTTCATTTTCGACTGAGGAAGTGCTTTTATGTATCTTTCAGTGATACCTTTTACAAGTTTACAACTGGCACTACCAGATGATTTTTCATATTCTCTGTGAATATCAATCCTTATATTTCAATTTATAACAATATAATTAATTTATAATAAATCAATAATTCAAGCAATCCAAACAATAAATGAAAAGAAATAATATAAAACCAATCCCATCAGAAGTGAATTGGATACAACAAAATTGGATCATGTGAAGAGACCTTTAGCCATAGGTGATAGGCCCATAGCATTGACCCCAAGAGGTTGAGCATTGATACAGATTATAGACTGTAGCATATAGATCTACAATGGATTGCTGAGAGTGTATTGATAAAAAATGGGTAGGGTCCATAGGGAAGATGAGAAATTATTTTCCACTGATCTATATATGGATAATGAATGTCACTTTTATGTTCCAAAGATCTGCAATTTATGTAAACTTTAAAAGCAATTTTTTCATTTTACAGAATTATTGTGATTAACCCAGTACTGATACTAATTACTGATAATTACTGATAATAATTATTTTTCATTACCTCAATCATTCCTCAGTAGATTTGCCCAAAAATCAAAATGTCAATTTGAGATTGATAAAATTTTTCTCTCATTGATATGTCCTTTGTGGTGTTATTGATTTAAAATGTTACGATCACAGATTCACAGTATTGAAAGTCTAATATATTACAATTTCCTTGAAGGAAACCATTATTGCTGTCAAATGACACTGTCAGCGGTTTGGGTTGCAGACTCAGGACGGTGTATTCATTTCATAGTAATTTCCTTCATCATCTGATCAAGGGAGATATTGAAAAATTCATAATAAATACATCCCGAGTCTTGAAATTTTACTGATTTTATTTTAAATACACATCACTGAATGAGATATGGATGAAGAGAGCTTATGCGATAGCTTGATCATTTGGGTGAGTAAAACGCATAACTTGGACCCTGCGTGAATGATGCCACTTGTCAACATAAGCCTCTATGTTGATTTATATTGATTACCAAAGCTTTATAATCGTATATTTTATAAACTATGCGTTTATATACGTTTGTCAATACGTTTTTATATGTATATAATATACTCCATTACATTAATCACGCTTTTATTGCTATTGCAAAAAAATTCCACTCAGTGACTGGTATGTGTTAATCATTCTTGCATATCCCTATTTTCTAAAGCAATTCATTTACCACTCATTATTGATATTTCATTTAAAGCTGAATACATTTGAAAATCTTGAAGCTGCGAAGTCTAATGCTGCAGAATTAAGTGATGGAGTGGCTATGTGTCAATGTCTTGCTGCTATGTAAGTTTTGTTAGTTAATGAAAGGGAGAGGATTAATCTATGCTATTCTCATCCAAAGACTATGTATGTTTTAGTGCCCCTGATTGGTTTGATGATGAATGGATGTCAAAAGTGAAAAGAGATGTAGGAGATAATTGGAGATTGAAGGTAATCATAAGTCACATTTTCAAGCTATAATTTCTTGGGACAATCTTGTGTATATATATATATATATACATGTTAACAATTCCTATCTCTAAATGGTTATGCATTAACATTCAGCAAAATCTGGATAAATGTAAAATATATGTTTCTTTTATTCATATAGTGTAGTAACCTAAAGAAGTTGTTAAAAGGAATTATGGATTATTATACTGAGGTAAATATATTCATGTAGGTCACATGGATATCCATTGTCTATGGCACTTGGCAACTTGAATAGGTACTAGGAAGGGTTAGGGAAACACAAGCTATCATGCTACTGGACTACTGATGTACTTTACATTATATGTAGATAAAAAATATTCAAAAAATTTTAATGTATAAACTCCAGGTTCTTAATATGGATATTGTTGGTTTTACTTTGCCTGATGTTTCCTGCATCGGTAAGTTATAGAAAGCAAAACTTGTACAAAGCAAAAATATCAATCATTGTATCACTGTATGTATAGAATTTAAAGTTTTAATTACTTATTTATGCAGCCGAGAAACATGACAAGGCAGAATTAGGAAGATTACTGCAACTTATATTGGGATGTGCTGTCAACTGTGATGAGAAACAAGGTACAGAATTTTCTATTCTAAGAAGGTTGCTACTACTATTGCCTAAAAAGTTCCTTAATCAAAAGCTATGAAGAGGTCTTAGGAAGATGTATAGATCAATAAAATCAAATACTTAATCGTTAATGTTAAGGCTGCTTTCCACATGTTTTTAGATGTACATACACGTACGGAAAATTTTAAATGCTTTTAAATTTTTATTATTCAACATCTAGGTCAACTAATGCATACTAACTAAAATATGCAGAAAACTAAGTTCCTTCGATTTATTCACTTTACAATCAGCCTTTACAATTAAATTCATATTTACTAATAAAGAATAAACAATGTTTCATCAGAATATATCCAAAACATCATGCAAATGGAAGAATCTGTTCAACATGTTGTCATGAATGCAATTCAAGAGGTAATCTAAAATGTAATATAATGAATATTGAATATGGTAGAGAAAATAGCAAATTTTCTCTGTATTTAGTTGATGGCATGTAAAGATGTTTCAAGCCCTGTTGATAATGATACATTCAAAGATCTTGAAGTTCAGGTTGGTTTTCATATACATGCTCAATAGTTCATTATGGATTTAACACCAAAAGGTGGTAAAAGGAAACGTGCATACAACATGGTGTGTTTAGCTGAAATTGATTTAAGACCAGCGAAAATAAACTCTGAAGCAAGAAATTGTGGAACAATAAGGCTTACAAGTGTTTCTTTTTAGCATAAATCAACCCTTGACCAATTAAGTTCAGTTTTGGCTCAAAAAGAAGAAATCTCACAAAGATGTCATGAACTGGATGAGCAGGTTGGTGCTCGATAATTATTGCATATATCTGTTAATAAAGTTATAATAACTCGTATTTAGAGTATGCTATGATTGTTATAATTAACATCTAATTTTCTACCAAATAGTTATCCTTATTGCGAGAGCACCATTCCACACTCGAGACAGAGAATGAAATACTGAGAAGACAGTTGAATAAAAGAAGTGACGATAAAAGTCAATCTGGGTTTGTTAAAGTCATTCTTGTTCAATATTCAGTCATTCATCACTGGTTTACTGCCACGAATATCAGAAACAGATACAACTGGATGATACCATTCAAATGTTAACCACAAATCTGAAAAGACAACTAAAAATTACGTCCCTCGATCGTAGCCAGAAATATGCGACACGTTTTGGCGCAACACAAAATGAGAAACTATCTTCGAATTATACAAACGTTTAGGTCTACTGTGCACGAACGTACCACTTCTAAGCCCCCGAACGCATTTATTACAATAGATAATGAGCTTTTTTTCTATTGATTTAAATTTTCCGCTTTCGCCGCATTAGAGGTAATAATCACATGTTGTTCTTCTCTTTTTATTGCAGAAATTCAAACGAACGTGTGAACCAGCTTCAACAACAACTTGAACAACTTAAAGACCAAAACTTCTCACTTGAATCAAGTATGATGATCTTATTAGCACATTTTTCATGTTATTTACAAAATTTAGCACATTTGCAAGAATTTCTTAACGGGGGAAACGAGAAGACATGAAATTCTAAAACAAGATAACCTTAGGAAGATAACCTCTTTATGCCTGTTCTTCAAAGAACGCCAGTTCGTTTCCGTAAACAATTTTCGCGAATGCCGCATGTTTTTTAGTAATAAAATTTTCACTAGCTATCTTCTCCGTATAATCTCGGGTTGGAAAGAGATCTGTGATATCTCAAAAGAGACAATTGTTACATGTCAATCGCTTCATGTGTAAAGCATAAACAGCTAAAAAAAAACTACGTGAAAACATCTAATAATCTGAAATTGAATACAGTTTTATGTATAGGGACGTCAGGTTTCCTCCGCAGTGCTGTTAAATCTATATTCTGGTTAAATGAACATCTGCCATCTTTTTCGTAATTGTTCGTTCAATTCTCTACATTAAATGATTTATTGGATATAAACCAATTAAATGATTTATTGGGCTCCGCAAACAGTCACCCTAATACAACAACTTGAGAAAGTTCAGCGTCGAGCTACCAAATTCATATTATCACTGCCATTCCGGACCAATATTACGTACAAGGACAGGCTTTTGAAGATCGGTCTGCTGCCCCTAACCTACTGGCACGAATATCTGGACATCATGTACCTATTCCAACATTCACAAGGTGACCCCAACATCTGCATTAAACAATCAGAACGCATCACAAGACGATCAGACACCACAGGTCGTTACACCACGTTTAATATACATAAAGCAAACACGACAACCTTTCAGAACAGTTTCTACTGCAGAACCCCAAGAATTTTCAATGAATTACCAGAACATCTCCGCGACTCCAAACTCTCAATCTCTAAATTCAAATCTGAACTGTTTAATTATTATAACTATCTCACAGAACATGTATATGACGTGGACATTCCGCAAACGTTTAAGAGTGTATGTGTAAAATGTAATTCGTCTCGTCCTTTGTATAGTCTAAATGTAAAGTTGTGTTGTTGAGAGTTATCCATGCATGTTCAACATATTGTGAAACAACCTTGTATTGTATAATATTTTGTAATAATGTCCACCACTAATGTTCATGTAAATATTCTTATTCTATTTAGTATAATTGTACTGTAAGCAAGGGACCCCATAACTGGAGTTAAAACTCTGTGGGGCTCACCAGCCAAACATGGCGAAGAGTATAAATAAATAAATAAATATAAATAAACAATGGATTTCGCTGTTTTGAACAGGTCGAGATGAATTTCGAATAAAATGCAGCACATATGAGAAAGAAAATTTGGATTTAAGTGAACGAGTGAGTAATGGAAATATTCTGGGTGCATAGCAGTTCTGGTACGACGATTATATGACAGTATATACTATTTCTATTTCTGTGCATTTCAGATAGAACAACTTCAGAGTCTCGCTGAAGAATCCCAACAGTTACGAGATGAAATGGATGTTCTTCGTCACACTCAAGAGAAAGTCGTAAGTTTCGTTACTGAAAGCGTTAATCTGGCCACTAAAGGCCCTGCAACTTGCAATGCAATTCTTCGTTTGAGAGATGTAAATTTGGCAAGTACCAAACCTTTGTCTTGGAAAAGTAGAATTGCATTGAAAGTTTCAAGAAATATTGCACCGTGTATCAGGGCTTTATAATGCGGAACAATTGCATATCATTGTTAATGTCGTCAACCCAAACTGTATATAAGACCCTCTGGTTTGGTTATCAGTGCGGTCAGTTTTACTTTTGAAGTGCGATAAACTTTTGATAAATGCGTGAAACATGTCATTTCGTAAGTGACCAGAGTTTAACTTAACTTTTCAGGCAAAGTATGAATCCACTATTGATTCGTACAAAAAGAAATTAGGTGAGAATATTTTATGAGATCATGGTAAAACTATACAACTTTTACTGATTATTATTTGGCAATATTGTTCATTTTTCATGATTCATATTTTCATGATTTATTCTGTCACTCTTGTTCAAGACAATTGCATGTTTTAAATATTTTAAGAGGAATTGACGGAAATGAGGAAACAAATGAAGACAATGGAAGAGAAAAACGCTTCATATATGCAGCAAACTATTGATTTGCAAGAAGTAAGTAGAAACTTTCTTTTCTGGCTGCTCTTTCTGCTTCTCCTTCTTCTCACCCCAATAAAGTTGCCACTATTCCAATACCAGGAAAGCTTTTTATCTCGCTGCGACTTCGACAATTAGCTACCTCAATATATATATACATAGAGCGAAGCTATAGTCAATTCAATCGTTAATTTCTTATTCATGTTAGAAGATCCCTGAAAAACTTCTTTATTCTCTTCAGGATTTAAGGAAAGCGAATGCTTTAAAAACACAGCTTGAAAACTACAAGAAACAGGTACATGAATTTGACACTACTGATGCCATTCGTTTCCCGCAATTTTTATTCCCGGATAAGGAAAACGAGAGTGCGGCCTCCAACAAACATGATTATACCATGGATTTTAACATTTCTTTCGTTATATGCTTTACCCCAATTCATGCACCATTATTTTCAGGTTCATCAATTACAAAACTCGGTATCTGAAAATGAAAGACGCGCAGATAAGGTAAACTTGCATGCTACAAAACCAAAAGACTCCGCATGGCAATATGTCATTTTTAGTGCAAAGTTTGAGAAACTTTGCAGTATTGTGATGAGTGGCGAAAATTCAAACGAGTCAGTCAGACAGTCAGTCAGTCAGTCAGTCATAGTGTAAACTTTACGGGGGGTAGGTTGATTTATGCGTATAGTAACTTTTTGTATATGATCAGTAATTTGATCTTTTTAAATCAGTTTAACTTGCTTTATTTATTAAAGCACTATACCCTTTTTGCAAAGTTCACCAAAATATTGAGGGATTTTGGCGGTTACAGTAAATTTTGAAGCATTGCTTTTCCGCGGTTTGGGTTTTGTTTTAAAGGGATTTGCGCAGAATTACCCCCCGGAACACCCGATTCTTTCTTACACGTCGCAACTGCGCATGTGCCGTCGAGACTTAAACATTATTCACGATGTAAAGAAACGAGGAGCGACGAGCATTGGATCAAAACATTCCGGGCGTAAAAATCGAGCAATTCTTTGAGAATCTACGCACTTTATCAACTTATGCTATGAATTACGAGCATTCAATTCAACACAAATATAATTTGGAAGGTTTATTCCATAAATAGAGCTAAGAGGTTAGAAAGAAAAGACGCCGTGTTGTTTATGTATTGATAGACTCTTACACGAATGTATATTATGTCGATAGCAAGTCGATACCTGATATTCTGCATACAGTACATAAATGATACTATACAAAACGGACATTTTGTGCAGTAATCAAATCATTTCGGCGGTATACAGTATTGATTATAAGTATATTGTTTTGTATCGATTTACGCGTCGAAGTATCCACATCATAGACATAATATGCACCGCGGTTTATTTACATTATTTACAACGCAACTATTTTGGCTATTCTTATGAAGTGACGGATAAATTGTAGCCATCATATAAATGTAGTGAATGTAGTCACAGTTGTTTGACGAAGAAAAGAGACTACACTGAGAAAATCGCGCCCGGTTTGGCCGGTTTACATGGCAACTAAAATTAGCTATAATTTAATAGTGACAGTTCCGCGGCTAACGTAATTTGAGTACTTTGAGTAATTTCCTTTTGATTAATGTTTAACTTAGTTCGTTACATTTTCACTGGCATAAGTCAAAATGTCTATGTTGGGACAAACGTCTGGTTGCTTAGGTATTACAGGGCATGAAAACTTTGCACTATCCTTGGATCCCTAGTTATGATAAAGATTAGGTTATCTGTGGTTCTTTACTGCGCCATAGGGACACCCAATTTAACAATTAAAGAACAAACATAAAGTTGCGTATATTTTGAGATACTCTATTCTTAAATGAATGTACGTTTTCAATAAGGAAACTACTGTAGTTCATTGACGGCAGATATTGAATAAAAAAGCCTTTAGACATATCCGCGGATTCTATATAATAGCTAACGTTAACTATAACAGAATGTATCGTTTTAGGCGGACTTTGAATCCAAGCGAGCTAAAGACAAACTAGTTCAGCTTCAAGGAGAAAATGAGGTGGGAAAGAATAAGAATATTATAGAGGAATTATAAGTGAAAACAAATTACATTAATAGTTGTCCTGTCTAAAAGGTTTTCGACCTTCAGTAATTTTGATTGCTGAAAATTGCATTATTGCAAATTTCATTTTTGCAGCGGTTAAAACAAGAAAGAAATGCTCTCAGGGAGAAAAATGAAGAACTTACTCTAAGTGAAGTATCCAGAACAACTGGCGAGAAACCCACATTGTCCGAAGGCTCGGATGGTGATGGACTATTTATGGCGGATTTACCGCCCGAGGCAAGGTTAGTTTGGTCAGAGTGTCAGATACGACGTGTATAGTAACGCATTCTTTTATAGCTAGCTATGCAACGCAATAACAAAATGATAAAGCTTGATAAAACTTATTTTATTCTCGTTTCCAGAGAGAGGATTATGTTACTTGAACATCAAAATAAAAAACTAAAAGAAGAATCAGCGGGACAAGAATCTGAAGAGGTAAAATTAATACAATCACACGAGTATTCAGCGTGCAGCCGTGCACAATGCATCTCGAAAACCAAAAGTATGAAACGCACTTGCAAAAGCACCTTTCAGCGCCAAATGTTTCAATAACTTTCAAATAGAATGTGTTCACATGCATGCATTGCTTATTGTTCGCCCCCTGACCTGTGCTGAGTATTGATATATCAAGCCGACTTTCCACTAGCGATATTCTTTACGTGAAGCGGCATTTTGTAGCTCACAACAGCTATATTTACGTCTGGAGCAAATACGTTTTATGCCTTAACTACGAGTTTCAAAATAACTTTACAGACTCAGTTATTAAAGAGTTTGCTGGACGACGCCAATGCAAGCAAAGAACAATTGAAAAAAGAAATGAGGTTTGTGAAACACTTTAGAGCATATAAAGTCTGACCTCAGAAGTTGACATGCATGCTTCATCTTCATTAGGTATTCATTTTGCTTCTCGTGTGCTGAGCGCATTAACAACAAAAGGATAATGAGATATCTCAACTGATTTTCTTTTATTTTTATGCGTTTGCCACATGCATGACGAGCACATGATGTTTGAAACGAGACAAATATATATTTTACTAGGGAGTTGAATCAACGTAATATGGAGCTGGAAAGTGAGTTAGAGGAAATGAGAAATCAGCAAAGCAGTCTACGAGAGGAGAAAGAAAATGAACTACAGCAAAAATACATGGACCATTTGTAAGTGCTTTGAATTCAGAATATAATGTATGTTTAACGATTATCACAATAGGTGATTTCTGTTAAAAATAACGATAATTATTCAAAACTCAGACAAAAATTGAAAGACGCGAACGATGAACTTCAAAAGAAAAAGACGTACATGGAGTCCCTTGAACCCCGAAGCAATGCAACAGGTTTGATTTTATTCAGATTAAATACTAAACACTTTGAATGCATGGTGTGGTAGACGTTTTGTTTTATAACCAGCGGTATTAAATCATATAATGGGCGAAAGAAAAGCCTATGTCTGAAACCTAAATATTCTGTATTTTCTTCTAAAGCGGAAAAGGTAAATGAGTTGCAAGAACAGTTGAGCAAAAAAGATCAGGAAATGAAAGCAATGGAAGTAAAATACAAGAAATATTTAGAAAAAGCAAAAAGCGTACGTTACATTACTTGAAATTCATGTTATAGCTGTATACAGTATACTGCTGCATCTATGTGTTTAAATTATGATAATATATGCAGTGTTTTAATTACCATCGTGTCTTTAGGTCATCAAAACATTGGATCCAAAACAAAATGGTCCAGGAAATTCACCAGAGGTATTCTGGATTTTTGAGTTATAAAAGATGATTAGGTAAAGAAAGATGCGGCATGGATGGTGAGCTTAATTTGGGATGTTTTTTATTATAGATCGATACATTAAAGAATCAACTTCAGGAAAAAGAAAAATTCATCGAGCATTTAGAGGTAATGATGATACTTAATAGATTTATAGGAATGCGAACTTTGTATAATATACAGTATTTTTGGAACGTATATTTTGTTACGCACGAGGAAAGTTATGTAAGTTTTGTAACAATTACAGTCAAACAAGTTACTGGAATTGTAGCATAGCGTACTTCAATGCGCCAAATATGTTGTGCCGAATATTTGTGTGTGATATTATTATAGCGCGATCAGGAAAAGATGAAACTAACCCGTGAACGGGAAGAAAAGTTGATGGTAACGGCCTGGTATGAAATGGTATGTTATAACCTTGTAAGATGACTGTTTAATTTTATGTGAATAGCGTTGCATATGGTGGTGGGAGCGGCATACCGTTTTCGTATTCACCGTAGTAAGTTGCATGTGATGAATATACCATGTCATCTATTGTATTTATCGTAAGTTGTGCTGTGACTGAGGATTGAAAGCAGGTTTCTAAAAACTAAAAAGCATCAATATTTCAGCAAGTGATTCTGTTCCAATTTGATATGACAATTCAAAGAAAGCATTTCTTACCTACATGAAAACCGACACGCATGCACTTGTTGACAAACGAATATTTGACTTCTTTGCAATTTTCCAGGCGATGCAGTTACATAAAAAAGCGGCAGAGGAGCGACTGTCTGGTAGCGTAGGAATGTCATTTTTAGCAAGACAACGTCAAGCAGCGGGACGAAGATCTTTAACATCAAATACAAAACAGGCACAGACCGCATCTCCACGATAATGAGATAATTGCGGTTCAATATCCGTCATCTGCAGGTATAGATAACTGAGATTTGTGATTACAATAACGTTGCACTTTGGCAGAACTACACCGCCATTATATTCATTACAATACACCACCATAATATTAATAAACTTTAATAAATCAATTAGTGTCAAAGACAATTAGTCTGTGGTGCATGGTTTTCTGGGGTCAGTTACAGAAACATGTTGTATCCTAGCTGTACTAACTTGCTTTACCTTTTTGTAACTGGCTTAGTTCTTTTACAAGTAGTTTGCCAGAGACACTTATGACACTGAGTACATACATGCATTCATCCTCGGTGGCTGCTCTATGCATGGCTGCCCTACTGCAATTGCAATGAACCACTATCTAATAAACGGAGAGATGGGTGATAATAATATGTATTGCCTATTGGACTATAATTGATACGTGCTAGTATGATTAATACGTGCCCATGCATGTCATTGGTTTGTTAAAACTGGTAAGCAAATGAGAGAATTCCACCCATCTATCTCTGAGCAAGCACTTTCTTCGCGATAGAAACTCCTAGTTTACGATAGTAACATATACATAAGATATACGAAGTAACGTATTGACCGGGCTGCCCATGATATAGTAACTGACGATATCGGAAATATCTAAGCTCTACACGTATATGTAGATAACAATATATGTACAATGCAATAGACCTTTGAGGTGCTTACGTCATGTCGGTCTCGAACAATGATACGTCATGTCGGTCTCGAACAAAATTGTATAGATAGAAAACTGTGTGACGTAAGCAATTCAGAAGGCTATTTCTAGAACAATATTTACACCACCAAAATCCTTCTTCAAAATTAGTTAATAGTTAATTTTTATCATTTTGTAGATGCAATAAAATTATACGACATTATACAACAACAAATGTTTGGATGAAGTATAGTTGTGTTGGATCATCTTGTTTGAAACACTGCATTCAGACTAGGAGCAAAAGCACCGCGTGTCTCGTCTGATCAATTTTATAGTTATAAATTATAAACTAATATTTTGCATAGTGTCTATATACTTCTAACGTAAATACAAATGTTCTTATACATATATAGCTTATATATAATAGACATATGGGACTAAACTTTGTATATTTTTAGTATAAAAAATAAAATGAGAGGTATGGGACAAGTGACTGGCATTTGAACCTTTACACTGGTATACCTAACTGATCTATGCACGATATGCCAAAGAGTATATTTGCCTAGCGGCGCGTGAAAAAGCAGCTATGAAGTGAATGTCAAAAGTGAATTATACAGTGATTTTAACTGTATTTGTCGCACTAGCCTGGGAGTATCCTTGCGCAAGATTTTTATTAATGAAAAAACGGAGACATTATCCTGAATACCAAAGTATAAGATAAACAATAGTTACTCGTTGTTGACGCAATAAGCAAATTTCATAAAACAAATTTTCATACATATATTTTGTCTGTTCACTAATCTTATAATCTTGTCTGTTCACTTACTTGTGAATTCGAAGAAAACTGTCATTAAAAAGTTAACGTTTTGCAGGTGATCCATATTTTACGACTAACGGTGGTGAATATGCAGGAGTTAGCCATGTTCCTTTACATCCAGCTTGACCTTTTGGCTTCCTTTCGATAAAAAATGAACAAACTTCTTTCCTTTGTTTCAAAAATTCTGTTAGTTTTCGCAGCTCACTTTTACAGTTCAAAACACAAATCGTTTCTCCATTCTTCCACTTTTTGTCTTTAACTATACATTTGTCCTCGTCTAGTCCCCAAAACGCATCTATAAACTTCTGAGAATATTTCTGAGCATGTTTTCTTGACGAGCGCGATACATGTGAGATATCAGGGTCCTTAGTGGATAGTTGTACATCGGTTATTGTAGAACGAAAATCTGATGACGAAGATTTCCATTGGCTTCTTGCAAGACTTCTATTATCAAATCTCAAACTGGAATCACCCAACAGACTGTGGATTCTGCTTTTTTTAACTTCCCAGTAATAATCACCTAAACCTTTACTTTCCTGATCTACGCGTATCTTTTCACTCACTTTCGCTAATTTTTCCTTCACTTCAGCGTTTTGGGAAGGACTTGCACTGACCTCCTGTTTTAACTCCATGTCATAAGGCGTGCAATTTTCTTGCTCTTTGCCTTTGGTATTTAAACATGTTATCAAGTGACTGACAACTGGTGTGTAAAGAAAACTTTCAATTTCATTCAACATGAGAAGTACTTCATGACGTGCCTTTTTTCTCTCTTCATCGCTTGTTTCTCGTGAGTTTAATATTTTATGAATATTAAGAAGCTGTTTTTGAATCTTCTTCTCCCCCTCTGCAGATAATGTATTCACAATTTCAAGGGAACGTCGAATAGACTGCAATCTACACAAAACGACGTCCATTTTCGGTAAATTTCTGCGCTAGCACTTGCGTGAATGATTGTTTCGTCAGAATTAATCATCTCATTGTGACGTCGATAGTGGCGCTTGCCCAGATTTGAAGGGGCGTTACCATAGATACAATTTCCGCAGTGAGAGGTTTGATGCTCACTACATATAAAGTATTGTCCATATCGGTCTGAACCATATATGATTGGAACCACATTTCATTTACATTATACCAGTTCAATGCATTATACCAGTTAAGTGTGTTAAAATTATTTAATTTGATCGTACAATTTCGTCAGGTTTATTCTAGTTGAGTTAAAAGTAGGAGAACAAGGAACAGAGAAATGCGATAATTTTACTTTGCCTATCTTTTAATGTTTTCCCGTTATAATGTGGGTATATACACACAATCTTTTAACACATTTTCTATTGGAGATTGTTCACAATTTTTACACTTTGATTATATGTATTGTATTATTTACAATGATTAGTAACCTATTTTCACACTGTTACACGTTGGTATAAAATCTCTAATCTTGACTGCCCAGTGTCAAGTCTCAGGGTATATATTTGCCTCATTGATTATGAATTGAGGTCATTCAAAACGAGACATAAGGCACATCTTAACTGCATGATGATGCACCCATGCTTAATGCTCCACCCTATACTTTTTAATGTAGGTCATTAGATACACCACGGTCACCACAGACTAGCACATTGTAATATAGCCACTGTATACATACCGCAAACACTTCTAACTAACATGCTAACGCTATAATTAAGTCCGCACACATTTCTAAGAATTCCATTGTATGATGTGCTACAACATAGTTCGATCCCGCAGAGTCACTAGCATTGCTAAGATTACTGTATGACGAATGCGCCGAAGCACTGCCGGATCTGGAGCGAGGCGAAGATGATTCACTCTCCAAAGGTAAACTTTTGAAATCCAGAAGATAGCTCCGTGAGTCCACTTGATATAACTGGATTGCGATTTTAATCTGCAGGTAGAACCGGGGATAGCAATGAAACGTAAGCGTATTTCTTTACACTGAAGGAGGGGTTGATCATGAAACATTGAGTGTTTTAACAAGATTTCGAGGATGGAAGGTAAAGAGAAATTTCTCAACCTTCTACGACTTTGTGAGAAAAATAATTTCTGGCACTTCGAGAATAATTTTTAAAAAAAGAAATTACTTACACTCTTCCTAGTTACTTCGTTTTCCCGAATAACTCGGAGATTAAAAGGGTTGATGATTTTCCACGACTAAAACACAAGAATGGTTTAATTCATCAACGAAATATACAAAATACACCAAGCTTACTAGAGGTACAACTATCTTAGATTGGTTTAAACAGCATCATAAAGAGCAAGATAATATCCATACATATCCTAACGACACCATAGCTTTGTACACTTCTCCCATAATATCCTGAGGTTTGCTTTGTGATCGAATACCTGCGTGGAGTGTATGTTGTACTGTTATATACAAGAATGGTTACCTACAATGTATACTGGTTAAAGTATATAATCAATTTATATTATCGTTATTTACTCGTTCAGTTTAACTTTTGGTTGAATTATCTATCAGTGGAACCAACGAAGCTTCGAATATGAAATTAAACATTTCCAAAAGCAATACTTGCAATTATTATTAGTCAGTATAACGACAAACCTAAGTGCCATTTTGGTTTCTTTGTGCTAGCTAACTTAATATAAGGATGTTTCTTCGAAGGAGTGGGAGGAGTATCGGCTGGAAAAACAAAAGAAATTGATGAATGGTAAATAGTGAAACATCTAGAAAAGATTCAATGGAGATAGCCGGACTACAGTAACTGTCGTACAGTACCTGGTATCTTCCGTTCAAGAGTAGACAGACATGTTGGCTTGGGCACTGAATTCATCTGACATTATACAGATAACAAGAGATTAGTAGATACACGTGGCTCTGATTTTAAAGGCCGGTTAAATTTTGGTAAGCATTGCATAATGTTAATTCGGGAAAACTGGTAGATCTGCTGAAATAATGAAGGCCCTTCTAGAGATAGTTTTGTTAAAAACTTAAAATACAGTAGTATTATATAAACAGTACATTTTATATAAACTTTCATTCCCGTTTGCACACCTTGCAGAATAACTTTCTACTAAATACATATAAATTACCTCAGGTTCTACCACTTTCTGATCAGGTACAGAATACATTGCAATATCAGGTTGTGTCTGACGTTTGAATGCTAAAAAATAGTGTGCTTGAATGTTTTTATTCACCTTTTAAAATTTCCCACATTTCATACATTTGTGTGCTCCTCACCTGTTTCAATGATATTTCTGTTATCCAATATAAGATGGTACGCAATCTTTAGTTGATTATGTGGGTCCTCATTGTTTATTGCAGCAATAACATCTTTTTCTGTCACATCAAATCTCTATGAAAGATGAGTTTTAAGTTTCATATTTATAGTTCATCTTGACAAGCTTGTCTAATGTCCAATATTTTCTTTCAGAATTTATTCGCCTCTGAATTTCTTTCCAAAATGGAATCTGGTTAGTATAAGGATGTTTAGTGTTACATATGCACAGAGATGTGCATTCCATTGTCAAGCAATTCATATTTTACCTCACAAATATGTTCCACAGCATCTGTATCTGGAGTTGTTGGATGGAATGTTTCAGTAAACAAATAAACTGGTAGATCAACTTTAAACCAGTCATGATTCCTACAAACAGACAATAAATTATATGTATCATTCACAAAATTAAAACTGCATGTATTTTCCATATATATTTTCCTACTTGATTTGCTGTATAGTTGCTCTTTTTACAGGATCCACATTCAACATTGTTGAAATTAGGCTGACTGCTTCAGGACTTAAATGATCTGGAGTGTGAAATATACCACCTGCAAAAACATGAGCAAATATTAATGTGGAGTAAATGTTTCATGGGTACAATTTAAGAGTGATAATTATCATGGTAGTACTTACTTTTTATTTTTCTAAACAAAGTTGGTATATGATCATCATCAAATGGCAGCTATAGGGGATATAAAATAGAGTGAGGCACGGTCATTCTGAATATGTTGCCATTGCATCAGACATGAAACTGGGTCAAATTATTGTTTCTAAAGTATAGTATCAATTGTATATAGGAATGTATACAATGTATATAAGCACACCAAAAAGCAATAAAATCCATTAATACCAACTTCAAACTTACAGTGCCACAAAGAAGAGCATATAAAATGACACCACAACTCCAGACATCTACTTCTGGTCCTGCATATAATCTACAAGAAAACATTATAGGTAAGTCAGTTGATTACAAATATCATGTACACTACTGCATAAGTGAGCAATAAATTCCCTAGAAGGAATATCATATATATAGATATACCTGAATAAAAATCAAGGAATATCATATATATATAGATATACCTGAATAAAAAATGCACAAAAATTAAACATCATAAAAGGAAGTAAGAAACATATACATTTCAATTCTTACTTTCCTGATATAACTTCAGGTGCTGCATAATTTGGTGATCCACAACTTGTTCTCAGAAATTCACCATCTTGCATCATATTACTAAGACCAAAATCTGCAATTCGAACATTGCCATGCTCATCCAGTAACAGATTTTCAGGTTTAAGATCTCTAGTAATAAAAAATTAATAGCTTGGTTAGTTAAAGAGAGAGAGAGACATGGCTAACTGTTTCAACTGTATCCTTATTGTTTTTTGTAGTTATAGAGCAGAGAGGATTTGTTTTTACACACCTGTGAACCACCATATGTCTGTGGCAATAATCAACACCAGAAATAATTTGTTGGAAAAATTTTCTTGCATCACTTTCCTCTGACTACAAGGAAATACAGAAGGAAATACTGTTACTATATGCCACTATGGTTTACAATATATATACATACAGTACTATATACAAATCTGGATTATTATGTATATAAAAACTGTAAAATTATACCATGTATTCCACAGTATAATTCACAGGTACCATAAGATAACCAAATCAAACAATAGGATAATTTCATACCTCATTGAAGTGATGTTACATAATTTTTTTATATATACAAAAGTTATGTACCTTTCCATGTTTTAGAATGTACTCAAATAATTCCCCACCAGACACATATTCCATAATCATAAATATATCTGTAGGTGTGCTAATCACTTGGTAGCTACAAGTTAGAAAATTGTATCATATTGAACAGGTCTATAAACATACAATTATACATTTACCAATTTCAAATTAGCTAACAAAATGAAGACACATATATTTCTCCTTACAGTTTAATGATATGAGGATGACGAAACAATTTGAGATTTGTTATTTCTCGTCTGATTTTACCAACAACATCCAGGCTTTTAATTTTCTGACGGTTTAAAACTTTCACGGCCACTTTGTGCCTGGTCAATTGATGTTCAGCAACTAAAGAGGGATATATAAACACACATTCAATTCAACCTTGTAGTTCTAGGCCACAGGAAAGTTGCAGACAGGTATATGTTAACCAGAATAAAGCAGGAACTAAGTTCTATAAAAACAGGTCCCAAACTAATTGGGATGATTATAATATACTACGGCTGGCTGTATTCATTGGTGATTGGTGTGTACTTGCAATGGAGCAAGAATTAATGTGGTAATTAATGTATTACAGCAATGAAATTACTATATTAAACGAGATTAGCTTTATAACTAAAGATTACAAGTGAAGCTAAAACAAAACAGATACGTAAATTATTATTTATATTGCATTATAACATGAAAACATGGATGCATATTTTTCCTTACGTTTTACTTTGCCAAATGTTCCATGTCCTAGCGTTGTCCCCAAAATATAATTACCAATCTTCAACTTTCCTTTCTCTGACTGTACAACAGGTGTCATATTCCCGCTTAATCTACGAGACACCTTTTTATGCGTTTCATCCCGTAAATTTCGCTTCTTTTTTTCTGCCATGTTTATATATACAACACAAACTCTTCAGTCTCTTCTATCATGATCAAGTGGTTAATGTTCGACATGCGTCGTGGAAGTGTCGAGCCGTGGTCGAGCCTACGACATCCAACGATTGTGCACTGTGACAGTTTTCAAACACGTGTGACTGTGAGAACATTTGTTTATCACTATAAACAATTGCAGGTGCAAATCAGTACAAAAAGGCAAACATTGTACTGTATTTTTTACACTTGGGTGTGTCATTTTTGTTTCTAAACGACTGTACTGCAAAAATGGCAGATATAGTGGGAATATCCAATTTAGACTGGACGTTGTCGGCATCAGAAATAAGCCAGGAAACGGATAAACTTATTGTGAGAACTAGAAAGGTTTATGATCAAATTGGATCTTTAAAGCAGGAAGATGTTTGTTTTGAGAATACAATTAAGGTACAATACTTTGCCTACATCAATGTGTAATGTTTTAAAATTCTAAGATTTGGTATTAGGCACACACTCTACATGGAATATTAATGTTACCTTTTGGTAATTATAAATATCCTGAATATGTAACTAGTCTATAAAAGTGATTTGTGGTTATTGTGTATTATTATGTATTTGTGATTTGTGATTATTATGTATTGCAGGTTTTAGGAGAACATATGGCATATCATAAAACAATGCAAAGTATTCTAGAATTTCCACAACATGTTTCACCAGGTATTATTCTGTTTTTGTGTGAAAAACATTACCTGATATCATTGAAAAATATTTTCCATCAAGAGTAACTCCTACATAGTGATTACTTGAACAATAGAAAATGTATGTGAATGTCCAATACTGTTACTAGCCAAATAATAACTCGATCAGCTTGTACTAAAATCCTTTGCTATCTTTGATCCTGGTCCCTTCCCTTGTATGAAGACAAGGACTTTATAATATATACTAGTGTATGCAAAAAGAGCTTTAGTCAAATGTTTTTTGAGGTTTCACTTACCATTGTCATTACCACACTAATGGAAAACATCAGCACATGTTATTCAAATTTATGTGTTGTGTTGCTTACAAAGAAAAATAGTAAGTCTGATTAAAATTAAGTGTATTCCTTATAATGTCCTAGATAAGGAAATCCGTGAGGCCAGCACACTCTCTGATAAAAAGATGTCAGAATTTGAAGTTGAAATGAGGTAAATAAAAACTGCAAAGGTGAACAACAGTTAAAGTAAAAAATTAAAAATAGTGATAAAATAGTAAAATAGTTTTTTTTACATTTACATTACCTACTGTATTATTTACATTAATATAAATATGATAGCTATTTATTGTATTGAAAGATGAGATAGGCAATAATAAGTTTAAGAGAAGTTCTGGTTCTATGTATTAAATGCACTAGTCAAATTTGTAGTAGTTCCACCCATGCTTCATTGTGAACTGTTTATCCTTTTTCACAGCATGAGGGAAGATGTTTTTTCAAACCTTGTGTCTCTTCAGGTATTTTGCAATATATTCCCTTTTGGCTGATATATTTTACACTATACAGTTGATAAAATATGTGCCTTTTTTAGCAAAACAAAAAAGAGCCATTTAAAGAGCCAGAGTCTGAAAGATATTTAGAACGACTAATTAAATTGGGAAAAAGAAATGGTTTGTAAAGACCTTTATATTTTATAAATTGACCAACCTTGGAACAACATCCCATATCATCTTTCTAATGCACTTAGGTCAGAGGGTGGAGTTTTCTTCCCTAGTCACTGATTAAAGGCTTATGCAACAGGAGAAAAATCACTGTGTGACTTATAGCTTTATACTATGTATTAAATAAACTCCCCCAGATCTGCAAGTATGCACAATATAGTGGCAGGATTCTTTCCTCTGGCCAAAGTAATGTGGTTGCTATGTTATGTCATTTAGGTCTGCATCTATCGCAAGAAGTTAGAGATGAAATAAAGGAGATCAAAAAAAGAATCAGTGATCTTGGAATTGATTTTGGAAAGAATTTAAATGAAGAAAACACAATTTTAGAGTTTTCTGAAGACGAGCTTGGTATGTTGCGTACAGTGGTTGCGCTTAAGAAGAATATTATAAATATTATGACTGTGTATTAAAATGTGTATTAAAATGTGTATTATTGAAAAGAAATAGTTCATGCTCTTGCATTTAACAAATGCAAAATGTGACGGTATATAGTGACCACTGACTTAACTGATAAACTTAATTAAATCAAATTGCAGCTGGACTGCCATCGGAGTTCATAGAGAGTCTTGATAAGGTAAGGCAGGCACAAAAAGGGTGGGATTAATGCCTTGTCTCGGAGTCGCATTTAGGCCAATGCCCAACTGTGTCCCCCGCACTTCATACAAGTCACTTGGTTTATTCATAAAGGCTTTGCATTACTCCAATTCATGTCATAGATAGATGTCTCTCTAATAAAATTCATTGACATCACTGTATTCATAAAGATTTCACATTACTCCACTTCGTGATAAAGATTGTATCAATAAGTAGTTGTGATACTAATTGACATCGTTGTTCAGAATCCGACTTGTCTCCCGAATTGAATCACATGATGTACTATATCATCTCTGACATCTATTTAGAGCGAGGATGGACGACGAAAGGTCACGTTGAAGTATCCTCATTACTTTCCTTGTATGCGAAAAGCCTCTAATCCTCAAACAAGACAAACGTTGGAGAAAGCATTTAATTCCAGGTGTAGTTTTTGCTCATGCATAAGTACTTATAGTGACATGAAAGTAGAAAGACCTGAATTTACCGTATTTGCAAGTGAGGAACACCTTTCATCGGCTCAAAAATAAAGCGATATTTGTATTTTACTAAAGTGAAAAATATTGTGCATGCGAATGACATGAATTATTTTTCTGACTCGGAAAGTTAACAATCTTATATGTATATTTACAAGAAGTATTCACGGGTCATAGTTGCTTTTTTTCTTAGATGTTTGAAGGAAAATACTGCAATCTTGGAGGAACTGGTAGAATTACGACAAAAAGTAAGATTTTTATCCCATATCAATCATATGGCATTTTCTTCAAAAGTACCATTTATATTTTTGTGCATGCAAGCGCAATTGATATGAAAAGAGCTGCATTGTTCTGGCTGTTGGTCGTGTGTGTTACTTGTTCACTGGAACCACGAAAGTCTTTCAAATGTTTCCGCCGAACATCAGTAGGCACGATCCAGGATTATTCATGTCGAAGATCTGAGCATACATGAATCAATTCTCTGTGTTTTTGTCTATTTTAATTTTTTGATCATTCAAATTCAAAATTCGCTCGGGAATACGAAGTTTAAAATAAAGATTTGAAGAATTGAACGAAATTCTCGATATTAAAAGCTTATATAACAAATTTCTTGTGAATAAAATCAATATTTTGGGGGACTTGTATATTCATTGCAGTTTACGACCGCAATGGCCGGGCAAAAGGGGGTCATTAAAGATACTGACCTGACCCGAATTCCTGTCTGACCCCGGTCTCCTGATTAAATCAAAACCATTCTTACTCGTGCCTTGAGATTATTTCATTGTGAGCTTTCTTCAGATGGCGACAATACTTGGATATCCAACGCACTCGAGTTATGTTTTGGAGGTAAACATATTTTACGTATTTGCTTATTCAAATATTGTCACCATGCGTACGGCAGTGTCAAACGATAAATTGCTGACGGTATGTACAATGCTGTTATTTCCAAGGATCATTGACGGCATTGTATCTCCTTGTGCCTCTTTGTTGATTTTTCTTTCAATTCGATGCACTATTCTTATAGCTTTCACCAATATATATGTTGTAATTGGTTTTAGATGAGAATGGCTGAAACTCCTGAGAAAGTATCTAATTTTCTCTCAGATTTAACTCAGAAAATGACACCGCTGGGCGAGGATGATCTTCAGTCAATGCTCGAGCTAAAAGCGGAGGAGGTAATTTAGTACTTCAATACGGATACCTCACAAGAATATTCATATCAGTATCAGAGAAACGATAAGAATTAGTGAGAGGAATAAAATGGATTAAATTTCTGAGGCATCATCATTGCACTACTCAATCTCCAAGTTTTTTTGGGTGGATATAAAATATAATTACAACACACTGTCGAGAAGTTTGTTCCGTGTTTTGTTGAAAGATTTTCTCTCTTGTTTCCCTTTCTTACAAAACTCTCTTATTTAAAAACGGTCATGCCATTCTGTTCTGTGAAATAATTCCACGAAGTATATTTTTTACGACTCTAGCTACTTTTCTATTAATCACGTTTCCCTTTTCATTAGTGTAGGATAAACTGGCCAAATAACTTGTTGGAATTATTACAATCAGAATTATTACGATCAGAATTATTACGATAATCTCACAGATTATTATTTTACTTTAAACATGTATAGTGTAAGGAACTTGGGTATGAGAATGATAACAAGATTAATGGTTGGGATCTAAGATATTATATGACAAGAATCGAAGAAACAAAATATGCTGTTGATCAAAATAAACTAAAAGAATACTTTCCTTTGTCTGTTGTTACTGAAGGTACAGATGTTTATGATTCCTTCAGCCTATGAAACATGCGTGAACAATGCATATATGCTCAAGTGGCCCTTCTGTTCCTCTCATTACTCTACAAATTCGCAGCACTAACTTACAGAACCTTTTTTTTCACTTTCTTTTCCATGCAGGTTTGCTGAACATTTATCAGGTATCTTGATTTCTCCTAATCAAAACATGCACACGGGATCATGTTCACTTTTCTCATTGCCGCTCACTGACCACAGTAATCTCATATAAATGTTTCAGACATTCACACACAATTGCTTTTGTCAGTCCCCTTTATAATAAATTGGATAAAGTCTCGCCTAAAATCTACGTCGTTTTTATTTTCATTCTTGACAATTTTTTGTTCTAGGAACTTCTGAAGCTTAAATTTGAGGAAATTGTCAACCCCCCAGTCTGGTGTGATGAAGCTCGTATGGTAATCTTATACCAATCTTTTAATCAAAGCATGGATCTTTATGTTTCTTTTTTTCAGTTTTATTGTTCTTTTTTTAGTTTAGCGTTAAAGATGCGGAGTCTGGGAAACTAATGGGATATTTTTATCTGGATTTATTTCCAAGAGAAGGAAAATTCGGTCATGCAGCCTGTTTTCCTCTACAGGTTAGTATATAACTGTTGTTCTCTTTAACTGAAGCATAGACTAATAAGCATGTCACTGCACATGCAGGAGCTTCGTTTTCGAGCATTTCCAAAATCGTTTTTACCTTGTTAATGGTTTTTATGCCCTGTTCCAAAGGATGCATGCAAAATACTATATATTCAATTATTCCAAACTTCTATCGGTTATACCGTACGCACGTGTTTTGGTTAAGGACGAATAATTGGTGAATCCATATTTTTCTAGGCTGGCTGTCAGTTGGTCGATGGTTCTAGACAGGTAAAGCACAATTTTTCCTACCAAGTATTATTACAAAAATATTTTGTTGAAACAGAGCTAGTCCGGCCCAGACGGTTGCTCTCCATCTCTTCATATAAAACGATTTTCTAGTTGCCCATGCATTTAATCCAATAAATTCAGTCACAGACGTCGTTGTCAATGAAACTAGTACTGTCAGCAAAGCTAAGGTTGATTTGTTGTTTTTATTTTAGCTTGCAGTTGCAGCCATGGTGGCTAACTTTACGAAACCAACGAAGGAGCGGCCATCATTATTAATGCATACTGAAGTGAGTCCATTTTAAAAGTTCAGTTATATTAGTTCAACTCCTTCTTAAATCATTTATAATCAGATTGCATTGGCTCACCCGTTATTCTTCGCATCATCTACCCAGGACAAAATAACTATATGCTCTGTCACATTTTATATTAGTACTTTTTTTCTTCTAAGAAAAAATCGTGTGTATACTCGTCCTATATTATTTTCTTGGAAACAAATTGTAACTCAAATATTTTTTGCAGGTTGAAACATATTTCCATGAATTTGGTCACGTGATGCATGGTTTATGTACCCAAGCTATGTATCCAATATTTAGGTAATAAATCACGTATATAATTCTTTGTTTCTGCAACAAATGCTGAGCAATAACGCGTTTTTTGTGTTATAAATTTAGTGGTACAAGGGTGGAACGCGATTTTGTTGAAGCTCCTTCTCAGATGCTAGAAAATTGGTGTTGGGAAAAGGAACCTTTGAAAAGAATGTCTTCACATTATCAAGGTATTTTACACAATTACTGAGTGGATTGAAAATGATGTAGAATTTCTTAGGATTAGAAGGTGAATTATGCGATCATTATAGGCTACTTCTAAAGTGTTCATTTACGTTGATATTTTTGCAGATGGTTCACCTTTACCAGAAGAAATGCTGCACACGTTAATAAAATCACGCAACGCAAATACTGGAGTGTTTAACTTAAGACAGGTGGGGAACTTTTTATATGCATTTTTTATATGCATTTTTTTTAGTTAACGTTTCTTAATATTTTTGCTGATACTCATATTTAGAGCTATTGTTTCTTCTTTTACCTGTAGAAGAAAATGAGACCCAATAAATTAAGGCCAATCTATATAGGTTCAAATTATGACTGACTCTTCCTATATAACATAGATTTTTAATCCTTATTCGCTATTTTTATTTTATCTAGATTTTACTTGGAAGCTTTGATCAAGCAATTCACACCCGTGATAAGGTCCATCAATCTACAAATTATCTATCTTAGCCTTACTTATACATTGTAGTATTTTTTACCGTAAGAGATTAGGCAATCCCAGGCTCCGACTAACATTGGGCGGTTACGTGTCTCTCGTGACACGAACTAAATACCACGCAGCCTTCGCAATTTTTATGATTTTTTAGGCGGACACTGCAAGTATCATGGCACAATTGTCGCAAGAGATTATGAAGGTCCCAGTCACTCCAGGTTATTAAAAACGTCAACATCAGTTAATGTTTATTAATATATTAAAATACTTTCAACAAGATTGGCTCGCATGCGTGTCTCTGCTGCCTTATTTCAAAACTTGATAAATTGAATTGGCAATTTTGTTTTCAATTGTAATCCGTTGGAAGGGGAGGCCAATTTCGCACAGCACCTATGAATATAAACATACACCTTTAGGCATGGTTTCTCGATGCTAAAAGTATTTTTAAAGATTGATAATAACGTCTGTTGTATCCATATATAGGAACTAATATGTCAGCCTCATTTGGTCATTTAGCTGGTGGATATGATGCACAGTATTGTGGATACTTGGTATGCAATGTATATAGTCAGTCTGATATAACATAGACTAAGAATTTTTGTTAATTTGCAGTTACATTTATTTGCAACTGTAATAAATCCATTTCATTTTTTTTGTCTCTGCTAAAGTGGAGTGAGGTGTACAGTATGGATATGTTCTATAGTCGCTTTAAGAAGGAGGGAATCATGAAGAGCGACGTAGGAATGCTTTACAGGAAGTGTATATTGGAGCCTGGTGGATCTTTGGTAAGTGCATAATGTTAACAGACTGGATCTTTTTTATAGCTACCTTTTCCGAGTGGACATTGCCAGGCATACAATATTGAGTGCATGGTAATTAATTTTCACCAATATTATCAAACTCTATATATTAGCGATCTCCAGAACTCTTTACAAGCAGTTGATGTGCAACTTGTTCAGGAAATTATTTCACTGAGGGGCAGTTCACATGGTCCCGCTTACCCGAGATTTAACAAAGCACGAAGTGACTTTGAGGTATTGAAATAAGTTAACATTATCCTGGGAGCGCTGTAATCATTCCGACATCAATAAATGATTATTTTAAAACTCCACAGTCCAGGTTCATCACAGACTTCGTTGAATCTCGGGTAACCAGGCTCGTGTAAACAGCCCTTTATTGTTCTACAGTGTAAAATTTTTGTTTTAAAATATATTACCTTTAATTTTTTATTTCTTTTATTTCCCATCATTCTCCTCGAAGCCACAACATGGAAACTCCCAAAAACGTGGCGAGTTACTTCGTTACCATTATAATTTTTTTTTATGATGGTGGTACCTTTTTTTTGCAGGATGCTAAAGATATGTTAAGAAATTTTCTTGGTCGTGAACCTAATAATGCAGCATTCTTAGAAAGTAAAGGATTGCAAGTAGAAACTTTAGCGTAATATTTATTATTTGTATAAGACTACGTTTTTCATTATATTTACATATTAAATTATATCAGAAGGGGATAATAGGTATAGCATAGCTTTGAGCTAGAATTCCTTCTTTCTATGGATAAAATAACGCGCGAGTGGGCAAAATAGTTCATCAAGTGAAGATCATGTGTATGATATGTTTTCTGTGTATGCAGCTGAAAAAGATGGCGTTTTTTATTGATTTAGCGAAATCTTACCCCGCCTGTCAAAAATGCTGAAAATCTCGCTAATTTATAAGGGAAGAATAAAGCAACTAAGGATCGTTTAGAAACATAAGTGGAGTTTATTTTTAGCTTATGTTTGCACCATCATTGTCATTGAAACCTTCGTTGAACCAGGTTGCAGTAATCCACGTGACCACGTATGTCGGACGCATTAAGACCTTGCAAAGATGTGCTGCTAGTTGGCGTTTATCAAACAACTATCCATATCACCTAGTAGTTCGTCTTTATTAAACAATTATCCATATATCACCTAGCAGTTCGTCTTTATTAAACAACTATTCATATCACCTAGTAGTTCGTCTTTATTAAACAACTATCCATATATCACCTAGTAGTTCGTCTTTATTAAACAACTATCCATATATAACCTAGTAGTTCGTCTTTATTAAACAACTATTCATATCACCTAGTAGTTCGTCTTTATTAAACAACTATTCATATCACCTAGTAGTTCGTCTTTATTAAACAATTATCCATATATCGCCTAGTAGTTCGTCTTTATTAAACAACTATTCATATCACCTAGTAGTTCGTCTTTATTATAAACAACTATCCATATATCACCTAGTAGTTCGTCTTTATTAAACAACTATCCATATATCACCTAGTAGTACGTCTTTTTTAAACAACTATATCCACATCACCTAGTAGTTCGTCTTTATTAAACAACTATCCATACCATGCACCTAGTAGTTCGTCTTTATTAAACAACTATATCCATATCACCTAGTAGTTTGTCTTTATTAAACAACTATCCATATCACCTAGTACCAGCCAGTTGCCGTTTATTAAACAACTATCCATGTGATATGATATGATATCAACGTAAATGATGTAAGAAAATAATGCAAAAATGGTACTGAGTTCTAAAACCTAAAATGAGCAGTTCTCAAAATTGAGTTTTGAATTGAAAATGTTGAATTCCCAAGATAGTTACCTACAGAAAAAATAGGAAACATCCATGGAGAGCTGAATTACTTTAGTGACTTCCCAGATTGTGATTTTACAAAATTTACTATCAAAATCTTTGTTATACACCAATCGTTTCCCCCTAAACGTGCATGTTCTCAGAATCCTGAAATTCCCCTTTTGAATAGCTCAATTTTAAAAATTGTCTTCGGAGCGGCTGTCCATTACAATCCAGAGGAGGACTCGTGCTCCAGCAACACACGGCTGGATCTTGAAGCAGCCATAAAATGGGCAGTAAATTTTTTAGGATGACCCCTGGGGAACAGTGCAGAAGAAGGAACTGCTCATGTAATATAAGACGTGCATGAATTGCGTAAAGGAAGTTCCGTATTGTTATTTGTTACTGTTGTTGTGTGTGATAGATTGTAGTTGTGATGTGTTGTCAGCGTAACGTAGGCCTAGGGTTTGGGAGTGATCGAGTGTGTCAAGTGTCCTTGCTGATGTCGGGATGATTACACCGCTGCCAGGATAATGTTAACTTATTTTGTTAAATCTCGGATACGCGGGATCATGTGAACTGCCCCTCAGTGAAACATTTCCTGAACAAGTTGCACATCAATTGCTTGTAAAGAATTCTGGAGATAGCTAATGTAATATAGAGTAATAGATATAGAATATAGAGCAATCACTTATAGACTTATCAAAGATCCACCAGGCTCCAATATACACTTCTGTAATTCCTACGTCACTGTTCATGATTCCTTAATTAAAGCGACTATAGAACATATCCATACCGCACACCACTCCAGTGATTACGTTTGTTAGGAATACGAGATAGTTGAGTAACTTTTAAAAGTAAAAACTGATGCGGATGAAAAGACATGTTATTTATTATTCTTGTGGTACATTTTTAAGACCCTTTTAATATAGGACAAGTAAGACGACTGCTTCATCTGCATTACATAGATTGTTTAAATGTTCATGAAAGGTCACATGACTAATTCGAAAAACAAACGCCCCAAAGACAACTAAACTATTCCTTTTTGTTACGACTCAGTTCTATGCGACGAACACCGAATGAGTTTCAAAGCTTTTACAAATATCCACCAAACCACCAGTTGGTTGTAGAAAGCGGACCAGAACTGCAACGAAATTTACGGTTGTATTCACCGTACAAACCAAAATTATCTTCGGACGAAACTGCACCTTGAGTGGGAACAAACTGACAGCCATTTGAAGCGCTATCGATGTGAGCACCAGAACCATTGGTAACTTGCCACCACTGTGATGTACATTGAGCGCACTGATGACCACGAATATTGACATATTCAACTTTCTTGCAAATACCATGACCCAGAAATGTCATAATGTCGAAGTCTGTAAACTTTGCTCTGACGTAATCTGTGTAATCGACCTTGTAAGAAGGAAAGCTGCAAGTTGATCTCCAATGGGTAGACTGTGACTTGAGATGAGTCATTTGAGAAAGGCTCATACGATAAAGATTCCAATTAGGGGAATTCTTGTTCACAGGTGCGTCTTGGCCCAATGTTCTCCTAGTCATCTGGTTCATATTTTTGTTCTTGAAGGCGTAAGACATGACCAAAGTCCAAGCTGATCCAGCTTCTGAAGTCATGTCACAGTAAACTGAGATTAGGTCGTTGGTTTGGAAATCATAAATGGTATAATAACCATCAGAATTGTAGCCCTTTTTGAGGTGGTCCAAACAGCTTCGAGGAGTGATTTCCACCTGTAAAAAAAGTACAGTGTATTTTTTTGCAGAGAAAAATTTCATTCTTTGCTCGTGGTTTGTATCGATGCCAGAAGTAGTGTGCGCGGCTTAGAAATATGAAGCTAACCTTAGTTAATGTCTTGGACTCTACTTCCATGCCAAATAAAAGCAGACTGCAGAATAGAAAAATCATTTTAGAAACCATTCTCTTCCTTTTGATTTATTAAGGTCTTCTGACTCTTCTCAGCCAGCACCAGAGTTACACGCAATTTATGCACGACTTAGCGGATGTTAGATATGCTGACAGGCGGTTCCTTATCAACACCGAAAGTGCATATATTGCCCCTGTTTGAGGCCAATGTGTCATTGGTGCTATCAAGAAAACAAAGAAAACAAAAGGCCAAGACAAAGAAAATAAGGAACTAGTGTAATGTTTTTTGGCCTCAAATATGCTATTAGCTAATATGCTATCAACCCTGCTCCAAACGTTTAACTGAATTATGTTCTTTCTCTGAGAATCAAAATACATGGATCGATTGAGGGTTGGTGGATAGCTGCATATTTGAGGCCAAACAATATCACACTAGTTCTTTGTTTTCTTTGTCTTTACCTTTTGTTTTCTTTGTTTCCTTTTTTTTTCTTGATGGCACCAATGATAAAATTCCAAACAAGCTACTTTAAATTGGGAGGGGGTCAGAATTATTGACATATATCCGTCATTCCTGTAGTTGCAAAAATCGTAGAAAAAATTATCTACGACCAATTGAGTTCATACATTAATGCGAATAATATAATTTGAATCAGGATTTCGGCCAAACCATTCCACAGAAACAGCGCTTTTAAATTGTGCAAATCAATGGTTGTTAAATAACTAAACTCTGACCTGTCTCATGTTAACAGATGCTAAGAAGCAAACAAGTTACCACTGAACGCCAAGTACCTTATTTACATACTGTTGAACAGTCTGGAACGACGGAAACAAAACAAATCTAGAAAGGCTCTGCAAAATGCAGAAAAGAGCCGCTCGTATAATAACTGGCTCAAACTATATGAGACAAGGTCAAATACAATCTTCCAAAATCTAGGGTGGAGTCAATTAGAAAATTCCAGGCTTCTCCCAAGCACCCCCGCGCGCTCAGTGCTTTATCCGCAAAATACTTCAAAGAGCCTGGGAACGACACTGTTTAAAGCTATCCGTTGTATTACACCAGGGTACATCTGCGACATGTTCGCATATCGCGAGAACGTTCATCATCAAATACGAGGCAACAGGCGCAGGCTACTTCTCGACAAATCTAATAGATCTTTTATGAAAAGATCTTCTCTTATAGAGGAGCTTACGCCTGGAATGCATTACCTAACGAAATGATAACGAAAGATACTCATGAGCAACTATCTGTATATTCATTCAAGACAGTCCTTACAAAACACATATGTCGGTCAGGAGACTGCAAATATTGTTAGCTATAATGACATCTATCAGTATTATAAACAATATTTCTTTTTTTACTCCTTCCTATAAATGACCCCTTTGAAAGCAGCAACGAATTAAGCTGAAGGGTTATTGTTTGAAAATAAGTTTTTAAAACATTGCACTTTTACTAAAGATTGGTTTATGTTAAATCTTAATAGTGTTTTTGAAGGAAGAACATAACTTAGGACTTACGTCAAAGGAAGAACATAACTTAAGATCTACGTTAAAGGAAGAACATTGCTTATTACGTGCTTTGTTATGTTACAACTTGACCTTGATGCTATATATAGTTACCATGCCTTTTATATATTTTCATTTACTGAACACTGTATTTTGGTTCTAAGAGCAAAGGCCTTACTAAATCAAAAGGAAGAGAATGATTTCAAAAATTGTTTTTCTATTCTACAATCTGCTTTTATTTGGCATAAAGTCCCAAACATTATTTGGCTTAGGTTAGCTTCAAATTTCTAAACCGCGCGCACTGTTTCTGGCATCGAGCCACGAGCATAGAATGAATTTTTTTCTGCAGAAAAATACTGACATTGTACTTTTTTGTTACCGGTGGAAATCACCCCTCGATGCTGTCTGGTCCACCTCAAACGGTCTACAAATGACTCATGTCACATTGGAGATCAACTTAAGCAGCTTTCCTTAATTCTTACAAGGTCGATAACACAGATAACGTCAGAGCAAAGTTTACGGATATTGACGTGACATTTACATGGTATTTGCAAAAAAGTTGTCCAATGTACATCAAAGTGCTGGCAAGTTATCAATACGCACAGTCCTCGCATTGAGAGCTTTTTCCGGTAGTGGCTGTCAGTTTATTTCCAATCAAGGTTCTGTTTCGTCTGACTGAAATCATTTTGGTTTCTACGGTAGTTTACCCTGCATGTCAAAAATTCTGAAAATCGCGCGAATTTAGAAGGGAAGAATATATAAAGCAACGTTATTAAAGATCGTTGGATCATTGGAACCTCGTTGAACTAGGTTGCAGTAATCCACGTGGGTCGGACCCTATAAGACCTTGCAAAGTCCAAATCCAAGCCCAAATCCACCCACTTAACCCGACACTATTTTGAACTAACTTATTTGGTAGGATTTTCATTTAAAAGCAACCAGTAAATGGAAGAAATCTCTGATTCTAATCTTGTCTTCTCTTCATTTCCTACAAATCATGCAGAGCAAAATAACTAATCAGACGTCCAGTTTCCTTACATCAAATGCATCGTAAAAAAGGATTATTCTTTACCCCGTGACTTGTGCGCTATCACGCATTGTGTCTTGGAAACTAAGGACATGTTTAGAATATAACATGATATAAAAAAAAAATTAAAAAAATAAGAAAAAATAAACTCTTGACACACTCGCGTACCACAACAATAGGGAACTTCCTTTACGCAATTTATGCACGTAGTTCCCTCTCACTGCACGTTCCCGTTCTTACATCCGTTTGCGTTGATATGCTGATAGGTGATTCCTCATCACAACTGAAAGTGCACATATTTTAACTGAAATACTTTGTGATTAGTGTTACCCTCTTGAAATAAAGTTTATTGTATTGTAAATTAATTTCAACACATGAATATATGTATATAACATACCATAACTTACAGGAGAACATGATTTTCACGACAAACTACAAAGTATATGAACCAGGTAGAGTAGAAAAAATATGCGTACAGAGACGTTTAGTTTTGATCGAGTGCGTTTACACTGTTTACAGCAGGGCGCTTACACTTAGGATGGATTTCCACTTACGCGTTTTTTTATACGCACGTACACGCACGTAAAAGTCTAAATCCTTACACATGTTAGCTACCTTTGTAAAAACTAAGTGAATAAATGGAAGGAACTTAGTTTTTTTGCGCATTTTAGTATGCATTAGTTGACCTAGATGTTAAATAATAAAAATTTAAAAGCATTTAAAATTTTTCGTACGTGTGCGTGCGCATAAAAAACGCGTAAGTGGAAAGCAGCCTTTACTAGTATATAAACGCCCTGGTTTACGGAATGTGCCAGACTACTGCCTCACAGCCGCAGCTGCCTGTAATCAGGCAATTGAATGATTAAAATTAGCAAAAAAAAGCGGGAAGTTGAATCGGAGCCATTGAACGCCAATAATTAAGATGATACAAAATTACCACAGACGATGCACGCTTTGCTTTGAATTAAGAATAAGCCTAAAAAAGCAAAAATTAATCCTGGATTTTCACCTTGTTGACTTGGCAGTGCGCGCGCGCGTATCTCATATTACTCCGTAATGACGTAGCTGATGACATTGTTGGAATCAAAGGGGTACAAAAACAATCGATCATTGCCGCATTTCGTTTTTCGACCCTCAGAGCGAGCAAAGCATAATCCAGCTTAACATTTGGAGAATTAATTAATAACCTTAATTAATAAATCAACCGAACGCCAATAAGGTGAATCCTGTTCAAGGATACGTCGTGCGCGAAAAAGGCCAGGCCAAAATTGAAAATTAATACTCACTTCAGTTCGAATGAAAATTTTTAACCTTGTCCTTCGATGTTGACGCGCACGCCCGTATAATGACGTAGGCTGACGACATTGTTACGTTAGAATGCAAGTTGTCTATATATAACAATAGATCAATGTATTTTAATTCTCAGAGCAAACAGAGTAATTCAGTTTAACGTTTGGAGAAGTGTCAGAAGACCTTAATAAATCAAAAGGAAGAGAATGGTTTCTAAAATGGTTTTTCTACTCTACAGTCTCCTTTTATTTGGCATGGAAGTAGACTCCGAGACATTGACTAAGGTTAGCTTCATATTTCTAAGCCGCGCACACTGCTTTTAGCATCGATAGATCAATGAGTAGGAGCCACCAGCAAAGAATGAAGTTTTTCTCTGCAGAAAAATACTGACGCTGTAATTTTTTGTTACAGGTGGAAATCACACCTCGAAGCTGTCTGGACCACCTCAAAAAAGGCCACAATTCTGATGGTTATTATACCATTTATGATTTCCAAACCAACGACCTAATCTTAGTTTACTGTGACATGACTTCAGAAGCTGGATCAGCTTGGACTTTGGTCATGTCCTACGCCTTCAAGAACAGAAATATGAACCAGATGACTAGGAGAACATTGGGCCAAGACGCACCTGTGAACGAGAATTCCCCTAATTGGAATCTTTATCGTATGAGCCCTTCTCAAATGGCTTATCTCAAGTCTCAGTCTACCCATTGGAGATCAACCTGCAGCTTTCCTTCTTACAAGGTCGATTACACAGATTACGTCAGAGCAAAGTTTACAGACTTCGACATTATGACATTACTGGGTCATGGTATTTGCAAGAAAGTTGAATATGTCAATATTCGTGGTCATCAGTGCGCCCAATGTACATCAAAGTGGTGGCAAGTTAGCAATGTGTTCGCCCCTCACATCGATAGCTCTTTCAGTGGATGTCAGTTTGTTCCCACTCAAGGTTCTACTCCGTCCGAAAATAATTTTGGTTTCTACCTTGATGGCTACAACCGTAAATTCCGTTGCAGTTCTGGTCCACTTTCTACAACCAACTGGTGGTTTGGTGGATATTTGTGAAATGCAAAAAGCTTTGAAACTGATTTGGGCATAATCGCATAGCTTGTTTAAAAACATATAAAAAGGAACTTGTAAAATAGCTTTTCATGTGATAACATTAATATATTCGTAAGTTTTACTATATGTTGAATAAAACAATAGTTAAACCTCGTAGCTATAATTTAGACTATTTCAGTGAATGAATTCAATAGTTTGATTTCGTCTTTTAATACTAGGAAATGAAAGTAAATGACTCAAATGAGTAAATAGAGATCATTTGATTTCATTTGTCATGAAAATGTAGAGAATATAAACATGACTCTTTTTTGCTGCAAAAATAAGGCCCGGTTATTCTCATAAGGCCCGGTTTACACTGTCAAAGTTTTGTGATCACATTTGCAATTTTGCGTTGTTAAATCCAAAGTTTTAATTTTAAACATTTTGTACTGAATATTAGGATAAAATAACTTAGTATTAATTAGGGTCACAATTCACTCCAGTATTTTCAACAAATCTTTTAAAACTTTGGATTTGTTGTTTGAAAATTCCAACTCTATGATCACAGAAAATTTTATATATAGTGTAAACTGGGCCTAACTCGGTGTAAGTTAATGTTGGTGTGAAAAATTCAAGCTTTAAACCGGTATAAAAACAGAATAAAATCGTCTGAACGTTATCCTTCAAACCTTGCTGCCGCAAATGTCGGAGATTCCAAAGACATAAACCAGGCAGTCAGATGATCAGATCAAGTTGCAATGAGTTAAGTATTGTGTAATGATTTGCTTGAAAGTGCAACGGCAAAGAAAGAAAAACAACCTTTCAAGCAAGGTTCGCTCAGAAAGAAAGGTGGTTATTAACCGTTATTTTTTCCTTTACACCGTCCATTGAAATCGTCAATGAATGAACCAAGCAGCAGTAATCCATATTGATGGCTATAGCTAGGCGGCCTAGTTTAGCTGTTTTCGTGGTTGTCAAGAAATTTGACGTTTTACGTGGGAAGTTGAGAATTCAGCAATAATTTTTTGTCATATAATTGCATACAACAATCGAACTTTGAGACTAACTCACTTCTTCGTTTCAGCAGTGTGCTCAAAATAACATGCAGCTACGTGGCATTAATTTACAGTGATGTTAAATAACAGTCGCTCCCGCTATCAACCATTGTTCTTTGGATCTCAGAGCAAGCAGCAAGTCAACACATTACAAAGAAATTACAAATCTAGATTCAATACGGAGAAAATGATCATGATTTCAAAAATGGTTATTCTATTCTGCAGTCTGTTTTTGTTTGGGGTGAAAGTGGAGTCCAAGACATTGGATAAGGTCAGCTTCATTTCATATTGCTAAGCCGTGCACACTGGCATCGAGTTATCATGTGGCATGTGTAGGAATTCAAGCGATTAAGCTGAAAAAGCTAACCATTTTTTATGCAGAAAATACGTTGTACTTTTTATTACAGTTTGAAATCACTCCTCGAAGCTGTCTGGATCACCTCAAAAAAGGTTTCAAATCTGATGGTTATTATACCATTTATGATTTCCAAACCAACGACCTAATCTCAGTTTACTGTGACATGACTTCAGAAGCTGGATCAGCTTGGACTTTGGTCATGTCTTACGCCTTCAAGAACAGAAATATGAACCAGATGACTAGGAGAACATTGGGGCAAGACGCACCTGTGAACGAGAATTCCCCTAATTGGAACCTTTATCGTATGAGCCTTTCTCAAATGACTCATCTCAAGTCACAGTCTACCCATTGGAGATCAACTTGCAGCTTTCCTTCTTACAAGGTCGATTACACAGATTACGTCAGAGCAAAGTTTACAGATTTCGACATTATGACATTTCTGGGTCGTGGTATTTGCAAGAAAGTTGAATATGTCAATATCCGTGGTCATCAGTGCGCCCAATGTACATCAAAGTGGTGGCAAGTTATCAATGTGTTCGCCCCTCACATCGATAGCTCTTTCAGTGCCGGGTGTCAGTTTGTTCCCACTCAAGGTGCGTTTTCGTCCGAAGATAATTTTGGTTTCTACGATATTTACAACCGTAAGTTCCGTTGCAGTTCTGGTCCGCTTTCTACAACCAACTGGTGGTTTGGTGGATATTTGTAAACACAAAAAAGCTTTGAAACTCATTCGGGAATCGTCGAATAGAAATTGTATACAAAAAAAGGAATAGTTTAGTTTGTCTTTGGGGCGTTTTTTTCAAATTTGAACTACAGGGTGTATCAAAAAAAATGTCCCAAATGTAAAATTTCCGTTTTTCAGGATATTTTGCAGAATTTGGCAATTTTTTGTGTTCCTAGAGATAGATAAGACTTATCTGGTATACCTAGGCCAAGTTTGGTTTTTCATTAACAAAATTATGTTACTGGGGGGGGGGGGGTGGTTCCTTTCCACTGATATTGAGAGGGCTTGCGCGCGAAAATGTGAAGCTGAAATTGAGATATTATTTAGCTGTCTAAAAGTAGGAAAGCTTTTTAATAAACTGTCAAAGTTTCAGGAAAAATAATGCATACTGGGAGCAACGCGCGACCCCTAAATGTGACAAATATTTCATTGCGCGCAGTGGATTAAATGCATGGTTGATTTTAGCGTGACCGATCTCATGTAAGGCTGGGCAAATGAATAAATTAAAGCGAGAAACAGAACACAAAAACAAAGCGATTTATTCGTGATGTTAATCCTCAGCATTTCCACCATTTCATTCTAAGCAAACTGCTGCTTGCCTGAGCATACTAAACACTGAACAGCGAACCATTTGTCTGTCCATTCGCCTAGATTTGCCGGTGGTAGCGTAGGCGATTTGCAAGAAAGAATTTCGAACGAAATGGATAGTTTGAGGCAGGACAGACAAATGTGGTTCGCCGTTCAGTGTTTACCATGCTCAGACGAGCCGCAGTTTGCTTAGAAAGAAATAGTGGAAATGTTGAGGATTAACATCAAGAATAAGAATCTTATTATTAAATCGCTTCGTCTTCTTGTTCAGTTTCTCGCTTTAATTTATTCATTTGCCCAGCTTTGCATGAGATCGGTCACGCTAAAATCAACCATGCATTTAATCCACTGCGCGCAATGAAATATTTGTCACTTTTAGGGGTCGCGCGTTGCTCCCAGTTTGCATTATTTTTCCTGAAACTGGAGTTTATTAAAAAGCTTTCCTACTTTTAGACAGCTAAATAATATCTCAATTTCAGCTTCACATTTTCGCGCGCAAGCCCTCTCAATATCAGTGGAAAGGAACCACCCCCCCGGTAACATAATTTTGTTAATGAAAAACCAAACTTGGCCTAGGTATACCAGATAAGTCTTAACTATCTCTAGGAACACAAAAATTTGCCAAATTCTACAAAATATCCTGCAAAACGGAAATTTTACATTTAGGACATTTTTTTTTATACACCCTGTAGTTCATATCTAAAAAAAGCCAGTCCGCAGATAACATATATTAGTCATTAGTCTTGTGACCCTTCGTGAATATTTAAACAATCTATTTAATGCAGATGAAGCAGTCGTCTTACTTGTCCTATATTAAAAATGTACCTCTAGAATAATAAATAACATGTCTTTTTATCCGCATCAGTTTTTACTTTCAAAAATTACTCAACTATCTCGTATTCCTAACTGTTTTTTTTACATGCTACAAACTTAATTACTGGAGTCAGATTTTGATTGGAATCCGGAATTAACGCATATAAAATGGTTTACAAATATTTTCAATATATAGTTTTTGCGTTTTTCTGAACACCTTTACTGTCAGTAGGTTTTTTCTTTGGTGGTTTTGGGGGGGGTTAGGGGTATGTTGTATTCCCTGTGGCTCAGTCTACTCCACCACAGCAGCTAATCTGTGATTTCCCAACATGAAAATTAAATTATATACTGCTATACAGCTCAGTTCTCAGAAAGGAGAGAGAATTGCTCCAGATTAAATCAGTCTAGAAAGTAGAAACTACTATTAAATTACTGAATTCTACTATTAAATTCCTGTTTAAAGTTTTAAACTTTTAAATCAAGATCTCCACCATTGAACTGAGTAATCTAGCCATCGTTTCTGCAATTTGAATTATTAACAAATACTGACGTATTTTAATAAGATTTACAGACAAAAAGAATATTAAAGGTGGTGTGTATTTTAGGACCATCGTAGTTTTGCTTGCAGTATTGGAACGGTTCCATTGGTTTCCAGTAATGGAACCATTACATATTTTTTTAAAAATCGCTAGATACAGTATCATTCAGTCACAATGAGTTCGTCTATTCCCCAGTCCTCATGACTTCCATCTGGCATGTATCGACGAATAATGATAGGAATCTTCTGAGCTTTTAATTCTTTCATAGCAATTTGCAGTGGATCAGTTTCACCTTCAAGTTCCACCATAACAGGAGCACCCATGCTTATTTGTAAAGCTCTTGTTCCAAGAACTCTTGCTCGTTCATATTTTGTCATGTAAGGTGTTGTCACTCGTCGTGCTGATTCAGTGCCCTCTTCTCCCTCTGGCAAAATTTCAAATCCAGTTCCATCACCTACAGGCTTAGAATAGTAAGAAAGTAATTTTATCAATGAGCAGAGTATCATTGTAATATAAGCTTTACAAAAAAGATCAACTAAAAGGTGGGAGGCGCGGAATTCCCCTCCGTAAATGAAGGTTTGCATACATGCAGCATGGAGACGTTTCCTGTCTAGAACCTTGTGCTTATAATGTATAACAACTAACATATAAAACTTCAAATCAAAGTTAAGTACCTCTAAATCATCAACATCATCAAGTGGTTCTTCATCATCAAATTGTTCTACATCATCGTCAAATCTGAGGAAAAAGTGAACGTTATTACAACCGAAAATGTAAAGTTTTCATCAAACAAATAGTACTAACCCATCAACTCCTTCGTCGTCGGCCATTTTTTCAGGCAGCAAGCAGGCAGCAAGAGTTCCTGGAAGGAAATTCCTTGGAATAGGCTTAAATATTCCCTATTTCTGACCAAATAAAAATCTTGAAAATTCAATGAAAATACCTGATTCACTTTAAATCGGTTATTCTAGTTTCAAATTAGACATCTTCGTTGATAAGATAAATAATTTCTGACTTTTCTAATTTCAAAATATATTAAACCAGCGTGCATATCCTTATTTTAAGGATAGAGGCGTGAACTGGTCATCGTTAATCGTTTCCCGTATGCAAAAACAAGATGGCGGCAGATTTGACTTACGAAGGTTGTAATTTTTATCGCCAAAGATTGATTCTTTCTACCTTGAGCGGAAAATCATTAAGAATAAAAAATATCAGGGCATACGATGATGATCCTGGTCTTAAAGGTACGAAAGTATCTTCTTTCATTTCAGTCGTATTACTCAATATTTTTCTAATTGTGAATTGCCGTAAGTAAATTGTGTAGAGCCGTATGTTATAGTGTACCAAGCCCTGCTAATTAATGCTATTTATGACTTGACTGTAGATTTCGAGGCTGGATTCATAAGACTGCTAGATAAACTAACCAATGGTTCAAAAATTGAAGTCAACGAAACGGGTGGGTATCCATTCAGTTCTTAGACTTGTTTACTAATTACTAGGGTTCATTCTGTGTAGCCTATGCCAGATATCTTCTGCGTAAAATTTGATGATGGTTCATAGGCTAAACATCTGTTTAAATCTATGTTATTTTTTTACTAATGGCTTGAGTGAAATTATTTAAGGTACATCAATATTTTATAAACCTGGCTTGCTTATTGGTGGAACTGTGGATCATGATTGCAGCATTCAAAGATCAGTTGGTTACTTTCTAGAGAGTATTGTTTGTCTAGCTCCATTTTGTAAAAAACCTCTTAAATTGACATTACGAGGTGTAACAAATGATGATGCAGACCCATCTGTAAGTAGTACAGTGTTGGAAATTGCTAATTAGTGTCCAATTGCTAATTGGTAATTTATCTTTCTCACTTACAATACATCTTCATGGTCATTTTCCCCCTTAAATTTTAATTTTTTTTAATCTGAAAGGTGGATATTATAAAGACAGTAACCATTCCTCTAATGAAACGATTTTTGTTGGGTGATGAAAGATTGGACTTGAAGGTAATGGGAATGATATTGGGAGTTTTAAGGCTTATTTAAGGCTTATTTAAGGCTTTGCCGAACATAAACCACCTCGAAACAACAATATATGAGGCATCTTAACTGCTCATCTATTGTTTTTATGTGACATTTGATGCATGAAAGAAAGACAGTGTCTGAAGGTGTCCTGTATGGTAATGTATGACGAGATCAATCTTGAGCCGTAGTTGTTCAACGCAAAGAAACATCATTGTTTTTATTATTGTTATTGAAGTTCTTGTACTTTTAGATTGTAAAGAGAGGAGCTGCACCAAACGGAGGAGGAGAAGTAATATTTTCATGTCCTGTCCGACGGACCTTGAGACCCTTGCAGTTCACAGAACCTGGAAAAATCAAACGAATACGAGGATTGGCGTATCCTATGATCAATAGCTTTTATGCTAGCTCTACCTGTTCCTTATGCATAGTAACGCTTTATGTTTTAAGTTATGAGTTTGCCAATTTGCCGTAATTTCTAGTAAACTGCTAACACAGCTTAAAACGTTCAAGTCGTTTCCTGTAGATATAGCTTGGACAATGTTGTGTTCCACTCCACGAACATTAGTTGCTATCAAGTTGTTACAACCTGTGAACGGATTGTAGCGTCTTGATGACAATCACGTTCGTGGAGTGCAGTACAGTACAAAATTGTCTAGTCCTGTTTATATCAAGCAGAAACAACTTTCTAATTCAGTTGTTTCTGCTTTACAGTTGTATCTATTTGCGTGTATTATCCTTGATGCACCTTTAAGATATTCTGTACGAGTTTCACCTGCGATGGTCAACAGAATCGTTGATGCTGCTAGAGAAATTTTAAATAAATGCGTATCAGACATTTATATTTACACAGACCACTGCAAAGGAAGCCAAGCTGGAAGGTAATTTTACGATTTGGAAAAGTGTACCAAGATATAACGATAAGCCACTAACGTAAGGCCACTTTAAACGGTCGGTTTTTTGCCGCCACTGTTGTGCGATTTTTTTGTTTCGATAGAAACAAAGCATTACATGTGTTATTATTATAAATGCGAGTAGATATGTGCACTTATACCCAGAGGATTCATAATTGTTCACTCGTTTCTATCTGTCAAAGAAGAAAAGCGTAATGGAAGTTGCATGTATGAAGCAGCCTTTGTCAAATGATTCCGACCAGACTCCTCTTAGCACAATATGAATCAATATTAATATTTTCCAAATGCGCTGTGAAACTGCATGTCAGCCGATTAAAGTTTTTTCTAACGGCATTAAAGAATTTTGATATTTTTTTTCTGATAATGAAATACTCTCACAATACATAGTGTATCGATGGTTTAAACCGTAACGATACGAGAGTTGGATAAGGATTAATTGTACTTCAGTACTAGAGCCTAGAGTATTCACCCTCATTCTGAAACAGGTCCCCAGGTTTTGGATTGTCTCTCGTTGCTGAATCAACGAAAGGAGTTTTATTATGCGCTGAAAGTTCATCAAAACCAGCTACAGAAGGAAATGTTATTTCACCTGAAGATCTTGGAAGACAAACAGCAATGTCGCTTCTGGAGGAAATATACAGGGTAAGATGAGACCAGTTAAATCGATGGATTCTTGACTCGAGGACGTCAGTCGTGCTTACACATAGACCGAGTGACTTTGACGTGTACCTGAGAAGTATTTACCGACTACCTTCTGTATAAAAGGAATTACTGGGGTAGACTAGAATTAGAATATTTTTAGATGTTCTCTATATAATAGTATTTTAGATATAATTATGCTAGATTATTTAATGAAGATATTGTTGTCTTTTGCTGCACTAGCACGTGGAAGTCAGGCATTAGGCATTACCTAACAAGTATTTGGGGTGGAATACATGTGATGTACTGATTCATAAGATACCGTATATGTTTGCACCAGAGAACTATAGTATAATCTATATATCGTTGAATTCAATTTAGGGTGGCTGTGTGGATTCAAGACATCAATGTTTGCCTTTGCTTTTTATGGTTCTTGGTCAACGTGATGTTTCGAAAATTTTAACTGGACCACTATCACCACACACGTAAGATGTAAAATATTAAAACAACGACGAAAAATAAACATTAATCTTTCATGCAAGTCTCAAACAATCGCAACAATCGTACACTTTATACAGCCATGTTTTAGTAATAGCTGGCTAATCCTAAATTCTATCATTAATATTGCTCTTTGGCCATAGTGGTCAGCATTCTGATCTCATTTGGATATCTATGCCATTTTAATATCCACAGCCACGTAATGCACAAAAGCACAACTTTTTGCTTATTGCTACTAAATCCGAAATTATTGGATAACTTTCAAATCATGGAAACTGAAGTAAATCGAACAGAAATGACCATTTGTAGGTCTGTAAGTACCCACGCTGGCATGATACACTAAAGTTTTAATATTTTTTTTGCATTTCTCTTTTCAAGGATACAATTTCTAAGATATTTACGTGATTTCTTTGGCGTGGTTTTCAAGGTGCAAAGTTTATCAAAAGAAGAGAGCGATGAGACAATGACAGGATGTGATACACACATACTATTATCATGTATAGGTGTAGGATATAGCAATGTTAGCAAATCAATAACATAAAATAATGGTACATTTATAGAGAATATGGCATACTTGTCCAATACACCCAATGCAACAATGTTACTATTTATTTGAGAGTGATAGAAAATACTTCTAATGGTGAGAGAGATAATTAACAAAACTGGAACTTGTTTAAATAGTCAGAACAATACCAAGAACAATTTACAATCTTTTAGTTGTACATAAAGCTCCTGTGTCTCTGGAATGAGGGAAGTGGGATTTGCCTGACATTATTTAACAGGCTCCAATTAATTAGCTCTATCACCAGGAAAGATGTCTTTAATACTTCCAAAATATGCTTTTAGGACCCTTTAAATGCCATTAGGAAACTGAATCCTTTTTTCAACATCTCAATTAGTTATGTGTCTATATATCCACTACTTCTTTATCCTTTTTCTTTTTCTGTCGCTCCAAATCCCTTTTTACTCCTTCCCTTAATCTTTTCCTGTCAGCTTCTTGGGACATATGAACAACCAAAATTATACTAAAGGCAAATCCCCCTGCCGCAAGTAGAACTGCTTTCGATAAATGTGACATGGCATTTACAAAGTTTTCAATCATAAACTGCACTCCTATTGCTGCTTCTATATTTTCTCTTTCCTTTGATCTTTCCTTCAGGGTCTTCCGGGATACTTCATGTAAGAAAAATATTTTGTTACCAAGAGGGCAGGACAATCACAAGACAATCATATATTTTATATTTATAAAATTATCTTAATGAAATCGTAAACAAGTATTAAAACGGATTGATACAAATTTACCGCTAACAAAGCTTTTGACTTTTCTTGATTCACGTCAATATTAAAGACAATAACCTGAGGCTCAGATGGAATGATTAAATGAATCGTTGAACCACAGGTTAGATTTCGTATGTCGCAGCTGGCAACCACAGTGACACAGAAGCTGTTTCCGATTTTTGTTTTAGACTTTTATTATTTGGTTAAGGTATCATAAACCAATCAAAACTGTTGTAGTTTGGAAATGAAAAGGACATAAAGAGTATTGGAAGAACGGCCATATTGGATTTGGTTATTGATTTATTGTACAAGGCGCGGTTTCAAAGCTTAGGAGATCTGATATTCTAGGTAAAATATCAGGTAAATTTGTATGGATATATTTCTGCAATTCTTGTTTGCTCAGATGTTTGCTTAATACGACTTTCGTGCAGAAAATGAAGTTCAAAATGATGAAGAGTTTTTCTTGTTTGCTGCTAGCGAACACGTTTTCGCAATATTTTAAATACAACATTATTATCAATGTCTTTAACACTTTCAGCGCCATTTGACAACAGTATCATGACTTGCCCTTTTGTAAAACATAATTGTACCTAAAGTCGTGATTCATTTTTACAGTCATATTTTACAGTGAGAAGTTAAAAGTCACTATTGAATATATCAGTTTATGGATGAATTGATGCTTTTGAATTATATTGATTTGCCTCATTACCATGATATATCTTTCTTACAATATTATTAAACTTGTGTCATATATTTTGGAATTTTATATGTGATGCAATACTAATAAAGCTTGCTGCAATACTAATAAAGTTTGCTGCTAGCTAGCACCCATTGGAAGTATCAATCCAAGTTATGCACTTTGTCTGTTAAAATAATGGGTTAAATAATAATTTTTGTAATGACAAGCCTTGGCTGGTCCAAAACTGTGTCTGGCAAGCCTTAGCTGGTCCAAAATTGTGTTTAAACAAGCTTACGTATTACACACATTGACCACTTGTTTGCATTCTTACCGTTTAAACTTTAGTTTCTGTTGTTGATACAATATGGCAATTGCTTACCATAGTACATTTAATATTGCATGCTTACCACAGTATATTTGCAAAGGTGGTCACCACACCTTAGTAAAGAATACAATAATATTGAACAAAACATTCATGTATACATGGTCTTCCATTTTGCTAACATTCATATCAAATAATCAAAAGGTAGTTGGATAGGAACAACACAGTCTTGGTAACATTTCATTTGTGAGCTTAATTTGCTAGCTAAGAATGTGCAAAAACTGTGTTGTAATTTTTTTTAGAAATTTTTTAACAGCAAAAATGTCATGCAGTGAAGATGAGACAAATGTGGCAAGTGTTTTATCTCAAATGTCACAAAGTACACAGCCATTGGAAAATGTGAATAATTCACAGCACATAGATAGTTCCGTTATAGCACATGAATGTGATGTTGAAACGTCTTTAAATCAAGGTAAATCCTGCTCAATGTCTTGCTGCAACGACATTGTAACATTTAATCCTATTACACTGTCACCACTTTTTATAGAAATGACAACTATTGGTGTGGATGAGACACTTACAGCTGCTCCTGTGGCTGGACTGTGCATTGACAACACAGAACCAAAGTTGCAAACAGCAATTTCAGGTATGCAAGCAGCCGCCAACTGAAATGACATGTAATTATTTCTCCAATATAGATATTTTTTACTATAAAGGAATATGCTTTTCACCTATTATTGCTCCATGATAGGCCTATTTTTCACTGGCCACGCCTTAATTTGCATCATAGTAATCTTTCTTTTGTGCTGTAGATCAGGGCCGTACGCAGGATTTTTGAGCTGGGGGGGCAGTGAAGTTCCACTCACGACATATTCATAATAATATTTTAGAATTAGAATAACAATAATCGACGTCCGGGAATTTAAAGCATCATCCTGCTGACTAGATTGGTTATTGGTATACAATAGAATATTACGTCATAGAGTTTTAATTAACATATAATCAGTGTATCCCACACAGATTTTTAAATACGGTACCCAAATATAAAGAAGTGCTGTAAAAGCACAGTATTTAGAGTTCATGATTGGGCCAAACAAAATTGTCATTGTACGTCTTGTTGGTGAATCATCATCACGACATTATATGCGCCATTTTGCTTTTCGTGCGTAAACATCGTCTGCGGTTGGAATATTCGAAGAATCTTGATTAATCATAAGCATGGCAAGTCCACTTAAGCGTTCTTCACCCATTGACGCTCGTGTCCATAACTTAAGGCGCCTAAGTGCTGAAAATGACCTTTCACAACACACACTTCCAACAGGAACTGTCAAGAAAATTGTTAGGATCTTACTAATTGCTGGATAGAATGCAGCATCACACTTTGTTATAGCATCACACGCATTCTTTGGTTTCTCTTTCAAAGGAACATCGACGAATTTCTGTTTCCATCGTACAATTTCCGTATCAAAACCACTTAGCTGGGTAAAAGTAAGAAACTTTCCAAAGAACTCTTTTATATCGTCCAATTTTGCAACAGTTAGAGTCTTCAGATAGACTGGTACAAGTGTTTGGGCAGCTAACAATCCCTTGTGCTCAAAAGCAAATCTTGTCTCAATCTCCTCAACAACCCGATCGATGAAGGGATAGTAGACATTAATTCTGTAATAATCTTCACAAGTTTGATTTGCGTTACCAGAATTTGCGCGATGGCGCTGATTTCTTGCAGTACGTGGCTTTGTAATTTCAACTTCAACAGCGTTTCCCACAGTCTGAATTCTTTCCCATACTTTATTCCAAGAATCATCTGCTCGTGCAGTTCTTATACATTCTTTTGCCCTGTTTACTTCTGCGTATGCTTCTCCAAGATTGCATTCTTTTGCTTGCAATATTTTGGTGACTTCTGCTGTAAATCCTAAAATGGATTGTACTACAACGAGAGCCACGATGAATTGAGGAGATTCCATTAAGCGTATATATGCATTAGCGTTGCCCCTTGGTTCCCCATTACTTTGGTCTGCAATCTGTTCGAGTGTTTTAAGTACAGAAGAATATTTAGCTAACAGTGCTGAAAGTGTTTCCACCCTGGAACTCCATCTTGTAGGACAAAGTTTTGGTACAGTTTTTGTCTTTGTTCCTCTTAAAATTGCCTTTTTCGACTTGTTAAAGCCATGATCCTGAATACTGCTTCCATCTTCATCGCTTTTTTGTTCTTCATCGTTGCTACTTTCCTCGTCGTTCACCTGTCCTTGATTTTCCTTATCGTTTTCATCTTCGTCTTCTTTATTCTCATCTTCCTCATCAGCTTCAGTCAATAAAGCTGTTAATTCGTCATCAACCCCAGTGGCTGCAATCTCTACAAATATATGCTTTCTTTTTGCGCCATCTCCTAAAAAACGTGTAATTTTCCCTACATTGTCGAACAAATCCCGAATGGAATCAATGCCTGTGCAAGCGCCCGCAAGTGCTAGATTCAGCACATGAGAACGGCAATGTACATAAACTGCATTTGGATAGTGATCAGTCACTTTTTTGTGCAGACCATTTTTGCTCCCACTCATCACGGATGCACCATCATATCCTTGTCCAACAAGAGCAGTCAGATCCAGTCCCCATCCTTCCAATGTTGGAATCAAAACATCATAGACGGACTGTGCGTCCATCTTTGTTAACTTGACAAAGCCCAAGAACTCTTCGCATACTTCCAATTTGCTATTTACAAATCGTATACATATACTCATTTGCTCGGTTGAGGAAACATCTGTTGTTTCATCTGCCATTAAACTCCAATACGTCTGTATTTTGGCAATTATTTTCTCTCGAATTATGGACTCGCATATTGAAATGATTTCATTTTGGATGCGAGGAGATGTAAATTTTGCATTCCTTGGAGAATATTGCAAATGATCTTTCAAAGTTTTGTCAAATTCTGATTTCCAGTTCAGAAAAAAAATCAAATTGCCATTTTCCTCACCCCTTTTCTTAATCCAATTTCCTCTTAAGGCTATTCCTCGCATTCCCAATCTGATAATTGTGTCAATAATAGATAATAACCCCATTTTTGAGCGAACTTGTTGCTCAGATATTTGTTTAGAAAGTTTTGCTGCAATATCTGTTCCAGGTTGACGGGTGCTTAGAAAATAGTAGACCATTTCTTCTGCAGCTTTATGGGCTTCACTTAACATGTGATTATTGATGTAGCTATTTTTCCCGGTCGCTTTCTTCCAATTTCCAAATCCACATGACACAAATGGAGAGACATGTAAAGTAGATGAACTTCTTGAAAAGTTATTTTTCTCTCCCCCAAAGCAAATACAGTATGCGCAGAATGCTTTGTCCTTTACAATGCTATACCGTAACCACGGTCTGTCTTGTAACCAAGACGAGTTAAACCTCCTACCTGCTGTAACAGGATACTGAAAACATTCGGGCAAAAGGAACTTGGATGTCAAAAAAGATAGTTTATCGTCATCAGAAAGCTTTTTTGAAATATAAAAGGAAGGGTCATTGATATCATGAACAACCGATGTTGCAGTTTGTTTTTGTTCCTTAGTAGAACACAAAGGCAGACTGATATCATTATCAGGTGTTGGCCTGGAAATTTCCGCTTCGAAACTAGAACAAAATCAACAAATAATATTTGCAAAATCATAACAAAATTAGGGTCTCATTTTTGCTAAATAATCATTATTTAGCATAGAAAAATATTAGTGCACGAAAAAAAAACAATGATTCGTACCTGTTTAAGTTTATAGCAGTGACTGGTTGAAATTGAAGAGTTGTTTGACGTAGTTTTTTAGCACTTGGTTCCATAATTCATAAGTTTATAAGTATATGAATAATTCAAAATGGCGGTCTTTGTGTTTACCGATTACAGCCTGGTACCTAGTTATGGACAGTTATGGACAGTGGTGGACATTCCACTGAACTCAATATATATATATCGAATATTTTTTGAATTGAGCCTTGTTTCCTAACGTTTGCGTGAATGCAATTACAAAATCTACTACATTTTAGAAATTGCAAGTTGGCTTTCCCATAAGGGGGGCAGCTGCCCCCCCTGCCCCCCCGCTGCGTACGGCCCTGCTGTAGATGTGGTATCTTCTGTCAAGGTTTACCCTTGTGAATATTGTGGTAAAGTATTCAATAAATCTTACAATCTCAAGACACATCATCGTGTCCATAGTGGTGAGCGTCCATATCAATGTACAGTATGTGGACATGGCTTTGCAAACCTTGGTGATCTCAAACGACATGACAGAACACATACTGGTGAAAAACCATACATTGTAAGAAACTTATCAATAAACGTTCTGGAATTTTATATGTTATAAAGTCTTTGCAAAGTTGTAGCAACATGCATTTGCTGCATGAAAACTTGTGCAAGAAGAAGGTGCAGATACTGTGCAGTAACTCTTTATCAGTGCTTCTGCTCTGCCTTGCCATTCCCATCTAACGCGCTAGAACAGCAGTACAGAAAGAAATTATGAGAAACCGTTGAAATTAATAAGTAATACTTGGGTAGTGAGAGTACCAGTGCCATATGTGTTTTAAATCTTCCAGTGTCACCTGCAATTCACACGCAATTTATGAGGAACTTCTATTGACATTAGAATGCTGAAGAATGCATGTCGTTTTGGAAAAATATTTGGGAGAAATAGTACAGCCCCACCATGCGAAAAAATTAATGTTGTTTCCCCAAACACTTATGCATGCTATCGTGCTTCCTGGCTAACGTGATCGTTTTAAATACTGATTCAATGCTATATACGATTTACCCAGCACGTAACATTTGCTAACTTGTTAAGTTTTCATACCATCTGATTAAGATACCCCATTTTAGGCAGAGCTAGGCAAATAGAAATAAGAGGCACAGAGAGAATGAGGGATTCTTTTGTTACTGTATTTTGGACGAATGTTCTTATAATATCTGCACGGATATTATATATTACCTGGTTAATGTAGATCAACCAAAATTTATATATCATTAACACATATACATGTTGATAGTTCTTTTTGGATGAAAATAAGAACGCTTTATATATATATATTTCAAGCTTATAACATTAATTAAAATCACTCTTTTAATACTTTCTTCGAACATTCTTTTTAGTGCGAATTTTGCAGCAAATCTTTCTCAGATTTTGGAAGTCACAAGCGACATCTTCGTTTACACACCGGATACAAGCCTTTTAAATGCGATAAATGTGACAGGGAATTTACACGACTCGATAGCTACAAGAATCACATTCGCCTGCACACTGGCATCAGACCATACAAATGCGAGGAATGCCAGAAAGAATTCAATTATCTTACAACTTATAAACGTCATCAAAACATCCATAGTGGGGAACGGCCATATTCCTGCGACCAGTGTGGAAAAAAATTCACACGTTTGATTTATGTGAAAAATCATAAGCAGAACAACTGTGGGAAACAGAGAGGCAAGAAATCCCAAGCGAAGCCAGATGAGGGAATGCTGACCAGTAGTGATGCAGCTGTAGTAGCGTTAGGAGGTGATATAAAGATCACAGATGGATCAATGATTGAAAATATTTCACGTGATTTATCACTTCAAAGTGGAGTGCAACTTAACTTGACCAAAGTCATATACACCAACGATGTTGGATTGATTGAATCCAGTACATCTCATACTTTGATCGTTACAGCGAATTCCGACAGTGGTCAACAGTTACTGGAGTTGACAGCAGGTGTGGATGATAAAACAGCAGTGTCGCCCGTAGTGCATGCTGGGCAAAGCAATGCAGGAACAATATTTCTAGCACCATCGATAACCACACAACATGATGAATTATTACAACATGACGCAGTTATTAGCATGAACCCCGATGAACATGCGCAGAATGCACCCGTTGTGAATGTAGGGGTTGGTGAAGACAATCAAATTAGTTGCAAAGCAATTGAGGTAAGCCTCCATGCTGGTTATCACTGCAGAAATAAGCTTAAAACACCGAAAATACGAGTGTGGCAAAGCGTAAATTCCAAACGTGAAAACCAGATGGGAACATCGCTCTTACCATTGTTTTCGCAGCCAGGATGTATTTACTATTTGGTCATCAGTAGAAAACGCCCCATCTTGGTTTTCAAAATTTTTGATGGCTTTAATGAATAACCTGTGTATTAGCTTTATTCAAAACTGTGTTTGTCGCGTCTACCCTGTACAGCCGTCAAAACTTGGCGGAAAATGAATCTCAGAAGCCTTTTTCCACGCAGTGACAACTGGTTAGGAAAAAAAACTAAACTCTCAGTAATCTTTTTATCTTGCTAGGTAACAGTAGCTAGTGAAAAACAGGCTGAAACCGAATGCAGTTCAGATCAGAATGCAATGTATATTGCCATTGATCCCACTCAAGAAGTCATTAGTAATGATTGAGAAGCTGGTTAGTATTCTTATTAGATAGAAACGAACAATAAACCGTATCCATTACTTATGTATACAATACGACAAGTATAAATAAATTAGATTGATACTGTAAACCGACAACCTGTCATTTATCCGTAAGTCTGAAGCGAGAGCAATAATTCCGCCCTAGGTTGTTGAATTCCGCAGAAACAAAAGCATAGGCAATAGAGGCAAGTCTAAAGTTAATCATTCATCGCTTTCGCATACATATATTAGAGCACGTTATCTCAGCAATCTTAAAACTTGAAATGACTGTTGATCGGTGGTGTTACGCTAGTTCTAGTGGTGGTGGTGGTGTTACGTTAGTCATAAAAAATGGGGTGAGGCAACTGAAGATTTGTAGTGGTTGACCCCCAGTAGCTTCTTAACAGCTTCAAATGTTTTAAAAATTTGGTATGAACGCAAAGTTCAAAGTTTCCACCTTCGTGAGCTTATGAATTTATTTATACAAAGTAAATTTAGAAAATTTAAGAAAATTTACTTGTTTACATTCACCTTTGACGTAAGGAAACATTAAGATCTCCATTAGCGAACTTCACTCGCGAAAGACGATTTTGACCATTTGATTGTTACGTCACTAATGAATCCTTGCAGCGCAGTGTTGACGTGAAAATTGATAAATTATGCGCATGCGTGCGGCTGCTTGCGAATGAAGTCATTGTGAATGAAGTCATTGTGAATGAAGTCATTGTGAATGAAGTCATATGAACACAAACGGGATTCTTTTTTTGACGGGAAGAGCTTTTTTCTAACTTGGAGAAATATTAATATTTTTTTCAATTTATTCAATCAAACGATTGAATATTTTTTACATGAAAGTCGGTAGTGAAAACAATAGCATTTGTTATTACGCTTAAAAGTTCACTGATTCTGAGAAACACAGCAAACTTCTTTTTCGTTGAGAAGGTTTTAGCCATTTTTAGGATACGCAAGAACAGTCTGAGTAGATATGCTTTGCTTTTACACTGTACGCGGCCGGTTGCTCGAAGGTTGCATGGATAGCGCTATTAAACGTTCGCTTGTATAACTGGCCCCTTTGGTGACTGGTCCCCCTTGAATTGTCTTAGTATATTTATCATACAGTGCAATATTTCTGTAACAGATCCCTTGCTACTTGATTATTTCCACTCGCACGGTATATCAGCGATAAGTTGAAAGCGGCTTCACGATGCAAGTTGTTCTTGTCCCAAAACTAAAACGCAGATAAAAAGAACTAAATAAGTCAAGAATTTTTTTCCCATAAATGTTCTAGCAAAAGGACACGAACATTGATTAATGAAACATTGAACTCGGTTCACTTCAATACTTCAGTTCAACTCTTCGCTTCTGAACAGCTTTTTGGACTGGGCAGACCAAGACGATATTGATATGGCGTCAGAAGGGCTTATATAATTCGTCTCTTAATCAGTTCAGCCTTCCCTGCACAGACTAACAAACGTCGATTTTGTCGATCAAAATAACTTGGATGAAAAATGAATTACCGTTTCATCACGCCCTTTCTTAACCATCGGATAGTTGAGAACCTTGTGATAATAATGTGATGCAAAATTTACTAAACCTGGAGACGAAGAACAAAAAATATAAGATTAAATTTTAAAATTTAAATCCTCTTGGGGCACTTCTTCTAAGAATTCATATATTTCTAGACTAATACAGACTTGCCTGATTTGTGTAATTTGAGTTCAAGCCACAGGTACGAAGGCGAATGCAAATATATTGAATTGTATAAATCCTTACCTATTTGATGATAACTTCTTCCTATATTATAATCTGTTTCCTGGCATTTTCCACGAAGGCTTTCATATTGATACAAGAATAAGAAAGCCTAGAATAAATATACAATCACCGTTATTACATATAAACAAAAGGAGAGGCAATTTAGCACAGAGAAACGATGGATCGCCGGACGAGATAAGGATATAAGCTATATACAAAATCTCTTACTTGCACAATACTTGCATTGCGACCATATTGAAATTTCTGGCAGGACATTTGAAGGAAAGACAATCCCATCAGTAAACTAACCATAGGTTCCAGTGGTTTGAGACGAAATGCTCGAGCATATTCTCCTGATATTGAGTAGAATATAATTTTGCGTTACAAATAAAATAAACTTGTACAAAATAGATCACTTCATATATACGTTTCTTCGATGAGACCTATAAATTCATATGGTTGGGGTGAGATGCTTCCTTACCCAGAGCATATCTATAATTTCCAGACGTGAGAGCGTTGTGACCATTTATCATCTGAAGGGAAAAATTTTCGGGATTCTTCAGTAGCAATCGAAGACAAAATTTGTGATGCTTTGAGTCGCCATTGCCAACCATCATTCTTGCGAACATGTTCCATAAATGCTTACAGTCTGGAAGATAATCAAACATAACTCGAGAGTTCGATGATTATAATGCTTGTATTGGTGTGCATGCATGTTAATGAAGTAAGGCTGCATGCATACAGCATGATATGCGGGGTATTTCTCACCTGTGTGTCTAAGGAGAACGGCCCGAATCACGTTGAATGCCGCAGTCCAATTCCTGTTGCAATAACACGCAGTTACACCAAGAAAGTCCAGCTCACGTTGATAGATTTTGATGCCAGAAAACTGAGCTGAGCTCATTGCACATTTAACTACATGTTCGAGATCTGCAAAACGACCAACTTTATAAAACGTTCTGGCAACCTGAAATTTAAAACGACTAACTATATTTATGCGCCATGAACACAGAAGACCCTGGGAGCGAGGTTGATTTATAATGAACAATTAACAATTAACGACAAAATGATTTATAAACATACCTTGAGCAACAGACTCCACCATTCCTCTCGTCGGATCTCTGCAAACGTTCCTCCTTGAACTGAAAGATTTGGAAATTTGTAGTCATTTTCACTGAGTTAAATAAGATATGGAAACTCCGTGAAAAGTGAACATTTTGAAAACAGTAGAATGTCGTTTCGACTACACTATACGGTCATCATCAGAAAAGGTTATTTTGATTAATTTTTGTCGATGAAGTCACATAGCTATATTATGGTCGTTGTTCGTCTAGTATATATGTAGATGTTGCTTTTCCTGCCTAACAAAATCAATAATGTTTAATAAAATGAAGTCATCTTTAGCAGTTTAATAAGGTGACGTATATATGGCTGTTGTTCGTCTCATATTTCTTCATTTCGCAAAGGATTCACATTTTTCAAACGTCATAAGATCCCGTATCATTATTCATTGAAGAAACGCGGTTACGAGTGTGTGCATAGTTAAATAATTATACTTGAAATGACATTTAGCTTTGTGAATTGTAACGAGAATTACCCCATCAGAAGTGAATTAAATAGAGCTACTATGAATATTGGCCTTTGGTGAATTTTTTACATGTTAAATTTCTTGCCAACAATGTTTTAATAAACGTATGTAGCTAGTAAGCCACATTTATTTCTTCAACGGAAAAGCTTGTACCCGCGCTTAAAAAGACTTGTAGTTGTAGTGAAAGAGGGTCGCAAACTATACATGCATATATCCCTAACGTATATCCTGTATGCGTTGTATATTCGGTACGTACAGAAGCTCTAAATATATATATATATATATATATATCTTCTGTACGTACTGAATATACAACGCATACAAGATATACGTTAGGGATATATGCATGTATAGTTTGCCACCCCCATAGTTTGCCATGCCGGTTTTGAGTGGGTCATGAGGAATAGTATATCTTAAAGATTTTGGCATATTTGAAATCTGCATTCAAATATTAATCCATGCATATATTCAAGAACATACGATACTGATACTTTATTATATTTATAACATTTTCTTTTTTAAGGTTTCCATAGCACTGAGTTTTTTAAGCATAAAAAAAAACTTACACGTTTAAACATAAAAAAAAACTTACACGTACAGAATGGATTATAGTATGAATTTATAAATAAGTTACTGAAATGTGGCGCTTCGTCGCAGCCATTTATCAAAATAGTTTTGTGTATAAAAACATTAGAACTCTGTATTTATATATATATATATATATATATATATATATATATATATATATATATATATATATATATATATATATATATATATATAGACTTTCAGGTTGTCTAACAAATAATGCACTACATTATAGCTAATAGCTATATAAAATATTCTATTCTATGAGGGATGTCCAAAAATTATCACAAATAATTAATATTTATTTCTTAATTCATTCGTACCCCTCCCATGTTTCTTTTTTATATGTCTGGTCAGATGACTTGGATTGTTGAAACTGTTTGAACAATCAGAACATTTATATGGACGTTCTCCAGTGTGAATCAATAAATGTCTTTTTAAATTTCCATATATCGAGAATGCTTTAGTACAAATATTACATCGATATGGTCTTATTCCTGTGTGGACTCTGCTGTGAATTTCCAACGAACTTCTCTTGGGAAATACCATGTCACATACCTCGCAAACATGGTTCGTTTTGCCTAGAAAAGTATGAATGGGGAAACATTTCATTAACACTTGTTGTCGTGAAAATCTAACCTTTAGTTCATATAACAGTATAAAAAATCCATCGTAATTATCGCTACTCTGGTTTTAATAAATGAAAGTAATCACCACATGCACAAACATTAACTTTCAAATATTAACCTAATCTTTGCGTGGTGATAACTTTCATTTATTAAAAATGGATTATATACGTGGTTGCCGTGAACTCATTAACTTCAATTCGTTGAGTATAAAATATTTTCTCAAGAAGTGCTTTTTCTTAAGTGCATGGTAATTAACCAAATACCGTCTTTGTTTTTAACATCTATACATGCCTATATATACCATGCAATTATTGAATACTTTTCTAAAGCCCTTAACAACACAAATGGCCTTACCATATATATTTAAAATATCTAATAGCTATACCTTTGATTTTGTGAACTTGCATATGTTTTACCACCCCAGCAGAACTGAAGAAGATTCGATTGCAATGATCACAGCTAAATAAATTTGATTGCTCGAGTTTTGTCGTGACATTCGAAATTCGCTCTGCTGTTTCACCCTGAGGGTATTTGTATCCAACTGCAGTCGTTTGTGTAAAACCGCCTTTGTCTTTTAGAGAAATATTTCTTGGATTTCTTCGAATATGAGTTAGTTTATGACATTGTAAACCATCAGATCTGGCAAACGATTTTCCACAATCTTCACATTCAAAAGGTCTTTCCCCCGTATGTGTTCGTTCATGGGATTTCCAATGTGAATGCCATTTGAAAGATTTCTTACAAAATGAACATGGAAAGTCGAGCGTACTTCTGACTGGCTTTACAACTGAATGCGATGATGAAGTACAGTTCTCTTCAGAGATATTTTCATTCACCGGTGATTCTCTTCCGGACCATTTGATAACACTGACTCGTTGATAAGTAATCTCCGTATCATTCAACACAAGCCAATCCATGTTTTTGAAGACCTACCGTTGATGAATCCAAAATATTTAAATTCACGTTAATTTTAACTGACGATCGAGTAAACCCAGAACTATACTTGGATACATCTTTAGGAGAGGGACGCACCTGTCATGCATGCATGAGCAGACGTTAACATGTAATATCACAAATACGAATTTTATTATTTATATGTTCTGTTACCCACAACTTTGTTGTTCATTTACTTACAGCAAAAAATTATAAATGAAAGATCAATAGTCGGCTATTAAAACAACTTTAAACACTTTTATGCACCATATAGGCATATAGCCATAGGTTCATATTGTATATTTTTAGCTAACATAATTACACTTATCAACCAATTCCAATTGAGGGCTTGCCCGGCTTTAACAAGTTATCGCCGTGTTTTCCATTTTAACTCAGGCAATTATGATTTGTAATATAGTCATGCACATCGACTATAGTATATTATAATGTTAATGATATAAGTGCCGATTGCATGCAATAATTTCACAAGAAATTCGGGGATTGCCCAGAGATTTTCAGTTCTATACTCGGTATTTACTCCGTGTGCTGATGCCAAAAAATATATCAAATTGACAAATATTTATCGATAACTATGTTAGCATTCGGTGGTAAATAGTAGGTAGTTGTTTGTAAGGGCCCCTCCATGTTACGGCGTTGTTTCTACGGCAAGCAATTCTATAAGCACGTATCAATGACAATGGTATGCAATGGTATATTGTCATTTATTTGTTATGCCTAAATGCTACGTCATGCATGCCTCAAAAACACAGCTTTATAATTATTGAATAAATAATATTTATCAAACTCAAAGAACTATAAATAATACAGCTTTTACGGTCTCAACAAATGCATGAAGTTACCTTAAATTATGTTGTCAGTTTTGCTTCCAGATTCTTTAATTTGTCGTGAGATATACTGATATCAATATGGCTTCAACGCCCATTCAACTTGCATGCAAATCTTATTTCACAGTCTTTTCACTGGATCGTCCATACATCAGCATTACCAATGATAAAATGAGCTGAGCGTGAAGATGTTCAAAATATATTACAATCGCTTGGTTAAATTATTTTCTATGACGTCAAAAATCACGCAAAAGGCAACGTAAAATTTTGCCGTTTTACCGTCAAGAGCACGTGCACTGGTCACGTCCGTGTATAGCTGAAACCCTGCAGAATAAAAACTTGTAATACACCGCTGCTATGATAAGTGCTGTCGCAGTTTGTGTTGCTCTTGGAACCGCATTTCCGTCAACTAACTGCAGAGACATGATCTATATATACATGACAACGATATTTCACTAGTCATGCGTATGGATATCAATCATTTTAAAATTAAAGTCAAAGAGGTCTTTCGAGTGTTTTCTGTCAGTTTTACATTTATTATGCCGTCGATATTGAAAGTTCAACTGACTGGACTGCAAATACTAAGTTCACTGTCTTCAATCATTGGAAATTTACCTTGTCTCATTCTATGACGGTCTCATTTTACGGCGGGAAAATGTATTTACGTCGTATAGTCATGCAAGGTGTAATAAATTAATATGTAAATTTTATTTGTCTCTGTTATATTAAAAGCACACAAATATTTAACCTCACGCAGCTCCTTTCGTTTTTACCTTGAACTCCATTTTAATGATAGCAACTACCGCCATCTTCACTTGGCAAGTGAGAAACCGTACCTAATTCCCAATACCCGTAGACTTTAAACTTGCTGCATGAGCTAAGAGATTTATATGAATACTCGACAAAAATCTAGATTTGACCTTTCATGCGGCAAAAGCCAATTGTCTGAATTAATCATCTTTGGTATTCGTTAAAATGGCCATTTTCAGCTTTCGAAATGTTGAAGAATACGCATTCAGCCTGTCCAATATTTTTTATTCTTATTCGATATAGCAGTATGCAGAAATGCGCAAATTATGTCTACCAATCAGTGGTATCAATGCTAATAATAAGATTTTCGATCACTCAATGTAACCTGGATATTATTATTTCTTAGTTTCTACTATACTGTAGTTGTGAGTTACTGCACTGCTTGAATGACGAGGAGGAAGCGGAAAGCGGAAGAGTCAAATTTCCGTGTAACGTCTTTTACCCCATATTTGGAATGATGCATTACTGTTTTATAATATCAACTATCAAGTACAACTTTCCCTTGTTGTTTTCATCTTGATCCTTTCCAACTTTACAACACTAATCTACTGTTTGAGAAACACAAGGATATATATAAACACTTATTTAGTGTTTTCTTAGGTTTCATGTGACGTCATAATTCCAGTGGGGGTCAACTCGAAATCGAGACACAGTATAAATTGGGATGAGTTTAATAATTGTTCAATGTATGCGTTGGCTTTGTGCTTCGTAGCAAATAAGCCAAATATGCGCAATTTCGTATCATTTGC